AATCTATCTTGACCAAATACCTTATGTCAAAAAGGTTATCAAATGGTTTAACATGGAGACTGCTCGAAATGTTCATACTCCATTACCCTCGGGATATCAACCAGAAAAAGCACCATCAGATTATCAAGCCACATCTTCTCTTCGGTCACAGTACCAGTCAATCATAGGGTCATTACTCTATATGGCTCTTGGTACTCGTCCTGATATTGCCTTTGCAGTTATTCGCATGTCTCAATATATGGCAAATCCTACCGAAGATCACCGAAATAAAGCCTTGCATATAGTACGCTATATTGCATCTACTCCGAAACTGGCTTTATATTATTTGGGACTTGAATCTCGAATCTATGGCTTTGCAGACTCTGATTGGGCTGCTAATAAAGACACACATCATTCAACTACCAGTTATGCCATGTATCTTGGCAGTTCCCTCATTTCTTGGCGATCTCGAAAACAGAAGACTATCGCACTTTCCTCCACTGAAGCCGAATATATGGCTTTATGCGATGCTGCCAGACAAATCAAATGGCTTTCAATGCTATTTGATGAACTCAAATTGAAGACCGACAAAACTGTTCTTTACTGCGATAATATGGGAGCTCGCTTTATTGCTGAGAATCCTGTATCAGATGGACGATCAAAACATATTGACGTCCAATGGCACTTCGCTTGCAAATGTGTTCAAGACAATTTGTTCAGTATTGAATATGTTCAAACTGACAAACAAAAAGCAGACGGTCTCACAAAATCTCTCACTTGGCAGAAGTTCGAAACTAATCACTCGTCAATGGGTCTTGTGACCTTACCATTTTAGAGCGAGGGGGAGTGTTGGAAATATTCATAATAGTTCCGACATCTAGATTGATCCAGACTTACACATGTATCAACACGTTGTTCATCACATGACATTCCTTAGCAATCAGCTCCACAATGATGTCATAGTGACATCATATTATACATCATATTCCATGACCTTCTGCACTATTCTTTACTATACTGAGTAGTAGTTTCCTTTTACACTACTGGTCCATGCGTACCTACTCATGTATATAAACTTGGGGATTTTTTCCTCAATCCCTATCGAATTCTACAATTCGTTCTTCACTTGTCTACTCGACAACTGAGCCCCTCAATGCTTACCAATTTTTCAAATGCTACTACCGTTCTGATATAAGGCAAGTATTCTTGCCTCTTGCTCTTCGTTCTCCCGTTCCTCTGCGCAATAACCTACTTTGACTTCAATATAATCGAGCGGTAGAGAAGTTCGCGTGACTTTCTCGAACAGATGGGCATCGCCATGCATCGACGCCACCGACCGTCCAGTACATCTGCGACCTCCTTCATGGACGCCCAATCGAGGGGGGAGCGTCCGAAAGCAAAGGTACCATAATCAAAAAGGTGCACTACTCCAAGTACATGCCCTCAGAAAACTACGAAGCTTGCCGTCGACATCTGCCTAATGGCGCATTGAGCAACAAAAATGGAGGATACACTCACGAGCATGAAGGCATCTAGGAAGTTCTATGATGCGCTGGAGGCGGCGAAAGGTCAGTCTTGGGGCAACATTCACATTGACCTGTCCGTATACACTGCCGGGTTACCATCACGAACTGGAGTAGGTAGCGGAGTACGAGGGCTTGGTGAGAGTAAGTGTCCTTAGGAGTCATAAACGCCGTGTTGAGTGGCCTCTGCATCGCAATGATACATCATTTAGTCTCCTGGCACCAGCGTTGTCGTGGGTGGACGTGCGCAAGCTTATAGGATTAAATTAGATAGTATACACAAGAAGAAATTTCTTGAGACAGGGAAATAACTAAAGGTATGTGTGAGGTACGCAGCGATACACTATGCCTTCCCGTCTGCTTTCTCATAAATATCAGGGGTTTCTTGGACCGTCCCTCCGTGCGCTATCTTCCGAAGGGCATCTTCACCATCAAAAATAGCTGCGGTCTCTTCCAACGTCCTGTTTTTGGTTTCGACCAGGAAGAACCACAAGAACACGAACTCGACTGCCAACCAGCAGACATAGACGAGCTTTGTAGGAAATCAACGTGGAGAAACGAAGAGAAAGTTCAAAACTTACGTAGTACTTCCACCCAAGAGCATCAAGTGCGATAGGGTTGACATACTGATTGAAGATGAGGGCCACGGAAATGACGAAACTGAAGACATTGAAACCCTTCGCGCGCAGAGAGAATGGAAGAATCTCGACGGTGTATGAGACGATGAGGGGAGTAAATGCAATGTCGTAGGCTGCGAAGAACAGGAAGACAAAGCCGACGACGGCGTGGCCAGCAGCGGCCACTCCATGCTTACTATATTCCGCGAAGCAAACGGCTTGTGCGGTGTAGAACAAGGTCATCAAAGCGGCAGAGGATAGGAAAAGGAATCGACGCCCAAGTCTATCAACCATGAAGGCAGCGAGGACAGCCCAAAACAGGTTCCAAACTTGCAGGACACCATTGATGAGCAACTGAGTGCCCGAATCCGCAATGCCAATTTGAGTGAAAACCTCGTTCAGGTAGTACGAAATGAGACCGTTTCCAGACCACTGTGAGAAGAAGGCGAGAGCAACGATGATTCGCATGCGCTTAAGATTGCCCCGAGTGGCAATGAGAGACTTCCAACCGACGTTGGCAGCAACTGTAATAAAGCCATGTCTGCATATTAGAGCTCAGTACACAGCGTCCACGTGTAACATACCGTTACGATCAAATTCGATGGCGGTCTTGATTTCACGGAATTCGTACTGGATGAGAGGATCCTGCCTTATCCGGACTTTAGGTTCGTATCCCACGCGAGTGCAAAAAATACGTACTCGTCACCATCGGCATGGTAGTAAGCCAAGGCACGGAGAGCCTCGGCATCCCTACCCCTACTAACTAACCAACGAGGAGACTCTGGGCAGAAGAGGACCAATGAAAACTGCAAAGCTGCAGGTATTCCCTGCAACAAGGATGGTAGACGCCACGCCCATGTATTGTTGATCCTGAATGTCCCATATGTAGCCCAAGCAGCACTTGAGATTTTCGTCAATTTTGGGGAACTCCACAAGACCAGGACAGAAACACTCACACAATGGAGCCGGAATACCAAAGGGAATTGTACAAGGATGTCAAAGGAGCGCGGTATTCTGGATATGCCAGTTCGGTGACAAGCATAGGCGCAGCATTAGCTGTTGCAGGCAACTTAAGCTTTCGGTATTTTGTATGATATCGTAAGGACCCCACCAGCGAAGGTCAGACCAAAGCCAATCAAGAACCGAGCGCCGATAAACATGCCAACCGACTGAGAAGCGGTTTGCAACGCTGTAGCGACGAGCATGATGGTTGCGCCAAGGAAAACCGTCTTACGGCGGCCGATACCGTCAGAGAGGTAAGGAGCGAAGGGATAGCCTGCCAAGGCGCCAACATTCTGATGCGGGCGTTGAAAAATAACCACAGACAAATGAGAACGAATTTGTTCACCTGGATGGCATTGAGAAGGCCCAATCTTCCCTTTGACGGGTGGTTAAAGTCATCTTGCCATTGTTGAAGAGACTGGAGACCATTCATCATACTACCATCGTAACCGTTAGTTGAAGAGGTGATCAGACTGCGGAACCGTGAGTCAGAAATGACAGCAATAGGGAGAACGACGGAACACACAGGAGAACTATCCAGGCATTGAGGATGATGATGCTATTGGAGACACGAATGAACAACGCCAAGAGAGTGGTAATGGAACGGCAACACCAACCGCTTGTTGTTGTACCACTTCCTGTTAGGATTGAGGAGATGTGCAAAGGAAGTATCTTGGACAGCACCAGCGACAGCGGCGGGACCTACGCCCATGTTTTGCTGCAACCTCTGGGGATTCTTTGCTATCAATCCGTTGTCCGTGGATGAGCCAAAGAAACTGAAGGCTTTGTTGGTTGGCCGTCACTTTTTGAATGGTTCTCCGCTGAGCGCCAGGGTCACATTGGTCCGGCTAAACAGATTCTGCTGAGCGCACCTTGAGTGCCCGAATGAAGATCATGGGCACATGGGTAACGGATATTCCATCCCGATCCTCCTCATGACCCCTCCGGGACAAGTAAACAAAAGAAGACCATTGGGTTGCATTCCTCCATGAACCCCGCGGGCGCTCACTTTCCGAGCCCGGCTGTCAGCGCCATTTTTTTACACAGTATTCATGCACATGGTCAAATTTGACGTCGAGTGGCCCCTGCACGACAGCACAATTATGATACGCTTCGTTTCCTCGCGTTGATCAACGTTGTCACGTGGCGCGCGCAAGCTGATACGATTAGATAAGACGGCGATGGCGATGTCGCGTGAGTTTTCCGAAAGGGAAAAACCACTGGCAGGCGGCTAAGCGGGGGTGGGGGTGGAGTGTTCGAGCAGGGCAGTAGATCGGGTGCCAACTAAAGGATCTCTGTTCACGCCATGCCTCTTATCTATTCTCCTATCTCATGAAAAGTAGCAGAATTGTGCAGGGAGTGGCTTGTAAGTGTTGTAAAGTGACCACATCGGCAGTAGATAAGCAATTTTTTTGGGCAAGCGCTCAGGTACGTTTCTTTGCAAAATAGCTATTTTTTTCGTATACAATAATACGGCTACCTGCAGTGGCTTGTGGCAGCATCGAGACGAGTACCAACGGATGTCGACCTCGCTCCCACGCGCGCCCTTCGCTTAGTCAGCGGCCAGCACCCACGTTTTTAGTGGCTATGCCCACAGCCACCTGCTCATTTCTCGGAATAATGAAACTACATACTTCCATGAGTCCTTACTAAAGATTACCCAACATTTCAACTCGCTGACTTATGTAGAAGAATGTGGCAGTTGGATCATCAATAATACGCATCCCTCACTTCATCATGTTCGACGTTGCCCTCGCTCACCGCGTGTCTGATGTCATGAATAATTGTCTGACTCAGTATGCTGTGGAAAGGAGTATAAAGACTAGTTAGATGATTTTGCGATCGTTATCGCACAGTTCAATCAATCACCTCTGCATCTATGACTATCGCAAACAAGCCCGCTCCGGCTGTTTCTTATTATACACCTGCTCAAGTACCTGCTGCGGGTACTGCGTGCGACCCCCAGCCTGATGGGAAACCAATCCCAAAGCTGTTCCAGCCTATAAAGGTTCGCGGAACGACTTTCCACAATCGTATTTTTGTGAGTTGCGCTGTCTTATATGATTGAAGGCCTTCATTTAGGCAATAACATTGGTCTTCCGTACAGCTCTCGCCCCTTTGCCAGTACTCATCTGATGATGGCCACTTCACGTCATGGCATATGGCACATCGTAAGTCTCAGTGGCAAACGACAGGTTTGGACATTTAGATTTTTTTAAATAATGCACAGTCGGTGGAATCATATCTCGTGGACCGGGTCTTGCCATGGTTGAAGCTACCGCTGTTGTGCCGGAAGGTCGGATTACTCCAGAGGACGCTGGATTGTGGAAGGACAGCCAGGCCGAGTCTCTTCATCCCATCGTCGAGTTTGCGCATTCACAAAACCAGAAGATTGGCATTCAACTCGCGCACGCGGGTCGCAAAGCATCCACCATAGCCCCTTGGTTACACGGTGGTATGGTGGCGACGGAAGAGGTGGGGGGATGGCCTGATGATGTATGGGGTCCTTCTGCTATCCCTTATGACGAAAATCATCCATATCCAAAAGAGGTGACCAAAGAAGAAATAAAAAAGGTCGTTGTTGCCTTTGCGGAAGCAGCGAGACGTGCGCTTAAAGTGGGGGTTGACGTGATAGAGGTACATGGGGCCCATGGGTATCTACTGACATCGTTCATGAGCCCATACACCAACAAACGCACGGATGAATATGGAGGCAGCTTCGAGAATCGCGTTCGATTCCCTTTGGAAGTCGTGGATGCCGTCAGGAACGTCATTCCAGACGATATGCCTCTATTCTTCAGGTAAAGCGAGCACACATATCTGTCTCAGTGTCGCTCATCTCATTTTTGAATATCGGCGACTGACTGGCTGGAAGAATCACTGCCTAACGAACCTTCGTGGCGATCGGAAGATACTGTCAAGTTCGCTAGTATCCTTGCTGACCACGGCGTTGATTTCCTTGATATTTCTACTGGTGGAAATAGTCCCAAGGCGGTAGTGGTGCGAAAGGCTGTTGCTTTTCAGGCGCCCTTCGCGGAAGCTGTCAAAAAGGCAGTCGGCGACCGGATTCTGGTTGATGCTGTGGGATCAATCAGCAATGGTCATATCGCCCTGGAAGTATTAGACGAGGGCCAGGCAGACGTTGTCTCCGTTGGACGACAGTTCCAAAAGAACCCGGCTTCGGTATGGGCGTAAGTACCTACCTTATCACACAGGTTGCGCTTGTGCTGATACGACATCCACTTCAGATTTGCAAGTGATCTTGGAGTAGCGGCCAAGTTTGCCCACCAGATCGAGTGGTCTTTTGCAGGCCGTAGGACTAAGGAGCCGAAGAAGCTAGCTTGGTAACATACACGCAAGTAGATTGTGTACAACAACATTGTTATTATTAGAAACCAAGTTGCTGGTCAACTACCGCTAGCTATTTACTGTTCGGAAACCAAGATATTATCTAGCGCTACAATAAATAAGAGTCATCGATACAATAACATCCCATAACGCGAAGAATAAAAAGCTGTGAAAGGCAAAAAACAAAAGGCTAAATACAAAAAAAAAGCATTAGGGAGTCCAATAGTCCTGGCCCCGGTTTAATTCCTGTCATACGCGAAGTCGTCACTGAGGCGTTGGAAGTCTCCGTCGAGGAGACGCAATAACCGGTCGACCTCAGGCATACTACTGTCGGAGAGTAGCAATGCATTTGATGCGTGACTCTGAGACGTTCCAGGAGCCTGCGCGTTGTTAGTACGGGAGAACCCCTGACTAGCCGCCAAAGTCCCCCCTCGCAATCCATGGGGATCTGTCAAGACTTCAGAAAATAACCCCTTTATATTCTCAATGGCTTACGCACCGCCGTGAGGGAGTGGATGGCCTGGGGAACCAAAACTGTTTCCCCCGCTTCCTGGTGTAGGTGACATCATGGACACTTGACGTCTTAAAGCAGCATTTTCATCCCTGAGCTTCTTCAACAATCGAGTCGCTGCAAACGTAAGTCAGTGCCATTCTTCAGCAACACACAAGGGACACACCTTCCAGCAAAATTTCGCGCCGAGTCTCGGGTTGATAGTCATCCAATTGTTTGACAGTATCGCGGAGCTCGTCGAAATCATCTCCTTCCCTTCTCCGGTACACCCGCTGCTTAATGGCTTTGGGTTGTCTTTCATTTCCCTGGGGTGGGTTCATCTTAGACTTGTATACCACGGATAAGAGACTTGATATGAGGGATGAATGCTAGCCCATCCGATTCTCTTCCATCTTATGTAGTACGAGTCGCGTTCGCGGCCGCTAAGTTTTCCGAAAGGCATAGTTTCCGATTAAGCTTAGGTTAGATGCGTTCAGCTCAAGCGTCAAAGACACTGGCCTAATTCCCCGTTTCATTTGGCCAGAAAACCAACGTGTGCCGTGGCTTTGCGGATCTGAAAGAAGGTTAAAACAGCCTCAATGATCTCTCAAAAAAATACGCTCTTTAAAAAATCCCGATTACTATTTTCCCTACGTGAAGCTCGAAGGGAGAGTTTTTAGGCAAATGTTTCCTTTGACCCACTAAAGAAAAGACCGAGTGCGTTCGAGATTGTACGATGCGAAGTAGCATTGAAGCTGCGCAGAGATCGCGCACGGTAATGGCACGTGCAATGACGTTGGTTTGTGATTTAGCGTTCTGCATGTTAAGCCGCCGACCAACATAACCAGACTTACTTTATCATCGGTCCTGATACCGACAACGCGATGTATTTGTGACGTTTTTCAAACTAGGGGCGGAGCGTTGCCGCCAGGGACCTTACTTGCTTTGGGGGGAGATCCGCAATGTGGCAAATTTACTTTCCGGTGGGTTAGTCTAATACGTGTTCTCATGATGATGACCATGACAACGACAAGGGCTGGAGCGTTATAGGCACAGGGAGATGCGTGAGAGGCTGCACGTTTACACGGGAGGCCAATGTGGACTACACCGTCGGTTCTCCACAATTCCATATACATATGTAAACGCTCATCAGCAGAATCGTTCGGTGATACGCTCACCGTGCGAGACCTAAGTTTTTTCTGCAAGGTATGAGTCGAGTATATGCCTGTCGCGAAGCCCGTCTTGTATGTTATTGTCGCTGCATGCTTAACGCGCTTGAGTAGGGTCTGTCTTACACAGCCTGAGTTCCTCATCGATAACAAGCTCTTTTGCTAGTTGGCCTAATTCGGTAATTACACGTACCTCCATAGTAAATCTGTGCTGTGTGGCGGTACTTGTAAGAGTCCGGACGATTTCGGCTTGAACGTGAAGTAGAACAACAATATATGTTAGGACAAAAGAAGATAAACTCTGTTCTGATTCATTTCCGTTCATATACCATTTGCACAAGTCTCGGTCCGTGGGTTCGAATCTACTGTCACGGCGGGGACGATGGGTAGGTCAAGACTCGTTCATGTGGCAATGCAACCAGTGCGATCACTATAGATCCAAGGAACAGTCACATGCAAGTGCTTGGCAATGTTGAGCTGGCTCTATATGTAGCTTCGGGATTGCAAACCTGCACGTAGGGGTACAACCGGCACCGATTTATGGTTTGCATGAAGCTTAGCAGTGGCGCAATCCACGTTTCTCCCATGTATAGCGCGGGTGCATGGCAAGAAGAGAAGTTCCATGTAACACTTCCAGCATGGCTTCGTACCCAGGCACCATGATCACTTTGTTTGATATTCAGACCAGGGGTGGAGCCGTTTCGGTCGCTCGGGGCAGGAAATTGGCGTGGAATACCATCGACACTCCAAGCTAAAGAATTGGAAAACAGTCAGATCACCCATGATAGTGGGTGGTCCGATGCAGGGACAAGTGAGATCCCTCCCTGCCGTGTTTTGAAAGAGAAAGGCTGTGTTAAGTATGACACCCTGCATCGCCTGGACATTAATTCTTTCTGTCTATAGACTAGCAAAATGTCAGAACACCTGCTTGACCAAAGATGATGGAAATCACAATTGAAAGGTCCATAATCCACACAGAAGTATGTGGCAAGAGTGTTGAGTATTGAGGGAGACGGGAACGACAACCGCATACACGCCCCCGCCCACCGACACAATTTAAAGCCCGCTCGCCCGGCCACTTCAATCGTCCCACCATGGCCCACTCCCTTTCACCTGAATGTACGCCGCTGAAGCACGCGTACGACTCCTGCTTCAACAGCTGGTTCGAGGGCTACCTTGAACCGGCAATCGCGAACTCCAAAAAGCTCTCGGAGGGACAGCGGAATGAATACGCCAAGAAGAAAGCAGAGGAATTCGATCAAAATTGCGGAGCTGTTTGGCGGGAGTACAAAGATTGTGTGCAGGTATGTGCTTAGTTGCGCTGTAGCAGAACATTGCTTCAGCATCAGACATCCACTCACTCTTAACCGTTGACGCGACTGACCCCTCTCTCCAGAAAGCTTTGAAGGACCGGGGATTAGATGAACTGCTAGAGCAGGCTCGACAAGACAATCCATTACGCACGCCCCCATCGCCACAGACTGGAAAGTCGTCGTAGCTGGGTATTATTACAGTAGTAGTCTACACTCTGGAAACAGCGCGCTGCCCGACGGCCCCGACGTTGCTGTGGACACCTAATTAGGAAAGGCACACCTCCGTTCTTGAGTCATGCGCGTCACGTGAGGGGCGCGTTATATAATTTGAGCGTGGTGTTCCCGCCCCTGTCCACAACCAGCCGTCTGGCCACGAGCAAACCACGCCCCCTGCTTTGTCCACGACGAAGACTGCCCTCCCTTGTACTTAGTTCTATCTGTAACTATCACAGCCTAGCATGGTCTCGACGAGATCCGGAAAGTCTACGAAACACACTTACGCAGAACGTAAGTTGCGCCACATGGTTCTCCGCCGCGACGATTTCTCGATAAAACTCGTATTTGATTCGCATGCTGCATTACAGGTGTACTCAATGCCTACTCGCAAGCGCAGCGGGAGCACAGAAGGCAGAGTTTGCACATCGCTACTCTTCGTGCCCAAGGTGACAACCTCTTACCAAACACCCCTATAACCCACTGACCTACCACAGTCCGCAAGACTGCCCAGGAGCGCAAAGACAAACTCGGCCCAAACTGGGCGAGCTGGGTAGGGAAGGCGGTGCGGAAACTAGTATGCATACCCGTCGTTCTACTCTACGTGTCACTCGCACTGACTTGATGCGTACAGGAGGAACAGGGTGTGCTCGAGCCTATCGACTCTAGTGGATATGTGCGTATGACCGAGGAGGGAAAGAAAGTGTAAGTTATATCCTATCGTTTCTAGCTGCCATGTCGTGCCAGTTACTCAGAAACATATTATAGCCTTAATGTAGCACGTCGGAAAGTTCTTGGTAGCTCCGCTAAACACAACCCGACACCAGAGGAAGAGGGACTACTGTGGCGTTCGATTAACCAACAGTTATCCCCTGCATCTCACATCAGTAGGGGAAGTCGACGTTATTCGGATGTACAATCGAGTAGAAAACGGAGACGGTCGGTGCGGAGCCGCCGTCAATCCCGTGGAGGTATGACTGAAGACGAAGACCATTCTGAAGCACCGCTTGCGTCGGAATATACGACCCCGGTTTCAAAGAGGAGGCGAACCACAGCTGTCGATCCGTTCTCCCACCCTACACCTTCAAAGCTATTATCAAAGATGAACAAGACTGAGGTGAAGAAGTCGACTTTCCTTTCCTGCTTTCGGCCCTGACGTCATCGTTATAGCTTAAAGCAAAAGTGAAGGAACTCCAATCGATACTCTTTGCTTCACGAACTGGGACACCACACGATGATACGCAACGATCCAACGAAGAAAGAGCGGACCTCCTCAAGGAACTACAGGAGGTCCGCACCGAGTTGAACCTGTACCGCCGCAGAACCGCTATCTTTGGCGCCGAGGACGAAGAGCTCACCGATGTGGAAGATCACGTTCTACCACCTTCAGTCGCTGGTCTATTGTCATCTATGTACGTGTCATGCCCGAAACATCATACAGAGGTCTAATGGTTGACACTGCAAAGACGGGATGTACGAACCACGCCGCCCACGCCCACGCCTCCAAGACGCGAGTCGCAGATGCTTCTTCGCACGGAGTCCGGTTCCGTGATTCATGGTGTCAGCAAGCAGCCTACACCTGCTCCCTCCGACGAAGAGCACTTAGATATAGATGCCGACCAGGGAATGGAATATACCACTAACGAGGGTGACATGGCATACGCGGAGGATGTTCTTGAAAACGGTCGTCAGGAGTGGCAGGTTGTCACAGAGGGTGGTCAAGTGATTACTCCAGACATGACACCTTCCGTCCACGAGGAGCAGGACGTAGGAGGCACGAGCGTGTTCCGTGAGAAACTCGCCTCGTTGGAGAGGGTCCTGGCGGAGAAGGACGAGAAGCTCGCCGACTTGCGGTCCCACCTTGCGCGCAAAGATGAGGCCCTTGAGGAGAAGGGCAAAGAAATGGATCATTTGCACCAAACTCTTACGTCTAAGGACAACAGACTCACCCAGCTACGGGATGCTGTTGCTAATCAAGATATCGCCATTGCAGAAAGAGACGGTATCTTGTCTCGGAAGGATGTCGAACTGTCCAAGACGCGCGCTACATTGGTCGATATCGAAGACAAACTGCGCGACCAGGCAGTTCTACTCAAGGATAAGGACGGTATCATTACTACACTGCGTTCCGAAGTCGACAACTTGCGCTGTGCAAAGGAAGTGGCAGAATCGCAGGTGACTACCGTGCGTGACGAGGCGCGCGCCAAACAAGAGGCCTTCGAGAAAATGCGACAAGACCACGCTGAGGGAAAAACGCTGGTCTTGAAAGCAGAAGCAGAGCTCAATGCGACCCGCGACCGTCTACGAGAAACCGAAAAGCAAAAGGAACGCCTTGAAGGTCTGCACCGCGGGGTGCTGCAAAAACTCTCTGAGATGGAACAAACTATCCAACAGAAAGAGGACGACCTCGACGAGAAGAACAGACAGATCGCAGACAAGGATGCTACCATCGCAGAGCTTGAAGGGAATGTACAAAGTATCGGTGAAGAACTGGAGGAGGCGCAAACTTCTATGGACGACCTGATCGAGCGCCTGAGATCTTCCGAAACGCAGAAAACTGAGATGGAAACGGACTTGCGTGCCACCATCGACGCGGTTCGCAAGGAAAAAGACGGTTTCGCGGCTGCTATGTTAGTCCTGCGCGCAGAGAAGGCAAGCACGGACACGCAAAATGAAGAGCTCTGCGGCCAAGTTACCTCCCTCACTCGTGACCTACGGGGAGCGCGTGCAGAGCATACTGCTGCGAAGGAGGCGATTCTGGGGCTTCTGGGGACCGTCGATGCAGTTCAGAGCGCTCGGGACGATGAGGCCGGAAAGAGCGCAGCCACGAAACAAGCCCTCGGTCTTGCCCAAACCGAGGCAGCCAAGCTGCGAGAGCAGGTGCACGAAGCCGAGATGGAAATCCAAGAAGTCCGAGGAGAGCTTGCGGTGAAGCACGTAGCCTTGGTATCGGAGCAGACAACTGTATCGATGTTGCGTTCGGATCTCAACACTGCGCGTGGAGAATTGGCTACTGTTCGTAAGAAGCTTGAGACGACGGACAAGGAACTCAGTGACACAAGAACAAATATTAAGAGAGTCGAGGACGAGGCGGAGGAACTAAAGGTTGCAAAGATGGCCGATGAAGATACGATTGCAGACCTTAAGACGCTGTACGAGAAGTTGAAGAGGATACAGGCGGAATGGGTGAACGAAGTAGACCAAAAGGTGTGTCCAAATGCCATCGTGCCATGTAGTTTTCGCTGACACACACCGTCTTTTAGTTCATGTCTGTGCAGTCGAAACCCGTCCAGGAGAGGACCAAGCGCGCAGTAGCATCGCAAATTTGATGACTGATTTACATAGGGCATGCATGACCCCCGACCTGCGAAGTCTCGTTTACATATGTTGAGTTTTCTTGGATATACAGTCGACTCCCTTATAACCCATACCCATTCGGGATAGGCCATAGGGTATGGGGTATGAGAGAGTATGGGTTTTCTAAGAGCTATTTGGGGGAAGTATGGGAATTTGGGAAATGGAAAAATGTATGGGTTATGAGGGAGTATTGATATTTTGACATCATATGTATCTATATCGATCGAAGATATTTACTGCTTTGGGGTTGAAGTACTCCTCCCCTCCTGTGAGATCTTGTTTTCATACTTTCAGTTTTTCTGGATATGATATTTCGACACTATATATGTACTGATCGTACATCAGTCAAGGATGTTTGCTGATTTGGGTTGCGGTCTTGGGGCCTCTCCGCCAGGCGGACCAAAGGCGATAGAAGACCATAGATATAGCTCCCTTGGGTCGAGGTATGAATCCGCTCATTTCTGACATCTGCGGTTGGCTGGGCAATGCCCCACTATGCGAGGTCAACGCAATCAATGCAGGATTTGCTGTTCAGTTACATTCGATCAAGAGGACCACCGCTCGGGCCCTTGACCGCTATTGGATTACGATATCTAATGGCAAATACTTCGTTCAAGCCACGCTCGCCAGGAGACTACATAATCTAGTGACCAACAAGAAGATCACCAAAAATTCTGTCATCGCAATCGATGGCTTTACTTGCTGTATCATTCAAAGCAAAAGGTGTTGTTGTTGATATCATCACCGATCTGTCATGACATAGGTATGAACTTTCGGGATTTTCATTATATTGGATCTACGTGTCATATTCCGGAAAGAAAAGAGGATAGGTAACCCGATCCCCTCATCATTACCACCAGTGGCTGCTCGGCCTGGAGTCACTTCACCAACACTCGCTGACGAAGCTCTACATTCTGACATCCCTGACTTAAGATGTGTTCCAGTTTGTCCTACTGCGCAAGGGAGATGGATGTGTTCTATCAAGTGTCTTGACATCTTCATGCGGGACTGGACCATCAGAGCTCGTGTCACAGGGAAGTCTGACATTCGACCCTACCAGTCGGGAGGAGGGGGGTGGATTTTCACCGTCACATTGGTGGACGAGTCTGAGGAAATCGGTGGAGTTGGCTTCAATGGTGCTGTCGATGCCATTTGCGACAAGCTGGACCCGGGAAATGTGTATTATATTTCACAAGCACGCGTGGTCGAGGCAAAGGAGAAATTACGAGCCTGGCGCAAATACGAACTGAGATTTGATAAGGACACAAAAGTGGAGAAGGTATTAGCTTACTGCGTTGCCGTGTCATTGGCTGACGTCGAAGGTAATTTATAACAGTGCCTGGAGCCGACCAGTATACCAATCAATAGGTATAACTTCATACCGATTGCGTCGCTCGGAGAATTGAAACCTGGTTCTTACTGTGGTATTTCTTCTAACTGTTGCCATAGAAGCATGTCAAATGTTGCATACAGATGTTATTGGTATATTGAAGGACATCGGCCCCCTGAGAAAGAGGCTTTGTGCAACCACTGGAAGAACGGTGAGCGTTCTCTCTCCATGCTAGCACCAATGCCATTCCCTACTTCCCTCGCAGGCCACTAATCGCCACCTTAACATTGTGGACAAGTCTCAGCATGTTGTCAGGGTTACACTGTGGGAAAAGCTGGCGGAAAGATTCCTTGCAGAAGACCTCTCGGTTGTCGCATCGAAGACCGTATGGGTCGGAGATTTTCGTGGTAAGTTCATGCTTATAGTCACCTATTTTATTTTTTTTTCCTTATGTGTAGTACCCTAAGGCAGATCACTAGAGATGAGAATTTTTAGCGTCATAACGGTTTCTCCGGACATTGAAGAGGCTCACCTCCTGCGCCAATGGTATGATGCCATTGGAGCAAACGCAACATTTCATTTTTACCCTAGCACATCGGTTTTGTGAAGTTTATCAACGACATAAGCTGTGGGGGCTTTCGGTTTTGTTAGGAAAGCATGTAGTATGTAGTCCTGTTGTCGTGCACGTGACGAAACGCGACCATTGAACGCGACGACGATGTCGACCCCCTCCGATGCAGTGAAACAACTCCAAGACAAGCTGGAAATCGCGAAACTACACATCCTCGATGCCCGCGCGGAACTGAAGTCCTATCACTTTGAAAGCCTTGACGACTCGACCTCTGGCGAGGGTGCACTCAGCGATCCAGCTATCATAGCCAGCGACGTCGTTGCACAAACTGTTCGTCCCCCCACAAGCCTGGCAGTCCGGTTGCAACCGTAACCATCTCATTGCAGCTGTTTCTGCGGAAACTCAAGTTTCAGTACTTGGAACAGAACGCGAAAGATAAGTATGTCAAGACCATCGTATCGGACGACGCTCCGCTCATAACCGCCGCCTCCAACGAGCAAATCCGCCTGCGAAATGAGGAGAAGAAACGAAAGTTGAAGGAAGCAAAAATGAAACTACTAGAGAAACAGCAAGACGTGCGGACGCTCGCTCCTCTGGTGGAGGAAGGTGTGTAGGCATTTATGGCTTTTCTTCCCTTTTACTGCCCACTACGCTTTGACCACAAGACTATCAAAAAGCACGTTCCCTCACATCTCTCGGAACGTCACTCTCAGCCAAGATTCTAGATGCGAAACTGGCGCTCACTCGACTGCGGCAAGCTCATCCTCAGCCACGCTTAACCATTGCCACAGCGACTGCCACGCTCGACGAGCAGGTTACACAAATGCAAGCTCTGGACGATGAACTACAAGGTTTGGAGAAGGGGATAGACGAATCCAAGGGGAAGATAAAGGCCGGAATGCGAGAAGTAGAACGACTAAGGGGGGTGGAGAAAGAACGCATTGCAGAACTCGAGCTTGTTGGTAAAGAATGCGGCGATGAGGACCCGGGACTAGGCAAATTTTATGATTGGTTAGTGCTTCAGCTTATCTGGGCCGCGTGGGGCCTCATTGAACTACTCGCAGGCTACAAGTAGGGTTGGCTGCCCATCGTTCTCTGCTATCTGTCGAGTCTCCTCGCGCGGAATCGGAGAACGAGCTGCGTCTAACTTATCACATCACCTCGCCCTTTTCAAAAGTTCCACAACAATTGATATTGACACTGCTCTCTGTCCCCAATACCCGGCAACTGGCATCTGCTAGCGCACACTTGGATGGCGTGGAAATAGACCTGGGAGACATCATACATGCTGCCGTCCAAGCCAATGACCCTTCAAGTCTTGTGTGGGCTGTCTACGCTTGGGTGAAAGAAAGGGAATCACAGTCAGTAACTTCGTAGCATGCGACATTTTTGCTCACTTGGCATGCTTGGCGTGTGGGTCCGTGGGTTTACGAGGGTGACCCATAGCTAGTGGGTAAATCGCAAATTCAGCGGGTTGACGTGGGGGGCTTCGCCTGTCGGGTGAAGTGTATCAGCGGCCACCGATTTTGACGTGTCCACCGCACGTGGGGATTCAGGAATCTCTGGTCGTTGGCCTCTCCACCTCCTGTGTCGAAAAATAAAATATTTAATTTTGTTTTCAGTTTTTTTATTGATTAGCTTATCATATCATAATTCCATTAACGAATGCCTTGCCTTGCCTGCCCAAGCAAAAAGCCCTGACTGAGACCCAAAGCATTTCGACTCACCCGACCTCGTGTCCTCTGCTCCCAACGACATCCGAGTCTCAGCCATGCCAGTGACAGAAAAACAGAGCACAGCTGAAAGAATGTCAGACCACGATAAGGATGCCGATCCCGACAGAGAAAAGTCGGGCAAATCAAAGTCCTCTTCCTCTTCAAAACGTACGTTTTCATTGACCACCGGTGTCCGTACTCGCACATCCTAAACCCGTCGAACATCCAGAGAAAGATTTATCCCATGTTCCTTGCAAATTCTTCAAAGTTGGCGCTTGCACAGCGGGTTCCTCTTGCCCCTTCTCCCATGTTGTTCCGGAACCTGGTCAAACCAAGGACGTCTGTGCGTGGTTTATCAAGGGAAATTGTAAATTCGGGCACAAATGCGCACTCGCACATGTACTTCCGGGTCAGAGTATGTCTATGGACAGGAAAAATAAGAAGGCTGCCCAGTTAGCCGCGAACGGCGGCGTGAATGCTGGCGCAAGTGGTGGGGGAGGTAAAGGCTCGAAAAAGAAGGACGGTCCGAGTGGACAGCCAGTTGATGGTGGTTCGGGTAAGGGGACGCCTGTTCATGGACGTCCAGGCCTTCTCTCTGGATCGACTGCACCGACACGTGCTACCTCGTCTCGCCCACCGATCTCCATGCCCCTGAAAGCCACCATTTCTCCCTCTGCACCGGCACCACCGCTCAAAGACACAGACTTTGCGGCGTTTGTGCTTCAGGACGACGATGACACAACCACAGCTAACGGGCCCGCTGACACTTCCGATGCTGTGGACTTCGCCGAGTCTACTAAAGGGCAAGCTGACAACGAGGATGAATCCGGACCTTCCTCCGCAAATCCTTCTGTACCGTCCGACTCCCCTACAGATGCCAGGAATCCCTCTCCGCCAACACTTCCTGTCAGTGTGCCCAGTGCCCCCCGTAGACCCATTCTCTCTGCGGAAGCCTCGGACCTTGGTCCAATAGGATCTCCTCCACGAGGTTCATTGCTCGCTCATTCACCTTTGTCGAAAGACCCTGTGCCATCCACCTTCCATGCTCAGACATCTTTGCTCACTGAGACAAGGAATCGCCTTGGGTCCGGACAAGGAGGTATAGCGTCGTCGCTTGGTTCCACCCACCCGCCCGCATGGAAAACGGAGCTTGGCCCAGTTCCTTCCCAGGTATTGACTGCCAAGACAACAATGGATGTTACTGTGGGTCTGAAGATCACACGGGCGGAGAAGGACCGCGACCGAGACGGCACTAGTTCTGAGGAGGATTTGGAGGAGTTTCTACCATCCTCCCTTACTGACCTACTCACACCTTCTGAGCGCTCCCGCCGCATGTCTCGCACTCACTCCAATTCTTCCCGTCCAACAAACCTGGGCGACATGTCGTCACCCCTTCACCCCCAGCATAACTCCCAAAATCAGAGTCACCAGCCGCACCACCGCTACTCTCGCTCTGTACCAGCACCTTCGCTTCTTGGCGACGTCAAGTCGATTTGGGCGGACCGTGCAGCCCCAAATAATGGGTTGCCTGGATCTCCTGACACGCATGCTTTCGGTGTGGGCACGATCGGCTCGGGTACACCGAGCTCTCTCAAGTCAAACGGCTTTGGAGCACCAGGTTCCGGTTTAGGCGGACCAAGTGCGACAACCGGGTCTCCGTTTGGGGCATCCCCCTTTTCGGATGATCTCCACTCGCCATCACCATCCTTGCTTGCGCCTTCTAATGCATCCGCTGCATTCCTTCCAGGTCTTCACCACTACTACTCTAAGATGAACGCGGCTAATGCACGCGTGCCTTCAAATACGAACGGACTGGGAGTTGGTGGAGGTTTGGGTGGATTAAGTGGACTGAGCCGGTCTCCCCTCTCGAACACTCCTCTGCACACACCTGCTATCGATGAAGGGCGAGCGGGCACCGGTGCTGGTGCCGGTCTTGGAGAGTCATTATCTCCATCTATCCGAGCTCTCCAGGCTCACGCACCAGGGCAGAGTCTTCCTCAGGGTCTCGCAGCGGGTTACTCCCGTATCCACGCGCTCCCAGTTGCAGTGTCCCCCGGGTCCCTTGGAACGTCCGCCGGTGGTGTTGCGCTCAGCCCTGGTCAGGGACAAATACCTTTCGGGACCAACGCAGGTTCAAGCACGGGATTGGGTGTGGGACAAGACTGGCTCTCCAACCACTCTCACGTTCTGACAGAAACCTTTTCGCACCTCTCCCTTTCGTCTCGCCAGGAAACAACATCCACCCCATCTCCTGGTCCTGTCCCATTGCCGTCCTCCATGGCAGGACTTGACTCTATGTTCTCCCGTCTCCCGACAGCACACTCGCCTCGTCGTACGTCGCCACAGTCGGCGACGAACAATGATAGGCACTGGCACAAGCACGGGGCATTCAGCCCATTAGGTCAACCAGTAACAACCGCGGATGATGACGACCTCTTCAATATGGAGTAGGAACCCACGCGGAAAATAAATCAATGACTGGCACACACAAGTGCCTTAAAACTTGGAAGTAAAGAACGATGCTACGAATGTACGTATTTACCGGTTACCGGCAATAATTCCGACGAGTCGGTCGGATACCTATCAGCCATCTATGGTTTTGGCTACTGTAACGTATCCTTACGATCCAAAATGTGTTGCCTTTCTTTCACGGTGGTGGTGTTGATATTTATACCATTCGTTGTGTTCTCACTTGTATGATCTAATCTTAAGTATTGAATACCTTCTGCCGCCTCCCGAGTGAAAAGGATTTATGCAGTAGCCGTATCATTGCACACGGTAATATAATACACAAATAAAACTCAACCAGACGGTATCAGGCACCCAGGAATCCTCCCTCTCCCGGATCATGTAACACCTTATAACCTTGACGCCCTAGTGTTCTACCTTGATCTCGCACTTGGACTTTTTCGCCGGTGTCTCCAGGTTCATTGCTTGACCCTCATATTCCTCTTCCTTCACCTTGCCGAATATCCCTGTCGAATTGGCTTCTCCAGCGCCGTCTCCACTCCTTCTTTCCCCGTCATCCGTTGTAGTCTGAACGACCGAGTCGTGATCCACGGAAGGGCCTTCGTGGGTACGGTCGATGGCGATTTTGCGCTTTTTCCCCCTGACCTTGCGCGATTTCTTCGGCGAAGGGATGAACTCCTTCCCGTTCTTGACCGCCCACTCGATTTCAAGGACTCTACAGCGTGCAACGGTCCAGTCGACGTACATATTCATTCGTGCGGACGATGGAACAGCACCGATGCACATGCGGGAAAGAAACCATAAGAGAAAAATAAGTCAGAATTAGGTTCCACTCATGCACAATTTACATAGAAAAACATTGATGATGAAAAGTATCCACCTCTCTCTGAGTTTGATATTATCCGGGACATATGTCTCGGCCTTGCGGTAAAGTTCGAGGGCCACGTCAAGATCGCCCCTGTCCGAGGTTTTGATCAGATCAAGTGCAAACAGTAGCGAGAAGTCAAGATGAAAAAAGAACCAACTTTTCAGAGTGAGCTCGTGCAAGGGCTACATATGCACGTCCGGTCTTCTTCCTGGAAGAGGGCGAGAGGACATCTGCAAGCTGCAGCTCCTTGTTTCCGCGCTCACTACCACAATATAAGCGCTTGCATTTGACGGACAATTCCCATGACTGAATGAAAACGCACTACTTCTGTTCGAGCTCCGCAAGTCTTGCGCGGAGCTCTTCGTCCAAGTCGCGATGTCGCTTCAGCAATGGAGTCAACACACCAGGTGGTAACTTCTGCTCTGCTGCTTTCTCCCTTTCGGCTGCTTGTTTCTCCATGATTGCAATATTCTCCTTCTCTTGTTCAAGGCGAGCCTGCTCCTCTCGCTCGCGTTCTTCACGCTCCTTGAGGCGCCGTGCGACTTCGGCCTCCACTGCCCTTGCAATCTGGTACAAGTTTCGGCCGTCAGATTGGCCAACAAAAGGAAATTCCGGAATGTGTGTAGGTACTCACTCTTTCGTCAATTTCCTTGTCAGTCAACTGTACGGCGAGTTCCGGCTTTGCGAGAATCGACGAATGGCGAGAAGAGGGCCTGGAGTGGCCTGGAGGTAAGAGCCCTGTACCCACGTTACTTGGACGAGGAACCCGTGACGGGCGCGGACCTCTAGTTGGACCGACTACCGCGGTGGTCATCACTGCGGTGGTAGAGGAAGCATGTACTGGAACAGAATTAAGGATGGCGGGTGCAAGTTTGGGTGGAGGTGGCTGAACGGCAGCAAAGTGTGGTTTGGGTTGTGGTCGGTTGTCTAAAGACGTAAAAATGCCTCAATCTATGAGAAAGGTACAAAGTCAAGAGGAAAGTACACACCGCGCTCGTTGACGACGGGCCTGTTCTCAACATTCTTCGTACGCACAGCAAAACTGGAAAAGCATTAGCTAATCGGTTATCACTCAAGAGCAAAACCGTACTTGAGGGTATTTAATGTATCCTGTCTGAATTTAACTCCGGGTGCTATGTTACATATCAGCAGTCCAATAGAGGAACCGCCCAATGCATCTTGTAGGATTCGAGTGAGTTTGGAATTGCGGTATGGTATGCGAGCCTAATTTCATGAGTCGAATGACAACGTCCACTCGACAATAACTACGCACCGCTCCTTGGTTGAGCGCATGAACAACCTGGCCCAGAACACTCAGGCTCTTGTTGATAGCAGCTGATTCCGCCATACGGGTTGGGTCATTTCCGGTGAGTTTGTTGTTCTCGGAACCGGCCAAATCGACGAGGTTGATTTTGCCTGTGAGAGCTGGCCGCGGCACACTCGTTTCAAATGCATGGTGCTAATCGTTGTGCAGTGTACTCACTCTTCTGGGCAGTCGAGTCTGTCATTGTTACTTCGAGAGTAAGGACTGCATGTGAACGAGAGGAAGCACGATTAAGATTTGTTGCACCAACGGAACGGTGCCGAGAGGCCCGTCTGCAAAGTTCAGCTCAGTTCACGTCGCTATGAACGAGGCCATAACCCAACATACGAATATATTGTGTCAAACTCTTCCACGGATTCAATGGGTAGCGACGTTAAATTTGCAACAAACACCTGGCCGGCGTCGTTCTCCCGCACCGGAAGTTTCGGAGCCTGACCACAGATAAATTAATCTCCCGTGTCCAACAAATTTCTGAGGTTCCACCTCATGACGCGAAAGGCACGTGCAGAAAAAAAAAAAAAAAAAAAGAAGTGCTCACTGTGTCTCGATTGACAAAAAGATCGTAGACCTCGTCTTTGTATATTTCCATGTAGGATACAGAAAGCTCAACTCTGGACTTCTGGAGGGAAGCCTTTTGTTGAAACATTGCCTACAGCACAGTTTTCATAAACAGAGGGGTAAAGGCATTTGATAAAGACAGACCTCCACGACACGAGGAATAACTCCAGCTTCTGCCTTGGTACCTTGCATCGTATGAGTCTTGCCGGACGAAGTGACGCCATATGCGAAAATGGTCACCGTCTACAAGTGGTTCGAGAGTGAGGGTTAGAATACAAGCGTCCTAGGATAAGCCTCGACGAGAAATATCTATGGAAATACGTACAACACCGCTGTAAACAACGTCGATCAGTGGTCGTACGTCGCGTTCGAAAATCTCTTCTTGTGTGGAATTCTGGTCATAGCAAGACGAAAGGCTGCATTGAGAATCAGAACATGATAGTTCAAAACCTCAAGGGATGGAGGGGCTTACGGAAAATTGAATATTTGCGACAAATCACGAGGATTAGGAACACTTATACAGGACAGACTCCCGGGCGTATGGGAAACTTGTATGCCCTCGTCGTCGATCTCGTGCGGCAACCGTGGTCGAACGCGAGCTGCAATCTTGATTCTGTGGGTGGCAGTGGCCATGAAATGGAAAGTCCTAGATTATGATGACGGTATGTATGTGAATCGGTGAGATGACCAAGCGTGTGCACGATGATTGAGCAGTCTGGGGAAGTTGCCCAGGTCAGAACGGTAGCAAAGGTGATCGCTGTCAAAACTTGTCAAAGGCGCCGCCTCTCCTGTTCTCGTTTCTACCTGTAACGAAGATATGCTGGTTAAGTTCGCTGAAAGCCAAACAGTGGCTGGACCTGTGAACAATGATAAGTACAGAGAAGGTGAACTCGTCTTCCGACCAACTTGGACGCGTAGCGATCACGTGATCGCGTACCTTGCAGAATTCCTTCACAACGGTTAATACCAAGGTTGCGAGGGCGAAATACTGAGCACCTGCAATGTATATAATGCTTGGCCTATCCAGCCCCCAGGCAATTGGCGAAAAAGAAAAGTTACAGGTCCTGCCAGGATTCGAACCTGGGTTTCAGGAAAGCTGGAATCAGAATCCTGAGTGATAACCGCTACACTACAAGACCCTTAACCGTCTGCATGTCTTATATAAGCACAAGCCGCAGCTATATACAAATCTACATAATAACGGAGTCATCATAAGCGCCGTATCAAAATAATATCAAGCCATTGGACGTGACACCAGGGTGATAAATAGCTATGGTCGCCAATATCCAAGGGTATTCGAAACATCCATCAAAACGAACCATCAGGTCTTGAAAATCCTCAAAAGGCGTGCCTCCGTGACTATCCGTGTACGACATAATGGACATTCCCTTGAGCTCTGCATGACCAGGTCAGAACATTCACGACACATGGCAAGATGTCTGCAGTAAATGAGGGTCAGAAACTCAGATTATCCAAGTAACTGGAAGGGCCAGCATACCCGCAATCAACGACGGCAATGTTTGCATCTGCATCTTGACAGACGACGCACAAACCAGAGCGATCCGCATCCAGGTGTTTACTTTGCTGCGACTTGCCCTTCGAATGCGTCGAATCAGTCGACGCGTGTGACTGGGACTGTGGCCCCGATGGCTGTGGTGTAATTGGTCGTGGTCTCGCGCCCGTGTCAGTCTCAGGTGCCGAAGAATGTCCTCCACCATCCCCGCCAGTTCGTTCATGCCCACTCATACCAAACTCATCGTAGATGTGGTCATTGTCATAGTCAGGAAACTCGTGTCCTGGGTTTGCAGGTCCTGGCCGCGCATCACGCCACTCAGTATCAATATCTTCATAATAGTCTTCGTCATTGTCACCGTCCACCCTTCTTCTTTCCTCCTCCAAGAATATCCAAACCCGGTCCACCAAGTCCTCTTTCTCGCAGACACCGGGTGGTATCCTTACACGTGCTTCCCATAGAATCTTCTTAAGCATGGCTACCGATAACCCTGCTATCGCAGAACGAGACTGGGTGAGCAACGTCTCAAGTGGAGGTGGGGTGCAGGGTGCAGCGGATGCGGGCGGGGGTGGGGCAGGGGGAGGTGGGGTTGGACGGTCGGAAGCAGGATGATTTTGTCGAGAGAAACTGGTAGTGCGAGATTGTCCATGTGGCGCTTGAGACCGTGAGTTACTTGAAGTTCGCGGGGAACCAGAATTCGAGGGGTGAGATGCCGCTCGAGCTCTTCCACCGCTCGCGGGTGCGGATCGCGAAGCATACGGCCTACGATTTGCTTCTGGATGACCATACACTTCATCAAGATCCGGGCGAGGGAACGGTTGCGCTCGCGAGTTAACACTGTGACTAGTTGTGCTGTTCGGTGTACGACTGGTGTTCCCTGCGTGATTTGAGCCAGTCCTGGAGGAGGCGGGAGGCGGATTGTTTGACGTGCCACGATTGAATAAGTTCCGAGCATACGCTGCCGCAGAATGATGGGAAGGGCCACCCCGGCTGGCATACTTCGGCACCGCGTGCTTTCGGTAGTGTGCCTCATTTGCCGCTGGGAGACATCCTTGTGGTGTCTGGTGGCGAAGAAAAAATAAGAGATGGTGTTAGACTACATTATGTCTCAAAGAAACCGAAGAGGAGAGACAAAAGAGTCGCGTGCACTAGCCACTACACAGGATGACAACTGCAAGAAGACGAACCCGAGTGGCTATCAACGCGTCAACGATGTCGTTCTTGTCCACTGCTCCCTTGATCGGAATGTTGTAGGCATCGACGTAGCGCCTGAGTTTAGAAAGAGGCAGGGTCCTAAGCTGGTTCTTCCCAAGAGAAGTTACTAAATTCCGCACAACATATATCGTAAATGAATGATAGGACCACATGAGCAACATGTAGAACGTTTACACGTACCATTCAGTAATTCGATGCAGTACGCACACACGTGGGCAAGATCATACCCGCGCACTGGGGCAGGGCGAGGCATTAGGGCCTGATAGTCCGTACAGTTGGTACAGTAGGTATATCCTGAGGTATAGAGATCTGTTAAGGTGCGTGTTTCGTACAGAGGCGGGAATGACGACATACCGCAATGCATGCATTTCCTCTGCCGATTGAAGACAATACCGAACTCCTTTCCACATTTCCTGCATGTACTGGCCTCAGGTAGCGAGGGAGGCGGAGGCGGTCCACTGAGAAGGGGTAGTCCCTGACGACTCATGGCAGCCACCGGTTGGGTCAACCCACAGCAGATTCCAGAAAGATTCTTTGCTTATGTCTCTAGCCTCGTACGAGCTGAGTTCGCTCGGCTACCAGTGAGGCGATGGTGGTGGTAAGATAACAAGATGGGCTGAGGCACTAGTCTGGACGGCTATATCGGATCACGTCAGGTGAACTTTCAGTGCCCCTTATCCAGCGCAGCACTTTCCGGAACATTCACTGGGCATGCCTACAACAATTAATTGTTGTTACAGTAATGCGGTTCAGCGCGCATTCTCGAGGTACAATCTTCCCCTGATCAGTCGCATCGAGCACTGCCGCAGATGTCACACATTCGAGACTCATGGCGAAAAGCAGCAGTCTAAGCCAGTCGCAGGTAGGAATGCAAGTCCAAAGAGTGACAACATATGAATGTTGCATTTACACTGATCCGCTATACTCAGTTTTGCCCTGTCCTCCATTCTCCCGTTGCCGCTAGTGCCGTCTTACCGGCAAAGATAGTCGGTACAGCGAGGATCCCCCCATAAAGCAAAACTTGGCCAAGCTTGAGGTCCACCCAATACCAGCAAAGAAGGGCTTCAAAAGCGCCAAGCAGAACAGTGAAGGGGATGATACGGGGAGAGAACAGATGTGGCACCCGCACACCTATTTTGCTCCACTGTGCAAGGCATTAAAGGCAAAGCGCTTCGCGTTCTGGACAAACTCACCAAACCAAGTAAGACCAGCCACGGCGAGAGTACGAGAGCCGCAAATACCGCTGACACGAATTTTGGAGGGAGCTTCTGTTCGGGACGGAAAGTGTGGTGAATTAGTGGCAGCTCGTGGAACTTGGCCTCGTCGGGGTGTGGTGCTGGCGTGTACGATGACGGCACGTAGAGGTCAAATAGATCAAATGTCGTAGGTTCGTGTACGAATGAACCAAGTATGAGGGATACCTCCAGCGGGTGATCGGTAGTGGGTGGCAAAGATGCCGGAGGGCGTGCCATATTCTTCTGGCGCATTAGTTCAAGTACTTGGCACCCATAACTGGGAACAGACCAGTTCAAATTTGGCCTTGCCTCCCGGAGTGACTCGGACAGGTTGTATGCCTTCCTCTCCGGAGACACTGTCATAGAAGCGAAGGAATGTCTGGTGAGGTTGCACACCCTTGCCCTCGCTCTTTTCTGTTATCTGGAACGTGAGCTTCAACGTGTCGGAGGGTTCGAGCTTCAAGGGCTCTGGTTTTTCCGTGAGCGAGAGACTGTTGGGACGTGTTGTCAGGTGCTGCGGGATATCGAACGGTTCTAGTACACATACGTATCCGCACGCAGCTGGGCTGCTGTTGAAGAGGTTATGGTGAACCGGGGGTTCTGAAGCGACAGGGAACCAGCATGGACACAGACGGCAAGAAGTAGCCAAGTGAAGTGAAGTGCAATGCGGGGTACCATGGTTGAGGAGAATGTCTGATGCTTCCGTTCCGCGTTGACGTGTCACTGAAATATTTATGACCGCCAAAGCAAGTGAACAAAAAAAGAACAACTTCGAAAGTCAAACACAAGGCTCTAGTGTACATGTCTACATATCCCTTTCCATAGCTTTCCACTTGTTACAGTTCAGTAGGCCAGTAATGCAGCGGCGGAGAGCCGGCAGGTTGGGAGATAAAAAAGAAGGCCCCACCGTGGTTCGAACACGGGACCGCACGATCTGCAATCGTATGCTCTACCACTGAGCTATAAGGCCTTGCTGTGCAGAGCTGCAGTCTTCGTGCTGAATTCGGCACGGAGAGACTATACCCCCACGGAGCCACTCTCTTCCTTGACCATTCGGTCCGGCCGGTCTATCGGGGCCGCTAACACAGAAATTCACAGCTTCCACATTTTGAAAACAAGCGAACATGTCCTTCCTACGGAGTATGTGGCAACGGTGCTTCTGGCGAGTAAGTCAGGCCACGTCTAAGCCAATAGCGTCTCCATTTTGACGTGTCAAGGAAGCCATATCTTGTAGGCAAAGACTTAGAAGGTACATGGCTGCATGATGGCGCAGTTGCGTTCGGGCTGCGCTAATAGATTCCTTCAGGAAATCGATATTTCGAGTTCCCTAACCGGGGGGGCGGTCAGTCAGTCATACCAATTTGCCCTGTCCTGCTCGTTTACACAGCCGTGATAGATCGTCCAAAACGCATTATACAGTACACCAGCGACGATGATATGTTGGCTTACGTTGCTAGTGGGAAACGCTTACCAGGTACCAGAATTCTTTGGTGCTCTCATTCAAAAAAGCTGATGGCCTGGTAGTGCAATGGTCATCTTGGTTGACCTATACTAGACGTGACGCTCCGACAATAGAGGTATGCTATATTGCTAATCAGTCTATCACTTCGTCATCGGACATCACAACGCATTTGTTGGCATGCATGGATAGGAGGTTCAGGCGGACTTAGCATATCGGAAACGGGTACAAATGAACGCTGCCAGACTCGAGGCGAAGGAAAAGGAAGAGCGCGCTCGCCTGGCATCTCAGACTGCTTTTCAGCTTTCGCATGCGCTGAGGGCTGGCATACCGAAACACGTGGAGCCTCCTTTGGATCCCAAAAAAGCACAATCGGACCGCCGGGAACCAGACACGAAGGCGTATGACCCATGGGCAACTGCCAATAAAACTCCCGAAGCACCACAATCGTGGACTCCAACAGCTCGTCACAGGTAACAGCCAGAGATGTCGTGTGGCTCGGTGGCCTTCTGCTAGGAGGTTTCTCTGTTGGCGACCTAACGGGACTACATTTTTATACCCCAACTACGGCAGTTTCGTCTTCAAATAGATCTGACGCCTGTGTCAGAGTCGATATTCTGCAATAATTTCTGATGATTATAATCGCGCTCTTTGGTATGCTAGCAGTTTGCCCGTTCATCAGCGAGCATTAGTGCAACCACCTGAGATATGCTGCTTAGGCGGTTCACCCATTGGCGTCATACAAGCGTCATACTCAAGCTCGGCGATCGCCGGATCTTCTCCGGCGATTGCCGTCGACAGTCCAACTTTGGCTCGCCCACCTCAACCCTTTCCTTCATCCTGCGACAGCTCGAAAGCTACGAGGCTCACTACGCACGAGAAGCGTCTTTGCGCGCCTCTTCACTTGTGAGCGGGCTAAGGTCTGAGTATTTTAATCCCCCTCGATCGACTCTAGCCGGGTCCTGTCCTAATGGGCAGCGCGACGTACCAGAAAAGCAGTGGCGAGTCGTCTGTACTCCATGACCACGTTCATGTGGGAGAGCGACGGCGATAGCTTACTTTGAAAGGCGTCGTGGGGATCGGGCGGATTTTTTCTCCCATCGAACGTGGATTTTAGTCGCTCAACCGCGGTGCTTCCCCATTCCAGCTCCCTGCAGCTGGGGCGGCCCTGCCGCCTGCTCACCCAAGGCACACGCCTTGTTACGCACTCCAGTCCTGCACTGGATATCGGTCGATCACCGACCTTCCACTGTACGGGTATGCTCGTACGCCGTATGGGGAGTGACAACGGGTCCATCGTTTGACCGGTCGAGTAATTCCACCCCTTCAGTGCACTTCGTGGCTCGCAGTACCTCTGCGAAACTCGATTCAGACTACTCTCGGGCTGTCGTGGATGGCTTTTTTTAAACCATTTTTTTTTCTTCATTCCTCTCTTCGTGAGGGGCTCTACCTGACTGACTTTTCGTTGTGCAGGATTGAGATGATTTGACGTCTGAAGTCCTGCACAACGAAAACTCACATGTACCGTGATTGTACCTGACCTGCGTAACGCTTTACCAACAGGCAAGATGGCATTTCTTCAGCTGTCTGTTTGTGAAACATCGCCAGGCGTGTATGGTATTAATCCAATGTCCAGTCAAACTCAGGATGCATACTGTGCTACTCTTTGTGCTAAGAACACACTGTCCCATCTTCATATACCACCTAAGCTGACTTCACTTCGGGATGAGGGTGTCCTAGCGGCATATGGGAGAGGAGGGATGAGCTGTTGTGTCTGGTCCCTGCTCCGCATCTCCCGTGCATGCGCTTGGCGGACGTAGGCGTACCGTTGGAAATGGTTTAGGGTTTGAAGGAACATCACTCCAACCTACGAGGTCAAACGAGACTTCATAAGCTTTTCGCTGAGGTTGACAAAAACTGCAGTAACTACCCACCGGATGTGCCCTCAGCTCGTTGAAGATGTCGAGCGTTGCTTCCCGCACCACCTCTTGTTGGTGGAATAGACAAAAGCTTAGTGGCTGAAGTCCGCCTAGGTACAGCGGCGTATGTGCCAAAAGCTATGTGTGCACAAGGTTCCGAGTTGGCGCCCGAGGTGAGTATTAAGGAAGACATACGTGAACGGTGACATACCTCGACAACCTGCTCGTGCGATCGAACGTTTTCGGCGATCTTCCGCGTGATTAGCTCTACCTCGACATCTGGCACATTCTTCCCGAAACGTAGGCGGCACAACTGGTGAGCGAGGTCGAACCCCTTGATTGAGCTGGTCGCCAGAAATACTTGAAAATCCTGTCTTTCAATCAGCACCACGCTATAACGATTTGACAGTTAGACTTTACTTACGGAAACACAATATTGGTGCAACTTTGTACGCCGCCAACCCTCTATTCTGCTAGCGTTGGCTGCAAGCTCTTTTAGTGCCGCTGCTTCATCTGGGAAGACCACTCCACTGCCTAGTGATCCCTCGGCGAGAGCGGCGCTCGGGTAGTAAAGTTTCGTAGTCCCAGAAGTCACCTCCTCGTACCGCGACGCCAGCCTCACAAAACGCACAACGTACTCTACAAACCGTAGACGCACGACGTTCTCACCGAAGCGTGACGTTATAGCCGAGATGATCTGTACAAGCTCGGTGAGCAGTAGCAGGGAACGGATAAGAGAAACACGTGCATCTTCCATAAATATGTTGTCGAAGCTGTCAGCTTTGGCAGTGAAATCAGTTTTCTGACTTGTTTCCTTGTCACGCGTCGCGATGCGTGCAATCTCTTCCTCGCTTGCGCCAGAATTTTCAGCACGAATCGCTTGACGAGTTAGCAGCGGTCCGATCGCCGGTGGAGTAGTCGGGAAGTTGATATGAATATCCCTATGTGCCACTACCCTGGCAGTTCCAATGTCCATCAACAAGTCCCAAGCTATGGAGGTCTCGAGGATGGGATTGGTAGCTCCTGCAATATATGCCGGCCTATAGTTTCCGCTATTAGCACATACTGACGGCAAGACTATGGTTATGAAACCAACGTTGAAGCCCAATCTTCTCCACCAGCTAATCCAGCGTACGGGAACGCCCGCTCGATAAACCCGCGCATGCCTACACCACATCCTGATCCGAGAGCACAGGCCGACAACACGTAGTTGGCCACCTGTCCAGCGGGTATGTTGTGCCCCAAGAAAAGAACGCGTTTTCCGGTGATGAGGGCATTGAAGAGTATTATTATAGGGTGAGTAAGACTTCCGTTGGAGTGCAGATGAGGATGTAAAGGTCCTGTGACCGTAACTAGTGGTGTAGAGAATGTTTGAATTAACTGAATTAAGGAATACTTTAATGAAGGATGTCAGTAAGACGGGAGGAAGTAAACTCGAAGTTGCAACAGGCACTCACATCGCCAACTTCTTCTGGAAAGGTAGCAAGAGGAAGCTTGATGGGCAAATGATGTTCTTTGTAAATTATAGATGTCTGGAAGAAGTGGGTATCCTTCGATATTCCGGAACGCAATTGGGAGTCCGAGGCTGTGGGTATCGGTACACCGTGCGTATGATCTGTCCCTATCCCGCTGGATGACGAGGATGACGCGTCGGTAGACCTGCGTCCACGACTTGCTAGAGTACCGCTGCCAGATGCAACGCTACCTGGGCCCCCTCCAATGGCTAGGCCGACCTGAGAATCGAGAATGACGCTGTCGTCATTGACCCAAACGGCACTCCCCCCCAGAGAAAATGAAGAATCTGACGGGGAAGATGGGTGGTGCTGTTGTTGATGTAAACTTGTCGTACTACTCTTCGCTGCCAATTGTTCCCGAGCGCTTCCGTTGTATGGGTTGCGGTTTTTCGCCACGATACTTTCCTCACTCGAGTGTGAACTTGAAGATGAGGTGGTCTTGTGCTGATTGTTGGTCTGCGAGCCTTGTGATCCATTTAGAGGTGTTGCTGCCGTGTGGGGAACTTTGGGAGGAGCGAACTTCTCGGAGAAAATGTCTTTCCGTTCGGATGCACGCATAATGAGCTTCTCAAATCGAGTCATCACTGGAGCGGTCGATATATCCATAGAGTTTATCGTGTCGAAGAGCCGAGCGAGACAGTCCTGGGATGGGTTGGCGAAATAGTCATCAAGGGCCAAAAGAAGCACAGGCTGATGGCAGGTGTTTCAACCGTGAAAACTGCAATGATCTCGGCGGGTACATACTTTAAATATTTGAATGAAGGGATGACGCGTGCATACGGCCATTGCTTTGACTACGGCACCTCTACATATAACAAGTTGCAATGAGGGATGCCACAGACAAGTACTCTCAAAACACGCACCTTCGAACCGACTTATCATGTTTTGTCCGTACAAGGTTTAGGACATATATCAGCTCTGGGCGACTTCCCTCTGTGCCGGAATGGTCGTCGCTGGGTTCGGGCGTCTCCAAGGCAAGAACGGGGGCAATAGTGTTGAAGGGAGTCTGATTAAGGAAGAATATGGTCCAATCTTCGAGGTGTCGCTCTGCCCCATCAGGGAGCATCAGATGTGCAAGTAACCTGCGTTCGAGAGTCAGCCACGAAGATGGGAATTGAGTTGTGCAATTCGCACCCCTCGTCTGCGCCCAAAGGTTGGGGAAATTGATATGTGAGTTGCGCACCGCTATCAATGTCGAATTCTGCGAGCAGAACGAAGGAGCAGTGTGGTCCCTTGGTGACCATGGTATCCAGTTGTTGACAATTACGTCCACAATGACTATTCCAGGGGTATTTTGTGATATGGACACTTATGTAGCGATTAGAGCAGCATAACGATTTTGGTGATCCTCGTCAACGACGACTTGGGAACAGCAACTTTGATCACATTTCCTTTTCTGGCGAGGCATGCATAAATCGAGAAAAGCCCCTATTCAACCATACACACACTGTGACACTAGTAATCTCTCAGAATTGCCTTGAAAGTTCGACAGCTCTGTTGACCATGGCAAACAACTCCGAGAGCTTCGCATGCAGACGATCTTCAAGAGACAAGGTCAGAGTCGACTGTTCAGTGGGAAGGCATGTTAGACGGGCGACTTGCCTCTTTCTACTTCGGCCTGCTGCAACTCGGTGATTTCTCGCTCCAAGTCATAGTTATGAACGTTGCGCTCGTGCACAAGGCGGGCGGACCACCAAGCATATTTCTTGAGTACAAGTTGGAAGAGCCGCTTGCGGAGCTCTGTAGCATTCTCGTCGACCTACCGCCCGCATACATGCGCTAACAATGTAATGTTACCTTTTCTGAAGGCTTCGTCTTTTCCCGCGAAGTCTTCAACAGTGCCGGCGATCGACGATATAAGTGTGTCAGTGGTCGAGGTCTGAGTGAGGACCTCTTCCAGAGTGGGTGCCGATGACTGTGCCTTCGTCAGTTGTGAAGGGATATCAGTCGCCGGAGCAGTGGTGATGCAAATGTCATCACTAGCAGCTCTGTCATCGTCTGCTGTGGGGGGAGACGAGGTATACTCAGTAGCGTTCATGGCAGAATGTACGTCGGGTCAGACTAGTTCCAGGTCACTGAAGACGCGTTTTATACCAACGCAGAGTCACATGACGCATCATGCACACAAGGGAGTAGGTTGTAAAAATTGCCTGTAGTCATCGAAAAGCATCGCATTATTGTCGCTGACAAGAGAAGCTACCCTAGTCCAATCTAAAACGTCCATTTCCTCATCGCGGGGCAGGCAGTCCAGTCGCCGCAGCGCCAATTTCAGTCAGCTCAATCAGTGGGTCCAGCTTGCCTTTGAGTTCTGGCAAGTATGCCGCATCGGTGTACGGACAGCGCAACGAGGGCGACTTCTTGTAGATGGGTGTGAATGTCGCTGCACAAATCTCAAATTCGGTAAATTCGTCATAGAGAACCTCGATAGCATCCCGCGGGTTACGATCGCCCGCCGCAATGCGCTGCCGTGCCTGGAACGATGTGATGTCAACTAGAAAAGCGCCATACATCAAAGATACATACCTGGGCGACAATTTTCGGGTCAGGGTTGAGGTCCAAAAGACGCCTGGCAAATTTAGCAGCCGTTGCATGATTGTTGGCCTTGGCGAAGACACCGATGGCACTACGGAGAGCGATCTGCATATGCGCAGGTTGGAGCTGGCAATGTGTAAAGTACGCTGCAAGCTCGAGACCACGACGGACGCTATCCGGCTCTTCTTGCATCACGCGACGCCGCTCAAGCTCAATTGACGCCCCTAATAGGTATTCCCGAGCAGTTGTGACTGTATCTCGCCACTGAGAATGCATTAGCCAGAGTCAGGGAACGACGAAAGTAATTTACTGACCTCCTTTGCGTCCGCATCCGATGACACAGTCACCAAGAGCAATGCTTGAAGAACAGACCTGAATGTGGCTTGGGCGTCATGAAGCTTGTTGCCTGAGACGAAACGGAAGCCCTCGGTCAGCTCGGTACGAATTGTAGCGAGTGTCCGGGCTGCTACAGGTAACACACGACTGGCGGAACTTTCTGACGGATTGCGTCTCACGTGTAGTTGCACTGGTGGCATAGCAGCAATGGGGGTAAGGTAGACGTGGGAAGATCGGTAGGTCGATAGGAATAGAGGCTTGAGAGGTGCAAAATTCACGACTCCGAATTGACGGTTCAGCAGCTGGAACGCATCAGGATGAAAACCACAATGCAATGCTCGAGTGGAGAGTCGCATACCTGCATAGCAGTCTCGAAAGAACCGGCTGCAACATGATCCGCGGCAAATGGCGAATTGCGAACCCAAAGTTCAGTCTCACTCACGCCAGGTGCAGCTCCCGCACTAAGACCATCTTCCTCGTCGACAGCGTCTTCGAACTCGTCCTCCTGTTCTTCGGTTTCCGCAGTATCGGCGTCAAGCTCCCAGCCACCTTCTTCGGGGTCGATGACGTCGTGGGTTTCTTCTTCCTTCGCCCAGTCGTCGAGAGCAGAAGATAGCGCACCGCCCGAAGCATCAGCGCCGTTGGCACGGGGAATTTCGCCATCCATATCCAGATGTCCATTCGCAAGGGCTCTGTCCCAAAAGCTTTCTGCTCCAGAGATAAGAGGCCAATTGAGGTTCTGAGTAGAGTTAATGATCGGTGGGGGCTTGAGTGTTGATTGGCCGAAAGAAGGAACATCATCGACGTCGGCTTCCGTCAACCCTGCGGCTCCGAGAATATCCGCCGCCAGGTCTTCAAGCCCGTTCGTTTTTGCAGTAAGGTACGCCAAGGAGTCTGTTCCTGGTTCAGTACGTTATCTTGCAAAGGAAACAAAGACATCTCACAAAGGCCGACATCACGTAGAACGGCAATACGATTGTGAACGTCGCCCGCGTAGAGGGCGTTATGGAACCTAGACATCGGATCGCCTCGAGCATCAGCAATCTTCTGCATCTTGGACAATTTTTCTGTGCTGCCGACAGCCATGTACAAGAATGATAAACGATCGAAGTTTTTCGTTTGTTGAAAGGCTTTTTCAACGATCTGCCAGGGATCAGGCTCCCCATTGTGATGGAAGGAGCACCTCACAAACCTTGTGATTACCCTGTTTGAGTGCCTGTTGTGCTAGTCGATCCCAGCACTCAGGTCTGTCAATACTTCTGGCGGTCTCCAGTGCGACGTCAAGGTTTCCACATTCGATAGCAAGGTCAAACCGAGTATTTTTGTCTTGAACGAAATGGAGCGCGATCTGAGGGACAGTTGGCCAAAGTTGGCAGTGATCATTCTCCAGAGGCCACGCACCTCGGGGAAGCCCTTCTGCTGCAGATATGCAATAATACTCTGCCCAATAAGTGTCGACGTGCGAATGATGTGTAACATTTCCTCGTAATTGTTCCGCAATAACGCAAGCTTGAAGCGGTACTCGGTGGGGTCAAATGTGATGGTCCGCGGACGTGCGGAACGGTCCAAGCAATATGCAGTTTTGCCCTTGATGCGAGTCAGGTAAACAGGGTTGTCAAGTGTGCAAATAACACCCTGGTCCCTAGAAGCGAAGTAATGTCAACATGTGCGAACTCGGCACTGAGTGGATAGATATACCCTTGAGGGAGGCAGTATTTGATGTGGTTCAGAGTGGAATATATGAACACTCCCGTGTCATCCCAAGCTCCGGACTTGATGCGGATGGTTTCATGAATCAAACTACTTTGAGCAAAGTTTTTGTTCGCGATAGTCACAGCTGCAGAAACATCAGTTTTGGTGTGATCTCCTATCAACCCTGGTACCCACTATGCTTGCTCATGAGCGCCACGAGCTGACCATCCGAGCTCCACGTAATATACTTCACTGGCGGACTGTTCAGTTCCGCAATGACTTTTTCTTGTTGGAGGTCATACAGAACGACGGATGACGTAGAGCTCAGGATAAGGCATGCAGTTCCGCCATAGAATATCTCATTCGTTTGCACAGGAGGCTTGATTGTCTTCACCACGGAGTTGGACAAGTCGCGGACCTCAATCAACTACGTTGAGGTCTGGTCAGCGATGCTCAAAGCGGAAAACATCAGACGTACTTGGTTTGTTTTCTGTAGTACAGCAAACCTGTTCCTCGCCACAAAGATGGCACTTTGGGCAGCTCCGCGCTTGCCGTCAACAGAGGAATCCTTGACTTCACCATTCGTCTGAGTGGGAAGCGTAGCCAACTCGTATAAACCGTTGTCCGAGGATATAGTAACAACCACGGCTCGCTCCGCAGGGTTGTAGCTCAAGGTCCTTGGGGGCACATACGGACTACCAAATTTGCGAACGCTAAGTAGGCCAATATCCGATCCAGTGTTGAAATCGTAAGCTCGCACATATTTATCCCGAACGTAGAAGAGGGTATCAGCATAAACAGAAAACGCGGGGCGTTCCCGTTCTAGCTTGAACACTATCAAGCCGCTGTCATGTCCTAGATACGGATGTCTCGTCAGTAGTCCGTACTTCCATCCATCTGGCATACCTGCTGCGAATAAGTTAAGGGTCGGATGTACTGCAAGGACCCAGAATCGGTCGTGTTCTCTTCGGAATGTCTGAATGGCAGTGCGTTTGGCCAGGTCCCAGACGCGAACGGTTTTGTCTTCTCCACAAGATACGATCAACTCATGCTTGGGATGAAAGAGGGCATTTGACACGTTGTTGAAGTGACCTCTGCAAGAATCGACTTCCCAAGCCTTCGTTTCACTCATTCTCCAGATTTTAATCGTCCGGTCGTCAGCAGCAGAGACTATTAGGGGAAGCGATGGGTGGAACGACGCGAAATTGACGCCCCGATCATGACCTTCCAAGACGTACTTGACCGTCGAGAAAGTGTCGAAAGTCTCGAAATTGCTGGGTCCGCTACCAGGAGTGTTTTTGCGTAATCCTGATATATCCCATACGCGTACAGTTTGATCCATCGATGTTGACACGATGAGGTCTTCTTTCGGATGGAACTGAGCAGACATCACATAATGTGAGTGACCTGTAAGAATGGCAATACAGTTGCGCGATGTACTGTTCCATATACGAATTGTTTGATCATCGGATGCAGACAACTAAAGCCCGAGCCAATATTGCATCAGCAAAGACAATGATGCTTCTCTTTGGGGACTCACGATCCATGGCATTTCATGGTGAAACTGGACGGTCCGAACGTAGTCTAGATGTCCATGAAGGGTAAAGAGGCATCGTCGATTCTGAGGGCGGAGGTCTGCAACAAGTGAGATTTACTTGACACGAAAATTCATTTCGTTTACCTACCCCAGACTCTAATCTTGTAATCATCACCACCAGTTACTAGCAGGGCCCTTGTTGGGTGGATGGCGACGCCTCGCACGGGACCTAGAACACTCGAACATCAGAATTAAGGTGGTATTACTGACGTAGTTAACGACCTTCGTGCTCTTCGAACCTGTCCACTAAAACACCCATGCGATAATTCCACAGTTGCACACTACCATTGTGAAGCGCAGCAGCGAGAAGTGGTTGGGTTGGATGAAATGCGAGTCCTGCAAGGAATTACTTCGTACGAAACCAAGATGCCAGTTATCGTCCACGAACCTTTGACGCGATTGCTCTTGGACTCGAACTTTGTGAGCATAACCGACATTCCGAGGAATTTCGAAGGCCAGGACCGCGACTGTAGTAGTCTTTATATCACCAAGAATTGGCCAGCGCCGTCAGTCCGCTTCGTTCGCGCAGGTATTGGCCCACAACGGCTCGCTCGCTCTGCAGCAAATCGCACTGGGTAGGCTAACACGACGTGGCTGAGCGGAGCTGGAAAAAGCCAAAAAAGGAAAAATGTTCTAGTGGTGTAACATCGACGTCGACTGTAGAGGTGTCGAAGGACAGCTCATGGAGCGCATCTAGAAATTACAATCCAACAGGTTGAATTATAGACTGCTACTGGCTGAGAATCAGAGCGCATGGGCGTACTGGGTCTCATACCATTCCTGCTGAAGACATGGTAAAGTTCTGAATTCCGACCTTTGACGTAACAGTCTTGTTCACAATTTTGTACAATGGATGCGCAGTCCGCAGGTCGTCAGGACGCTCCCCGACCGCCTCAGATCTCTGCGTGGTAGGACAATCGCTATGTGAGTTCGCAGCCGTTAATCATGTCACGCGTGGTTTCATATAAACCCTCCGATAGCGATGGTACTCTCATCACACAAAGGCTGCATTTTGCGCCCATACCTCACCATCACAGGCACGTGTTGGGATGGCATCGTATTGTCACTGAACTTAAGGACTTTGATGTGAATCCCATCTGTGTTTTTGATGGACAAGAACGCAGCGCAGCAAAAGCGCGGGAGGCGAGTCTTGTGCACGGGGACCCCGAAGGGAATTTAAACTATATCATCACAGGTGGAAAGGCGCAAGGAAATACAACGTATGGAGAGAACCCGTGGTCTTATCGAGGCTGCCAGGCTTCATAGACTGCAACAGCTGATGCGGCTTCTGCCACATTACCGTTCCCTGCGTGCCAGTGACCGTCAACGTATTACCGAGACCCTCGCGAAAGTGGCGGTCACACGGCCGCCGGGCGCTCATCCTATGCAGGGGTCACAACGTTGTGATAGTACAACGTCCACAACTGTGGATGGCACGCTCGCGTCATGGAGTACGATCCCACCTCTTTCCCACCCACATTTCTGCGAATATGGAAGTTTTACGGAGGAAGATCTTGAGGACGTTATGCAAGCTACCAATGGAGAGCCCCTCGGTGTTACGGATCACCATGAGGCATCAGCAGTCTGGTCAAATGAGGCGGAACAAGAGATGAATGTGCTTCCCTCCAGTCAATACGCTCGATTTAATGCCCTTCCATACGACCCTGACACTGCGCCGCCTACCGTCAATTGGGCGGACGTTGGGGAGCATGCGGCCCGGCGTTGGCCACTAGATGCTCTCGCCGTCTACACCGAGCCATGCCTACAGCCAGGAGATATCCAAGTTGCACTGTCAGCCCTGTATGACGAGTATCAACAAGGCCTAGACCAACTGACATCCATGCCGTCGTCGTCTTCAAGTGTGTCGGTGACATCCGACCTTGCTCCAGACGCGCCTGAGGCGGGGATCGAATACGCCATGTCTAAGTCACAATTACAGATGACCATAGATGAGGGTCAAGTATGGGAAGCCTTTGCGACATCTCCATTACCGACAGAGCTAGAAGCAATCCTCATGTCTCTGGCAAGGAAAAGTGGCGCCATCTCTTACTCCTACCATCGCCGTACCAATCTTCCCTCGCCAGAAACATATAAGGAATGCAAGGAAGTGTTGCGTGCTATGGGTGTGCCCTGCATTGACACTACCGGTCCGTTTGAAGCCGAGGCTCTGGCATCATCATTGGTCATGCATGGCCATGCGGACGTCGTAGCCAGCGAAGACACGGATGTACTTGTCTATGGCGCCCCCCTTCTACGTAACATTGCCAATCGAGACAGCCCCCTCGTCGTCGTCTCTGGGTCGGATGTGTACAATTCGCTCGAGTTAGATCGCTCCCAGTTCATAGATTTCGTTCTCCTCCTCGGCACGGATTTTTCTCAACGCATCAAAAATGTTGGTCCCCAACGTGCGCTCAAGTTTATTAAAGAGTACGGGGCCATTGAACGCGTCATTAAGAACGAAATCAAATACCCTCCGCGGATACCTGCCGCCGCTTATCTCGCACAAGTCGAAGTTGCCCGCACGGTCTTCAAGACTCTCCCCCCCGTTCCCGCGACTGACCTTCTGCAACCGTTACCAGAGGATCCAGCAGCCGTCTCTCACATTATACAAAAATGTGGACTCCACCGAGCCCTTCATGAGCACTGGGACCATGAGGCTGCATTGACTGGGAATTACTTTAACGATAATCCGTCTGCTAGCTTCGCCTAGGTTGTCCGTGCAGTATTAGCGCTGCATCCCCTTTGTCCACTGATCAGTTAAAGCGCCATGCTCACCGCAAAATCTCCTAGACCTATCGCACGCAACCACGAACTGTAGAAGCTCTCATAGAAAATTTACATCATTCCGTAGTGTATACAACCCGGAGGACGTATAATAGATATTGTACATGTCATGTCTAGATAAAATGGCCACAGGATGACGTTTAACCGAAGGTAGATGACTATACCCAGAATAGATAAGTGCCCCCAAGCTTTGTGTTCTACACACTACGCCAAATATACTTATCTTCATCACACCTCATTTCTAAGCATCAAGCTGAAGCACGGTTCGCAGAACGGTTTATTATCCCGGAGGAAGAATGTAGGGTCTTCGAACGGCTTCTCGCAACTCTGCATATCGTTTGAGCTCCTCTACATGATCGAGGGAAGATAGTACTTACTGCGCAAACGAAGCACTCCCAGCACCATTTCCCGTCGAGAGCCTCAACGGCACGCATACCATCCCTGATGCTACGTTTACATGACTTGCACTTTGGCATGCGAAGCCTTACGTGGCACACCTCGCAGTAAGGGTATCCTTTGTATACGGTGAAGGAGACGTTGTCGTCTTCAAAGTCACCATCTCCACTGACATTCAGCTCTCCGGAGCGGGACGTTGTCCCAGAAGGAGCGAGGAAAGGATCGCCGCACTCGGAGCAAAAGAAATGTTGTTCGTGGTAAGTTCGCTTTCCGAGTGCAGGGTCGTCAAGTGTAATAAATCGTTCGTCGACGATAGCGGTCTTGCAATGGAAGCATCGCGGTGCAAATGTCTGACCGGAACGTCATTAGGTAGGGTGAAGTAATAGAGAAAGATTCGAACCTCATGGTAGTCAAGGTGACAATAGGGTTTTCCTTCGTGTTCGAACGAGGAGACGTGCTCCAGCAGCTCATTGCAAATCGTGCACCGGAAACATCCAGGATGCCATCGTATTCCCATAGCGCTCACGATTCGTCCTACGATAGATCCTTTACAGCCGCCACAGAATAAACCACCTGAACGTATTGGAACTGGGGGCAGAGTGCGTTTCGGGGGTACAGTTTCCTGCACTTTAGTGTGCCTGGTTCCATGCTGTCTCGGTGGCTGGGAATCTGATGGCTGGACACTGATTGTTGGGATAGTGGCCTCGAGTGTTGGATCAGTTAAAAGGATTGCAGGGGGCGAAACCGAGATCGAGGGAGGATCCGGGGAGGATACGGATATGCTTGGTGCATCAGAAGAGGCGATGACCGGACGAGACGTAACACCGTTACTCTGGTGGTCAGATGTAGATATACTTGGAATATCCGTGGGACGGAAGTGATCACAACCTCCGTTGGGTGATTCCACTCTAGAATTCTTTGATGGTGTCCACTGTCGCTGCGGAGGAGAGCCGGAAATCTGGACTGATGGCAGAGCTTTTGGCGCAGAACGTGCAGGTGACGGTGATCTCCGGAGAGACGGGGGAGGGGCATCGTCCAGATCAACAAGCTCCCGCTGCTTCCCTCGTTGTCTTTCGCTCAGTGGTCGGAACCCGGGGACGTACGCATCCTTCGGTGTACTTTGCCTGGGCGAAGGATTTTCAACAGCGGCTGAGCGGGAAAGAGCCACACGTCCACTATTCGTGGCATCCGTATTTTTGGATACATCACGGAAATGGGTTTCAGTATGTGTCACAGAAGCGTGCTGAAGGGCAAATGTACCGGTGTACCGGTTTGAGTTCGGCAACTGACGCGTTCGGTCTGTGGGACCATGCTCCTCCGCGAGACCTAATGAAGCGAGGCGAAAAGTCAACGATTGGCCAGTACTACCGCGGTCATTGGTAAACTTCGAGGTGTCATCAAAAGTCTGGGTATGCGAGCCGGTCCAAGGAACAGAGGATGGTGCGTGTGGCAGCGTTGCAGATCGCATCGGACGCGCGCGCTGCGAAGTGACGCCATTGGTCGCTACGATATCTCCCCCTTCTCGACGACGGTCATCAGGAATATCCTCGCGATTCGCAATGACTGTTCGACTGCGTTGGGGTAAATCACGAATACCATACTGGGGAGAGGGAGTGTCCCTATCATCTTCTAGGTCTGCAAATACTATGGGATCCTCTTCATCGAAGTCCGGGTGCGAGAAACATTCATTTTGGTCGCTTTTAGATGAGGCAGGGGCATGCGAATGAGTGGAACGCGTGACGTGATTCCGTGCTGGGCCCACACCACCAGAGAAAGCACTTGACTTTGGCGGCGGCAGAGGTGGGCGAGAAGGTGATGTCTGTACCAACTCAGCGTCCTTGTCCATAGTATCAGGTAAATCACCACGCTGAACTATGTCTATCTTCGGTACCGGCTGGCCGGAAACGGTGCTCCTTCTTCCCATAGCAGGCAGAATATTTCCCGCGAGAGAAGGCGAGGTTTGAAGTTCGCGCTTCCAAAGCGGCACAAATTTCGTTGGGGAAGAGGGACCTTCCATTTTGCTATTACCTGTGATACCACGGGTAGCTGCTTGCGCCGATGGGGACGGTAACGGTTTGCGGTCTGATTGTTCACCGGAGACCGGTACATTATGCCCCGCGGGCACTGAAGGAAGAGCAGACGAGGAAGGTAGGAATTTCTCCTGAATTGAAGCCTTGACCGGGCTCGTTGGGCGGAAACGCAAATCTAAAGAAGTATGCTTAACGGAGCGTATCTGAGGGGTTGGCAAGGGTCGTCTACTGCCATTTGACGACGTTGTGGAAGATGGCGAAGACAACGTAGATGGGGCGTCGATTGATGCCAGGGATGCGGTATGCGTTAGAATAGCAGGCCGTGAAGGCGCTGGCGCTTGGATCTGTGGTGTGTGACGAGAGGGAGGTGGTAAAGATTCTGGACGAGGCTTTGGGGTGGGTAGAGGACGTCGATGGCAATTTGGAGGACTTGTAGGAGTGGCAAGCTGGGGGAAATTCTGCTGTCTTGGAGACGAATAAGAGACAGGGGAATAAAAGGAGGATGGTGGAGGTGGGGGAACCCCTGCTGCATGACGCGGAATCTGAGAGACGACACCAGACAATGACGGCGTACCCGTACTGGGCACGGAGTAATAGCCGGTCTGCACAACAGATGAAGTAGGTGTCTGGCGAAAAGGTTGTGATTGCGGAACATGCTCCACAGCTCGATGAGAGAAAGGAGCACGCGGCAGAACCTGCTGGTTAGTGTATTGAAATCCAGAGGGTTGCGGAGTCGAACGCTGAAACCAGCGTGGGTTATACGACTGTGATGGAACGGGGTAGCCTGTTATCGGGCTAGTCATGCCTGATCCCGAAGGGTAAGTGTTCTGTTGAAGAGCATGGGTCTGAGATTGGTTTGACGGCTGAAGCTGATTATAAGACATTTAGCACAGGTTCGCCTGGTTAAACCTCGTCCAGAATTCGTGAATGCAGTGGCCGCTCGTTCAGTAGTCCCGACGCACGCTCGGCAAGAGGCTAAAGCATAAGCTGAAACTGCCATCACCGAAACAACTTTCGGCGCCCCTGGACGTGCCATCACGTGACCACATGATGAAGGCAGTGCTCGACTGGCCAGCCTATGAGTCAGACCCCACTTAGACTGGGAGGAATTCGTGCTGAGATGATGCTCTGCAGGGGCCTGGGCACACGCTCAGCGTGTTGATTGAAACCTGCAGCAGAAGTGCACCCGTTAATCTTGGCGGGCTGTGGAAAAGGTACCGAACACACCAACTGGAAAACAGTCGGCCTTGTATCAAACTCATCTCTGGACCGTTTGTACTCCGGGGAGTATGCCATCTCTGGCTGGAGTCCCAGTTTTGTAAGTATTTCAATCAGCATTGCGTACCGGACTCACGGTCTTGCCGACTGTTGACTCCAGCGGGGAATCAGTAGTGTAATAGGGAAGTGGACAACTTTATCATTGCTCGCTGTTGCGCCCTCAGCCTCCTTAGAGGCGCGTGCCTACCTACTTCCCCTTTGACATCAGCCTTATCATCAAAACGGAAGGGCGGTGAGTGGTTACTGAAGGTAATTCTTAGTCACTCAAACGGCGAATCGTTACAAATTCCCCAGACTACTCTGAGAAAAAAATCCACTCAATCCCTGTTTGCAATCCGAAGCAGGGCGATGATGCTTAAATACATTCAATCCGCCACTTAATTCCTGTCTCCGAACCGCTCTGCACCAAAGCTGCGTGGACTAGCCTCTCCCTTTTCTCTCACACAGCCTTATCGCGGACTCGCATACTCAACACTTTGCACTAAGACATAGCTCCTGGCCTTCAAACCTTCGGGCACGTTCTCACCCTGAGGACAACTTAGTGTCGAACGTCCATGTACTTCTGCCGAATAGGGGACGTCGACTCTTCTGGTCAACATTCATAAAAAGGTTACCAAACAAGTAGGCGTGAAGCAATGGATTCACGCAATAAAGAACACCGTGCTTCTTCGAATCCAGGATGGTAATGTTGTCGATTAAACAGTGTGCATTTCATGGGTTAATGCGCTGATATGAATTAACCTTCAAGGATTATGGCATCCCAGCATGAAATTGACGCCACGGGACGCAGGCTCACAGGCACCCCCAAACCTGACCCATAACAACACCGTATGCAGCAATCAATAAATTTCCATGGTGTCTGGACTGCCAGGAGATAACTGACTCGACGGCTATAAGCAACATGCCTCGTCCGGGGCCAAGGCGGCAGGACATGCCCCATCGCCCCCTCTTTTGAATAGCCATGCCATCTTACACATATCGTTGCACTGCCAATGCCGTACAGTTGCAATGCAAGGAGGACTTCGGCGTGTCTACATACAGTATTGCAGCATAGTCGACGTGTTTGTTTATACTGCCCAAATTCTCCGCCGCGCAGCATCCCACGCTACCGGGATAGCCCCAGAGGCACGCCTAAGACTTTGGTCACTGTCAATTCGTTTCAGCGTTAACTCTTATCCCCCAAGAGTCTCCCTGCAGTTTGTGCGGCAAGAAACGATGTTCATGAACGAAATTGTAACTAGGTGCCGTCCGGGTTGAAAGGACGTAGTCCTTGGTCCTTGGTCCTTGTCTCCGTAGGGTGGCGAGTCAATTGTTGCTGCACACGTCTTTGCCGTCGGGTTAAGAGGTACCTTACAAGGAACTGGGTGCAAGCCCAAAAACTGCGAAGTTCCACCAGTCTTCGCCCTTTTTGTTGTGGCTAAGTCCTCGCCCTGAAACATCATGCATGCCGTACGATGAATCCCTAGTACCAAAAGAAGTTTTCACCCAAATGGCAGAGGGGACCATAATTGACGTCTTAGAGCATCATCCACAGTACGAAGACATGGTTGTGATTTTACAATGCGACAGGCAGATGTAGTCTCGTAATCGCATGAACACCATAAAGCAGTCAAGTAACACAGCAAAAAGATGGTCAGAGAATCAGTGGGAAGACTTCTGTTCATACAACCAATACAGACCACATCAAACGGAGAAAAGTGGCTCCAGGAAGATCTTGCTCCCCACACAGTTTTTCAGATTTCTGGCCCACTGATTCTCCATGTGATTGTCCGTTCGATAGACTCCCGTCAGCGACTCCACAGTAACTCGTGCACACCATGCCCCACTAGATGAGCACTTTAGTTAACGTCCTCCAACTTCTCCTTGTCGGCGGCCGCGGCCTGCTCTCCTTCCACATCAAAATTCTCCACAAGGTCAGGGACATCGTCGTCATCATCCTCGGCAGTGCCACCTGCGGCTGGCCTCTGCTGCCCTTGCTGGATTGCTTGGTATGATTCTGCGAGTTTACGCAGTGACGCGAGTGAATCCGGGCCAAGTTGGTTCAAGATCCCCGGAACGAGTTCCGTCAACTCCTTGACGTGACCAATACCATAGATTGCAAACGTGTTTGCAGGAACTGCAGCGTGAACTGTGGGTACACACAGAGATCCTCGTTAACGTCACCGATCTTTTGTGCGACGACACGATGGACGCCCGTGGAGCCCAAAAAAGTACACACCTTTAGGCGTGGTGAAGTGCAGCACATGGCCATCCTCTCTGAACATGTTCACTTCCTCCACACCAGGGATAGGCTGCACATTCAATTTTTTGAGAGCACCTTGAAGCTTCTTGTCATCTTGTGCAGAAGACGGCTTCGCTTTCCGTACGACTTTCCGACGCATGGTGCCCTTCCCACCTGCAACATATTAGACATGAACTTCAGAGATGTTGGGAGTTTAAGAGGTTTCGATGGGGTCCGAAAACACCAAATCAACCCTTGTAAACCAGAGAGCCACTCACCAAGTCGGTTTGCCGCAGCCGCAGCCTGAAGTTTGGCCAGTTTTGCTGGATCCATAGTGATTGGTGTCGAGGATCTCTAGTCCCTTGGATATTTGGGATGTACGTCGGTGAAAAGTCGACAACTAAGGTTTAGCCAAATATGAGTACACAAATATCGAAAGTCCGCGACGCGACGACCAGCTTTCGAAGCAGATGTGGGTTTTTTTGCGCAAAAGTAGACCAGATTTGGTCGATAGTTGGAAGGCTGATAAATAGCTTGCAGCCACTATGTCTGACGTGGGCAAAGCAAGATAAGATGGTCCCTCACTTTCATATTCGCCAGGCTACGGCAGATGATGTGGTGAGCTGCAGAGAGTAGCCCATTCGTGTTGCTTGCGGTTGTGCTGAGATAGATAATTGAACGGATCAGGACACCATCTTGAAACTAATCATTGGATTGGTATTACTGTTTTCCAGTTCAAAGGCTGTCGCGATCACTCAAACCCAGACCGTATTCGAAACTACTAGGCGACGTATGAAAATGAACCCTTGTCCACGGTCGAGACAACTCCTGACCTGGTCAGTATTCATGCTCTGCTTTGCCGACAATCACTGTTCCGACGCGAACTTCAGTTAAGGGAAAACATCTTCGAGAAGCATTATGCTCACACACTCCTGGCGTTCGAGGGGACGCCAGAAGCACCCGGGGCACCCCTTGGGATGGCCCTCTATTTCTTCAACTACTCTACCTGGACAGGAAGACCGGGGTTGTACGTGCGTGTGGACGGTTCATGATATATCATCGCCACGGGTCGCTTAAGTGGGGCACCCACGCCTTTTCCAGCTCGAAGACCTCTTTGTCATTCCGGAGGCAAGGAATGTTGGCATTGGAAAAGCCTTTTTTGCTGAGCTAGGAAAAGTGGCTCAAGCCAAGGTAATTCCGTCATTGATTTCCGGCGTTTGATGGTCAACGCTAACGCTGTGCCGGCAACCTAGAATTGTGCACGGCTTGATTGGTCTGTGCTTACGGTGAGCGGGCAAGTTGGCTGAAAACGTCCGGAGCTAATTAATGCTATTGTTGCAAAAATAACCATATTTGCCGGGATAGTGGAATGAACCATCCATTGCGTTCTATGAAAAGGTCCTGGGTGCCAAGCGCATGGACGGGTGGATGGGAATGCGGCTTGATGAACGAGGCATTGCAGAACTTGAAAAATTTTCAACCCGCAACGAGTAAACCCGTTGCCTGCCGTTACCATTGCCTTGTTTCTGGTTCAATTCAAACAGTGGATCTAAACATTAGCGAAAAACACGATAGGACCCGAAAGACATCCTCATTGCATTAGAAAGAAAAAAAGACCAACCCGCCATGAGGTATTGCGGTTGGTAGTGGGTACAACGCGGTGCAAGACTTATATTACCCTGGATCGGGAGGTGTATCAGTGGAGTGCACTATATTCCGTCGTAACTGGCGCCACCGGCCTGTTTTATAAGTCAGACTCTGACAGCAACATCGTGTGCTGGCTAGTAGAGTTCCACTCACTTTCCGCAGTCTGACAACGATAGGGTCCTCTTGCAAGTCATCTCTCTCCCGGGCGGCAACCTCTATTGAGTAAGCTCGCAACACCCCCTTGACGTCAGCAGTGTGGACAGAAATCTGCAAAGTAGAGGCGGATGAGTAAGTTCACAAATTCATCAGCTCGCCACAGGAAAGGCAGTGTGAACGTGTGATGTAGGATCGGAACAGGAACATCATGCGTAGTGCAGTGTTAGGCACATTCGCCACACTACGTAAAGAACCAGTGCGACCACGCACCTTGGCTTTCCGCATAACCTTACACCCTGAACCAATCCAAACCACGAGGATGAACTTCTCGCGCTGCGATTCTTTGTCATTGGAATAGGTGACACGTGCGTAGGCAAAAGAGGCTTTGGAGTCATCTAGCGCATCACGGAGCTCGGACAGGCCGCCAGTGCCAGTCCGCGTGAGGACCAATCTATCGGAGCGATCGGACTACAGAATGTGGGGGACACAATGCACGAAATCAGAGGCAGAACCTGAAGACATCAAGCGACCCTATGGAATATGACGCTAACCTGATAATCAAGCAGCAGCCAGTTGGTATCCGATTTGTCAGAGCGCACGTCCACGTAGGCTGAAAGAATCCACAACACGATGTTGGGTCAAACCATATTTGACTAGTCGACACTGACAGGCGGGCTGACCTTCCTGAATCTTGGTGTCGGAAACATCAGCCATGTTTGTATCGAGTGTACGACGGGCACGTTCCAATTCCCTCGACTGGGAAGACAAACCAGTCGTACCGACCAAGGAAGTTCGCAAATTTTGGCTCTCGCAAGTCCCAACAGGGAGAAGGCTTCGGACGGTGCCGATCGTGTGAGTCGCGGAGTGCAAATCGCTTATGAAGTACCGTCGATAGCACTGAGCATGCGAACGAATGTCTGTCGTGCAGCGGTCACTAGCGTTTCGGCTCTTCAGGTGCCCGGCACTCTTTACCAAATCCATATTGTGTCGCTTGTACTCGGAGGGTGTCGTCCCCCGGCGACGGAATTGGAGAGTTGAAGGTCATGTTCCCCCACGCGCGCTCGTCCAGGAAGACGCACCTGCACTTGATCTGACAGAGGACGAGCCACCCACTAGACGACGCACACATCCTGAAACCTCAGAAACTCCGGAGCAGTGGCAGAGACACAGGGAACGGATGAAAGAGAGATTTCCAGAGGGATGGCACCCAACACGCAAATTATCGCGGGAAGCCATGGAGGCACTTCGGTCACTTCATGCATTGGATAAAGGGACGTTCACTACTCCGGTACTGGCAAACAAATTCAAAATAAGCCCCGAGGCCGTTCGGCGCATTTTACGGAGCAAGTGGGAGCCGTCGAAAGAGAAGCGAGCGAAACTGGCGGATAGGGAGCGGAGAGATAGGGAAGAACGGATATTACGGAGCAGGATAGAAGAAAAGAAGAAGGAAAATGAAATCCTTGTGGAGGCGAGGAAATATCAGAACACTCAGGACAGAACTGCCAACGGAGGGACACAGAAACGGAAGGAGTCATTATCTGCCAAGGATGAATTCTTTTTCCAATGACCCCCATGCTGAGGAATATACATACCCAATTCGCACCGCAATCCTCTGCATCAGCATTCGATCATATCTATCTGATGATGGCCTCCGTTCGCTCTCCGCTTAAGCAGTGCATATTCAGTACGATACCAATGCGATACATGGTGTCACTGAGTCCCGACTCGAGCAGCAGTCAACTCTGCCTAACTATCCATACGTTACATGTAACATTTAAGGCATCATATCTTTGTCCGGGGTACAACAGGCACATAAACAGAACGATTAACTGCGGCTACTTCGTGATTATCCAAGTATTACTGTCGAGTCCTGCAAGTAGTGAATAATAATAATAGCAAATGGTGCAGTCCCACACGGAAAGGTCCACGATGCATCGACTGCGTAAACATTCATACAAACGTTCAACGTTCAACCCTCAATGTGGACAGCCAAGCACAGCTCGGACGTCACAGCGTGGGTGTGAATTTTTCATAGTGGAGGAAACAGGATCCTTTTTCTGGGCGGCATAGAAGGGCGTCGTTCCAATTGGGTCGAGGGGGGGAATCGAGCAGGTCACCGTTCACACCTACGGTCGAATAACGAAATCCCAACAACATCATAGACGTGACGAGCTTGAGCTCCAACCTCGCCAAGCGTTGGCCCAGGCAAACAGTTTTCCCTGATGGGTGGTGTCGTCAGCGGAAAGAATGCACGTAAAGTATTGGGCCGTGAACTCACCACCACCCCATCCTAGATAACCGAACGGCACCTTAGCCTCCCCGCGGCTTGGGTCGAATTTCCACGGATCGGGGTATATGTCCGGGTTAAGATGCACATCCGAGAAAGGGTACACTATGTATGCCCCTGATGGGACGAGTTTGGAATCAATGAATGTATCAGGGCCGAGATTGCGGCGCATGGCTGTATGTGGCTGCGCGATCCGGAGTGTCTCGTGGATAACTGCATCCAAAATAGACGTTTCCGCTTCCCAAGCCTCCAGAGGAATAGCCGATAGCTGTTCCGAGAGGGACATCGTTTTGTTTTGGGGTGGGTAGATGGCTAATAGTCGGTCGACCTCCTGCGTCGCCTTGACCTTCCACTCCGCGTTGTTGCCCAGGAATGTGATAAGCCAAGACGCTGCAGTGCCTGTTGCTCTTGCACCAGCCACCAACAATCCCATGATGAACTAAATGCGCATCAACGACCTTGAACGACCCTTGAACAGGTTTAAAGCTTACTCCAATCATGACCAATCTCTCGTCCTTGGCGTCGACCAGCATCTGCAGGGTGTCGTTTCGGTGCTCGCCGCTTTGCACCCTGTTGTCCACGGCACGTGAAACAATGCCGTAAATCTCCTTCGTTGCCCAGAGTTTCTTGAGCATACTCGGGGCAGGCAGCCATGGTAGCAAGACGGTTGCAGGAGTCGTCCCGTTATCCAGGATGTCGTACAGGTGCTTGAGGCGACGAACGAGTGCTGCGTCATTTGCAATGTCTTCGCTTGCAAGAGATCGTACAGTTGTTTGGAACAGCAGCTAATTCACAGATCAGTTGGGGTGTGCGGGTACATCTTGAGGCGTACTTCGTAGATATTTTCAAAAGGGTCAAAAGTTCCGGTAGGTTCCCATGCTTCCATCAAACGACGACAGTCGTCTAGTATAGGTTTGATGCCTGCAAGGGTGGGCGCTCAGTGGAGGAAGGTCGTGGAAGCAAGATACATACGTTGAGCCAGATGTTCCTGTCTCTGAGACGCAGAGAGTCGCTTGTGGATGAGCGCTACACGACGAGTCTGCAGATCAGACGTCACGCCCTTGACGACGGGAATCTATAATTGCGGTTACTTAGAACCTGGGCGACTGCGGTGAGATGGGGGAAGTGACGTACGGCGCCAGACAGTACTTTGAAACCTTCGGTGAGGTCGAAGGCTCGATTAGTGAAGAAGGCCTTCCGACCAGCTTCTCCGGACACAACAATGACGGTATCCTATGAATATGACTCAGCATCCGAACGTCTGTTAATGAAATGACTACATGCCCGCAACATGTTGAACTGGAACAATGCCTGGCCCGTTTTGCGGAAACCGTCGTTGAGGAATTCGAAGCGTTTTTGGAAGAACGGAGCGATGGCGAGCAAATGAGACCCCGGTAGAAAGACAGGGGATTGCGAACCATTGTCGACTTTATTACTGTCGAGGCCGAATACGAGGAGGACGAATAGAATACAAAGAGCAAGGAAAACTTGAACCTGCAAGCTGGAGAGGAGAAAGGCATCAGCAGCTGATTGTAGGCCGACCGTATACATGATACAAGCTGCGAGAGGCCTTGCGATAACTGGAATGGACGGCAATGGAAACTAGTTGATTGACGCCCCTCACCTTTATAGTGGGTGGGTGAAGGACCCGCAGCGGAACAAATCACCAGTTATTGCGGCAAATGAACCAGCGTGTTCACCAGCCGTCTCAGGGAGAAATAAAAGCACTTGATCGACCACTTTCGGGTCCGCTGCAGCCTCAAGTACGTAAAGCCATACTTTGGTTGTGACAAGGCGACGCAACATAGCATGTGGTATTGCCGAGTATCTAGAAAGAGTCAGATTCGTCATTCCGGGGGACCCGTTCCTTCGTCCCGACACCGGGTCATGGGAAAAACTAATTGGCATTCCAGACATCAGCTCGAGTTGCGGCCCTGAACTCGCAGTAGGAACAAATACCTAAATGGCGACACCAGCCTCGAGGCTGGCGTGCGGCGAAGCTCTACGCCGATTAGGGACGTACAATTCATGCGCCAGTGGGCACCCGTCGGACCCCCATCCCTATCCCAACCATGAATGGTGAACATGAACTCACACCTCGTCGCCAAATCAAAGTGGGCGGGTCACCTGGGGCAGAATTTCACATCGGAAGGCTGATATGATTATCACGGTCCCGAGCGAAACGCCGTATATTCCAATCCGCGACCCCTTATCATAACCGAACATTCATTTTAAATTTGCCTCCCATCCGCCTCCACAACGTGTACTTTGTCTCCGCGTCATCAATGCGGTACCAGCTAGTCAGCCTGCAAGACACCCGGCGCGTGGGCCGATAAAACATTTTTCCCAGCCAGGTACGCCCCAAGTTTGCTTGACCAAAACAGCGTGGGAGACGGAGAACTAGGCCTGCGAACTGCAGCCCGCGCCACACCTGAGCTAGCGATCGGAAAACATTAGTACGCAAACCGGTGACCAGTAAGCAAATCCGCACAGGACCCAAGTTGCGGACGTCATGTATATGGTGAAAATACCCGCTCTCATGCGAGTTATTCTGCGAAGATATGGCCGGACTGAATTGGCGCCTGAGCGGGAATGAATCCAGAGTGCGCCAGATGCGTCGCGGACAACGCCAGGGCAGCACGGCCTGCTATGAAAAACGGTCCAATTGCAGTGAAGCAGTCCAAATTATGTCGGAAAGTAACTGGTCCATTGGCTGACTGGGCAACGCTGAACGTGCTACCAACGAAGGCATTCCGTGGCCTGCGACGGGCGAACCCCAATTCGCAGGTACGCACGGAGTATCGCAGCGTGTTGACCTCGGAGTATGAAACAGCATATCTTGAAATCATGACGAAGGGTCAGTCATTCAAGGCACAGTGCCTATGATTCGATATGGATATGTGCCACCCACCCACCTGTTCCAAGTATTAAGCGAAGAGATCGACCATCCGCCAGTGCTAAACATTTGCGCCCGGTCCCATCCACAACTAACCCTATGACCAGCAGCCACGCGATGCGAGAGAGTTTGACCAAGAGCCAGTAGTCGGTATGATAGGCGAACGTATCACGGACTCTTGACGGACAGCGCTTCCCTACAAAGGCTACAGGGACACGTAAGTGTGGTGTAAAAGCAACGCACATTTCTTCGCTTTTTAGCCACTAGCCTATCAGCCGACTAGTAGACTGCGTCCCGCCACCAGCCTCAAGACAAATTCACTACGGACCGGTGTTGCAGGGTAGGTAGACAAGTCGGGAGGGCGTATCACTTGCGCACGGACACGTTGAGGGCAGCCGTTGCGTATTTGGTTCGGGTCTGGGATATGGTTCGGTCCGCAAGATCTTGGAATCAAATCTTCGACACGTTGCCCAAACAGGCCGAGGTGATCAGGTTCGTCGCTCCCGAAGCAGACTGGCACGTGCGATTGGGGGTACTTGCAATGATACTATACACGTTCCAATTGCTCTTACTTGCTATAGTTACAGCGTTTGTACAAGTAGTATTGCATTAGACTAATGCGGTCCGCGCTCGAGCGGGGCGGTAGAATATCGAATTCCTACGAGACGAATACCTTCTTAAGGGCAGAAAAATCACATGTGTGATTTGACTGTGGACAGGTGACCTTGCCGTCGTTCTTTGCGGCCATCTCTTCGAGGGCCTTCACGGAAAGCGACGTCAAGGTTGCGCAAGGAGAAGGGGGGGGGGAGTCAGCTTGTGCCCTAAATCGCCTAATTTACTTACCTCTCTCGAGTAGACATAGCCATTTGGGAATGCCATAGGCATGTTATCCTCATCCATTATTTTCCCGCTAAGGCGACAAACGATGGTTGAATTTGTATGGTGGCTATACGGCACCTCATTGGCGAGTACCCTGATATTGGGATCACAAACGGGGCAGTTCACATTCGGGTTGTGGTCGTAACATGCAGGAAGTTTGAGAGCAGCAAGGCCAGCATAGAGCGCGAGATTAAGAAGCGGTTCCGTGGATAAACTATTCAAGGTATACGCGGCCAAACGGAAAGCTTGTATCAGCGATATCCACCGGGAATTGTCGTAAAGTCGCTACACAGCTGTCAGTACATTGGTCACTCCATGAGGAAATCACTGACCTTGTACTGGCCGCAGTTTGTAGACGGCAGAACGGCGAGAAGGGCGGATGCCTGCATTATCTGAGACAGATGTGTCTCTTGCCAGGAAATGAGGTACTTCCTCGAGTATGTAATTGCTTCTTGCGTTTTCCGCGCCCGCGCTAACTCAATGTATTCTTGAAGCCGGAGCTCAAATTCAAGGGTGCTCTGTCAGGCCGTTAGAAAGCGCTGTTCCTGACAGGGAGTGGCGCGGTTTGGAACTTCCCTTAATCTTGCGCAACGCCGTCTTATTTTCACTGCACCATGCTATGGCTTCAGCACAGCTGTGCCGGCGAAGTGCGGATTCAATTCTGTGGATGTCCATGAACAGATCAATATCCACTAGGGTCTAGCATGATACGGCACATCAATATGGCATGCTGAAGCCCAATACAGTCGACTCACCTCAATACCCCGCTCTTGGGCAAGGGTCCTCGCGGTTTGGTGACGACCACCACGCAGGGCCCAATCGACAAGCCATCTGTCTAGTCTCGTATCTGCCCAACGGGAGTGATCTGCACAATTCGTGGTCGGCAGTGTTTCAAGGTTAGCAAGGTGGTGAAGGCGTTCCAGTATAACGTCCAGGGTAGGCTTTCCGTTATTTTCCTGAAGGTCCGAGAGCTGTACAAAAACGAGAATGAGTGTGAATGACACTGGGCGGAGTAGCAGCAAGATGACCTTGCGCTTGAGATTCTCCACTCGGCCAATCATTCCATCCACCGCCTTGACCGCCTCCTCAACGTTTCCTTCGTTCGCCATAGAACGTTTCTGTAGGTCATTAGAAAGCGACAAAACGCTTCCAAGCTCCTTCTCGATATTCCGCTGAGACGCCCGGAAGACCTTGCGATAATTCTCGTAAGGAACCTGCGGAGGCTTGCTAAGTGACAATCCTCGGAGACTGACACGGGACACCACACACTCGGGCAAAGGGCTGCTCGAAAAGTAACATTCCATCAACGTTGACCTTCGTTGTGCTCATGTTGAGGAGGGGGGATCGCAATCAACCACAATGAAGCCCACAACCTAGTCCTTGCCAGGTAGTCACTCAATTCAATCGGGCTGTTCGGGCTGTCCTGGTCACGTGAGTAATACTACGGTGTAGTGTGGGTCAAAGTTGCTCTGCGAGCATGCATCATCCGGATTATTACACTATGGCTTGTTAATTTGAACGATATGGTACATATTCTATCTGGAACTGGATACGGTACACGAAGATCGATTTTAGTTACCTGCGGTCGCTCGATGCTCTCGCCTCCACGCGTGAAGTTCTCGACCCAGGGCAACAATCAGAGGCACTGCGATAGACGCAAACAGGGGAGTATACACCGCGTATTTGTGCTCTGCAGGGAAATACAGCAGCGCCAGCATACCAGGATTGAAAAAGGCATGCGATGCCAAGGACAGTGCCTCACGGGACCAATGCAATATGGTAAGTGGAGGTTCTGCCGTGGTTCGGTATGCCTATGATGAAATGTGTTTGCCTCATGAACTCGAAAATATGCACTAAAGAAGCTGCGGACCTGATCTAAGGCTGTGAGGGCATTTTGTACGTCCCCCCTCACGGTCTCGTCCACGGGCATGCTTTCGATTTGATCCACCAGTTTCACAATGCTGTGAAGTGTCTGTTGCGTCCCAACAATGTTCTCTAGTGCGCGGTGACGGAGGACGGTGTCAAGCTGCCAGTCACTCAAGGTGGAAGGGCTCTCGGACTTCACACCATGGGGCAGATCTGAAACACCTAATAAGGCGGAGAGTTGATTGGCGAAGGCTGAGAAGACGGGCGACAGATCCACAGCGGTCAAGTGTTTCCTTGTACCAACGTGTTTAAGGTGATTGAGGATGTATATTCCGCCCCACTGCGGTAGAAGGAACACGGCACGCCTTGTGGGAGACCCTGCAAACGCGTCAGTGGTACATTCAGGTACGGCTGGTGACATCATACCTTGCATATCTAGTATATGAAGTGGCTGTCGAGATGAGGAAGGTATAAATAAGAGGAAATGGAGCACCGGATCTTCGGAGACACTTGAAGCTGAAAACGATCGTTAGGAACCCTCGATACTGCACACCAAATGTAGAAATTCACACAACGTCCATTCAGCTGAATTTACAAATACGGTGAGATCCCCAGGTGTGAGTCCGTAGAAGGTGCTATTTTCAGAAACACTCTGCATAGGTTCAAAGGCCAGGGGTGCATGGAACTGGACCTGGCTCTCTATCACGAAGTCATGGATGACATTTAGCCGCGACAGCACGGGGGAAATATGGTCTGAAACTATCTCAGCCAGGGGGATGTGTATGCATATGCAACGGCACTTTCCTGCAAGAGCTGCACGAATATCCCAGTTGTAAATGAGCTCGTCCGATGTGACATCTTCGTTAAGCAAGGTGAACGCAAGTCGATAACGCTTGGCGTATTGCACGACGCGCTGCACCCTTGACGGAGCTTCCGGTGCCAGAAGTCCCATCAGTATATCAGCTATCTTCGCAGCTACGAGGCGGACACGTCACATCTGGAACTGATCGAACTTTTGTATCTCAACCTACCAGACGAGGCATCATGTTGGCTCAGAATTAAGTGTCGTGGATGCCGAACTACGGTGACGTTGCCGAGCGCAATGGTATATACACTGCGGGCCGTCTGATTGTCTACGGCTGGGATGATGTTGGAAATCGAAACGAGTCTATTTGGACGACTGTACCTGGGTTTTGATCGATGGTAACGTGAATGTCTAGGTCACTCCACCTAGCAGATGTGCGCGTGGATTGTGCCAGGAGGTCGCTCAACTCTGATGCTAAAACAGGCGCTCTTCCCTGAAAACTAGACCCATCAAGTTGCACGTTCACCGGGAATACAGGTCGCTTCTCTAACTGAGCATGGACACGACTGGAGGGAAGTGCGATGCGTTCAATGCTTGTGAGGCGCCACCAGAAAGGTATCGCGAAGAGGATAACAACCCAGTAGGAACCTAGTATGAGCCTTCGGATGATTGGACGTTGGAAGCTGAGCGACTGAGGGTCCTTGAAGCCATGGGACGCGTCCATGGCATGTCTCTCTAGTGGTTAACTACTACACGTATGTAATAACGAAGCCTTGTAGGGTGCGGAGTTCCAAAGCGACCACTAGTACTGACCTTGCCGTTTGACCCAGTCCACAACACTCGGCTCTGGGACACCTGCAGTCTGTGTCGCCCGTAGTTAACGCCAGTGGACTTTAGTACACGATTGCTGACCCACAAGACCAGGATAGCATTACAGGACACTCTTTGTGGCGCACAAGAATCTGGGCATTTGATCGTACCGAGGCTCCTCGTGACGGCGACCACAGTCACTTCAACAGGATTATCACGCCTGCTCGGCACTGAACAGGTCTGTACTGGAGGCGATGTCATCTCCCCATAGTTTACATCGACCAGGGCCTGGCCCATTTTCTTCATTCGACGTCAGTTCCACGCGTCTACCCACCTCCTCATGTTGCTAAATCGTCGACCGTTTTAGTATCCAGTCCGTCGCGGGTCACCTTCTCCGAGGAGGCATGCCTACGATAGCTACGTACCTCATGGTGGTGCACTTTTTCGTGAGGATTATGCGAATAGTTACAGACCTAGTACATGGCGTCCCCGGGACTATAGCCGTAGTCCGTCGCCAGGGCACCACGACAGGTCCAGAGCGATAGATTCACGCCACTGGGAACAGGGACCCCGGAGGATACCGTCGTATTATCCTGATAGACGATCCCCACCTGCTTCTCCGCGTGACAAGGGTCGTCGCGATACCATGGCTGAGAGAATGTTCGAATCAGATACCTGGGCGCACCCGTTGACTGACAGACCTGGACGATATGATCCGTACGTCAAGTCGTCGAAGGTGAGATTTCTCCTGACATGTTTTTATAGGTCAGATTCGACGTCGGACCGGCACTCGGACCGCCGCCCACACTTCACAAGAGATCAACCTCTGCACAAACCTGCCGCCCGTACGGATTTTGTACACCATTTCACAGGTGACAGCTATCGACCTCACACTGGCGGACCGGGATTGCGTGACCTGCATTCCTTCCCACGTACTGCTGACACCTACCGTCCTCACTACGACGATGAATCTAGGCGACAATCCTACTCCACCGACAGTTTAAGCTCTGCAGGTCACAAAGGAAGACGGTTGGACTACGAAGACGATTATCGTTCGAGCTCCATTGCCAGTACCCCCCCTCGACAGTACGCGCGCTCTCCGGTCTCGCCACCCCGTCACTATCCCCAGCCACTGCCTACTGATGGAAACATCAAAGGTAGTGCATGGCGAACGTCTGCATCGTATGGAAATGCGCAATTCTCGCCTAGACTTCAGCCTTATCCAATTCCACCCCTTCCTTACCCCCGACCGACGTCTGAATTCCTTGTACACCAGCGCCAACTACAACCTACTTTTGTGTACCAACAGACTTCACAAGTACTTGGAGAACAACCTTCTTACGAAATACAAACGTTACATCCCCAGTGGAGCCCCCAATCTATCGAGCCTCCACCTCAAAAAATCAAATCTCGATCATCTTCACCGTCATCTAGAGCATCTGGTCAGGTACAATCCGCTATCTCCGAATCGAGGATGGAGTTGCCTCCCGATCCTACGTCAACCTGCCGCAATGATTCGGCAGCTCAGGATGAGATACGCCATTCAACGGCGATGTATGATCAGAATATTCCTGAAGAAGGTCCCCCAAGTCAGGGTATGCTCAAGGACCCCAGCACTACACAGTCAGGTAACCACGAGACAGTACACGTGGTCAATGGACTATCGGGCAGAGGTGCAAATCTCGACCTTCATTTACCATCACCTGCTACGCCTATTCTGGCGTCAGCTGACAATACGCCTCCTCGAGGTACGTGCTCTTTTATGGGTCGGGGTAGGGAGGCAATGTTAATCCTTGACTAATTATGTAGCACCCCCGGAACATGGGGCAGAACGCGTGGACGGAAGCTCTATGGAGATGCATCCCCTCAAAGAGAGCTTTCAGGAACCGTTACCTAGTGGCAATGCAGCGAAAGCGACAGAGCCATTAATGGTCTCAGAAGGAGCTACCGAACCATCTGGGGTCTCATTTAACTCTGATGAACAGGCACAACAACCCTCTTTCTTAACCGTCACCCCACCACCTCTGTCCCAGGTGCCCGAGAAGCTCGCCCCTTCTATTACAGCTATTGGTGGTTTGGAAGTAGGTTTAGGTATCATCCCTTCCCAGCTGGGTCATGGTTCTCCTCAAATCGTAGTCAGCGATCACAGCGCGATTCGGACTTCTGCACCGAAGAAGTCTCGTCCTATTGATCAAAACCAGTCAGAGGAGCCAACGTCCGTCCGAGATGGCCTTCGTCTCGTTGTCCTTGCACGCCTTCGTTGTGATCGACAAACACGAGATGAAAGAGTCTACCCCCTCCTTCGTGCGAACCAGGTGGTTTCGGAACTGCAAAGGGTACCTGTATGCTCGAACGGTCAAAGCCGGCTATTTGAGGAAATGGTGGGCGACGGTCCTTCACGTGAGCGGGCTATTAAACATCAAAATCTTCAACCCGCCTTCATTGAACGTTTCGCCAAACGTCAGTCCGAGATCTTTGGAAAGGCATGTCGGTTGAAGGCAGAGTACCTGGCCCTTCATGAGCGGTGGCTCGAGCACTGTACTCGTCTTGACGAGGAGCAAAAATCTGGAGTTACAGAGGAGGTTGCTGTTCCTTCCGGCGGCCGATCTACTCGGCGTTCGACTGCAGTCCTTGGCGACGCTGTGCGTTCCGACCTGGAAATGGAACAAATCATTGCCAGCTTGGGCGTGGAAGAGCTTACTGATCCGAGCTATCTTGCCATCAAGAATGTTGCCAAGATCCCGGATATGATCTCGGTCACGCACGGATCAGTGCCGTATTTGTTCGATGACACAAATAACATTATCGACAACCCTGCGGAATTTTATGGCGCCTGCTCTGCGAACGACTACTGGACGGAAGAGGAGCGCAGTACATTCTTAACAGAATTCGCTGCTCATCCCAAGCAATTTGGCGTGATCGCCGAAAGGCTTCCGAACAAGACGCCTGCACAGTGCATCACCTACTACTACCTGCAGAAGAAACAAGGAGTGGACTTCCGGAAGGCAGTCGGGCAGTATGGTGTTGGAAGACGGCGCAGGAACGGGAGGAATGGGAAGCGACGAGGAAATGCTCTACTGGCAGATATCCGCAGACACGACGATGAGATATCTCGGGGCTCTTCTGCAGTCGCACCTAATGGCGCGAGCGGCAAGCGCAAACGAACAGCAAACGGACAAAATGGGGAACCAAGACGGACAACCACCTCCCGGAGGGCTGCCACTCAACCCGATGCGACTCCTGCATCGGCTGGCACGACGCCAGACCCGGACCCCGATCCTCCAAGACGAAGACGGAAGCCCGCGGCTTCGCGCGTGGTCATTGACAAAGTTGACAATGATGCGATTGTAGTGAGTCCGTCTACGGTGATTTGGGTAGTCCGTTTGTGACACGTGTCATGATCATTCAGACTAAGGAAAGCGAAGGAAGACCTCTCAAAAGGGGCAGAAAGTCACGAACAGTTGCTCCTAACGAAATTACTCTAACGCCCTCAGAGGAGCCTCTCACGCCCTTAGTGGTGGAGCCGACTCCTGAGGATCCGGAAGGAGTCATAGCACGAGTACCTCTCAATCCAAATGTTTGGACGGAGGATGACAAAAGTGCCGATCACTACTTTACTCCTCGTTGATTCATTGACTGGGTAGTTCCAGGCTTATTCCTGTCACTCCATGATCACTATGATGGACACCTGGTGGCTTCTACGATTCTGTAAGGTTTGCACGTGTGTGCTTCCTTGTGATTCTGCTTCCCTTGTTTGTGCAGGTAGCCCTACAAGTAAGCAGCACTTGAGAGTGACGATGTCCCGTTGGGGTGACTCCTGTGGCCATTCCCGAAGGTCTGGGTGACCTGCTATCCTACCCTTACCCCTGCGTACCATCTGCTAGGCCGACACTATCCTCACGGACTTTCTATGGCAATCGTGGCCGTTGATTTCTTTCATCTCACTCGGCGAATGACGATCTACCATACAATCCACCCACGTAGTCCCAATTCCGAATGCCATCCCCGACGTTCGCTCATTATACCAAGATTGCGTTGTCATTCTGGTCGCCGGTCGCGCCGTCTAACACATAGTTCTTACCATCTCGTGCAATGGATTTCGGCCACTGGTCATCATGCTGACACATGTGGTTTCCCCGTTACCCTCTCAGTACTATAGTGTAGTTGTTTAGGTATTGTACTATGTAGTGAGCAGCACGGGTAATCTTGTAAAGATGGTGGACGAATAGAAGAAACTTTGGACCTCATCGTCTACCCTCGACCATAATGATGTGGTAGCCGAAATTCGTTTTCACCAGCGGCGAAAGGATCGGTTTGTCGACAGTTGAGGGTTGTAAAGCAAATGCTGCATCTTGAAAAGCACCCTGGCACGAACGAAATCGATTTATCCACCCCGTCCCATCATGGAGTATGGAGTAACCTACGACCATAGATCCTCGTGTCATCCAACCCAGGCTACCGCCAGCTTGAATTCTGTCAGAAAACAAGATGTCACAAGGGATGTTCGACGACCACCTTTGGCTTTGTCTTCAGAATACTCCTGAGCGACCTTATCGAATCGTTGTCCCCCCTGAATGCAAGCACTAAGCGTTTGGAGACCATAATCTCACATTGACCCTTACCTGGATTTTTTCCAAAGCTTCCGTCGCTCTGGAATGTTTCTCGCAGAGTACATGACGGACGTTGACAGCAGTAGCGGGCTTCAGTGATCCCTTACCCTGTTTCAGCGCAAGATCATATGAAGCTCCTTCGAAGTCTGCTGAGAGCAAACCGGACCTTGCTCTCGGATGGCTCTGCTGTAGTCTTGCTTGCATTTCCCTTCTTCTCGTTCGAACCTGATTTATTCTTCCCCATGGCCGACGAACTCGAATGTGTTGGGCTGATTTCAAGCTTGTATGAGTGGTCCTACATGGGGGCAAGTCCAAATAAGGCAACAAGGTCCCACGCTGATCGTGCACTGACCTCGATTTCGAAGGACACCAGCATACAGAATCACTACCGCAACCCATCGCCAAGGCTATTACCTTTCAGACTTTCGAGGATGGCAGACAAAATCACTCGTATCGCCATCGTAGATGCAAACAGGTGCAAGCCGAAGAGATGCGCTCAGGAATGTAAAAAGGTTAGCAGATCAGTGCAGCATATGTGAGGTGTATTGACAACCTTTTGCGAATAGTCATGTCCCGTCGTGAAGATGGGTGAGTGCAGAATTAAAGTCCCTTCCTTGGTATTTGGCAGCTTTGCTAAATCAACTTGAAAGGTAAACTATGTATCGAAGTGAAGTCAACAGACAAGATTGCTTTCATATCAGAATTTTTGTGTATCGGATGCGGTATCTGTGTTAAGAAGTGAGTGAGTCGATGTACGACCCGTTCCCTGTGTCCTCACCTAGCCATCTACCAAAGATGTCCGTTTGAAGCCATTGCCATCATTAACCTACCAACGAATCTGGAATCGGAGGTCACACATCGTTACACTGCCAATTCTTTCAAGTTGCATCGTCTACCAACTCCTCGACCCGGACAAGTTCTTGGATTAGTCGGGACCAACGGTATAGGAAAAAGTACGGCGCTCAAAATTCTCGCCGGAAAACTCAAGCCAAACTTGGGTCGCTATGACGTGAGCAGGTACCGTCCTTCCAAGTCCCCGGCACTCAATCATAGTTCTAGGACCCTCCCGATTGGCAAGAGATCTTGAAATATTTCCGTGGATCCGAGTTACAAAATTACTTCACAAAAGTCCTCGAGGACAACTTGAAAGCTCTGATCAAGCCACAATATGTTGATCATATACCGCGGGCCATCAAGGGTACCATGACTGTCTCCCAGATGCTGGACTCCAAGCTAGAACTTGATAACAAGCAACAACTGTGTGACGAACTAGAACTGAACAATGTCCTTGACCGCGAAGTTTCCCAGCTTTCCGGAGGAGAATTACAAAGATTTGCCATCGCCATGTCGTGTATCCAACAGGCAGATGTGTAAGTTGACCCCAACTCAGACACTGACGGTGCAATGTTCATGTCCAAATAGATATATGTTTGATGAGCCGTCGAGTTATCTAGATATCAAACAGCGCTTGAAAGCTGCCGAGGTCATACGTTCGCTTCTCAATCCCAATTGCTATGTTATTGCTGTCGAACACGATCTCTCCGTCTTGGATTACCTTTCCGATTTCATCTGCTGTCTGTACGGGAAACCTTCCATGTACGGCGTGGTAACGATGCCTTATTCCGTCCGTGAAGGTAAGTATATGCCCTACTTCGCGAACGATGGGTAAAATCTAGAGCACACCACAGGCATAAACATCTTCCTTGATGGTTTCATCCCGACAGAAAACCTCCGTTTCCGAGAGGAGTCGCTATCCTTCAAGATGGTGGAGACTGCAGAGGAACTTATCATCGACAAAACGCGGCATTACTCGTACCCTGCTATGACGAAGACGATGGGAAACTTCAAACTTACCGTAGAATCTGGGAGTTTTACCGACTCTGAGATTGTTGTCATGTTGGGCGAAAATGGTACCGGGAAGACCACGTTTGTTCGACTGTTGGCGGGCGTCACTGCGCCGGATGTTGAATCAGACAAAATGGAGTTAGCCGTGTCGCTGAAGCCGCAAACGATATCACCCAAGTTCCCTGGTACTGTCCGAATGTTACTCCTCAAACAAATCAAACAGGCATTCATGCACCCACAATTCCAAAGCGATGTCCTCAAGCCAATGAACCTGGATAACATCATGGATCAGGAGGTGAAGACACTATCCGGAGGTGAATTGCAGCGAGTGGCTATTACCTTGGCTCTTGGTAGGTAGCTCATGGCACCACCTGGTCATCGCTGTAACTCTTCTGCCTAGGCAAACCAAACGTATCCGTTTACCTTCTTGATGAACCAAGCAGGTACGTATAATTTGCTTACATTACCCCTATCTCTGCTCACCAGTCTTTCAGTTTCTTGGATTCCGAACAACGTATCATCGCTAGCAAAGTTATCAAACGGTATGAATTTGGGGTCAGAAATTCTGTACCGTACTGATCGCTCTACAGCTTTATCCTCCACGCGAAGAAGACAGCATTTGTCATAGAGCATGACTTCATCATGGCGACTTATCTCGCTGACCGTGTTATCGTGTTCGAGGGCTCGCCTGCGATATCAGCCACAGCAACACCGTAAGTAGACCATGTCTCCCGGGAATGTGTATCAGTCGATCACTGGCCTAACCATATCTCGTTAGACCACAATCCCTCCTTACAGGCATGAATCGCTTTTTGGCGTCTCTGCAGATCACTTTTAGGCGCGATCCAACCAACTTCAGGCCTCGTGTCAACAAGCTCAACAGTATCAAGGATCGCGAGCAGAAGGGTAAGCTCTGGTAGTTGCTTCCTGGTGACATCGTTCTCATGGGCATGCCTAGCCATGGGCAGCTACTTCTTTTTGGAGGAGTGAGGAGGGCGCCTATATCTATCTAAAGCTCAACCCAGCACGAACCCTGTATCATGTCAAGGCGTATTTGGTCATCGAACCACCCCATTGCACGCTTCTTTTATGGTGTCGGATACTAGTTTAATTACGTCGCTCGGGAAGCTCGTCCGTGGTACGTATTGGTACAACCGCGAAGTGCTCCCGTTGAGGGTGAACTAATAGACAAGTTGCTGATTTCTGTGTGGCGTCCGTGCTAAGCCTAATGGAACGAGCTAACACGTCACAGTGATAAAGAGATCATGGGGTTCGAATTGCAACGTTGGCCATTGATCCACACCAGTAACGTGTAGACCCTTACAGAAAGAGAGTTTGAAGGGTCGTATCCACACGTTGAAATTGACGTTGAACCCTTAACCTCGCTGCGTCTATGGTAGTTGAAATACGGGAAAACTCATTGGTCGTATCTTCCGGTGGCGAAGTGACTCCTCAAAGTTACCCTGTGAGTTGTAGGAAGAGGCATAAGCTTAGGGGCCATTGTAAAGTTCACTATCCTTTTTCGCGGTGGCGCCGGCAGAACCTGGGAGGAACGCGATAGCGAAGTTGATGTCATGTTCTGGATTAACTAAATTACCTCGCACGCGATATTACGATGGTTCTCACCAGCAAGCTACGCTACCCAAGAAACGGCTGCGAGTCTTGAGATATATTGATACACGACTGTTCCTTGTGGTGTACTTGAGAACCGAGTCTGGAGACTTGTTGTGAACGGAAGTGGTCCAGCATCATTTGCCGTGCCTCTTCCTGCCATTTACTTGACAGTGATTCGCAACAAACGATGTCAGAACGTTTGAAGAACGACGCGTGATTAGTTGTTTGTTGTGTGGCTATGGTAATACGCGAGCGTGACGTTCGACGCGCGATCGCTGAAATCCTCGGTCGACTCCAGCAACCATGGTGGAGATCTCATCACCCCGAGTCAATTCTGCACGTCTAGTTGCGTTTGTGGGACGTACGGTAAGAGTTCCGTGCAAGGTGCTCAAGGTTAGCCACATGTTGTTTCATCACGCTTTCGCCGAACACGATCTAAAGAGTTGGCACTGGTCGTGGTCGCCGGACAGTTCCAGGGCTCTTCAGCGATTGTCGAGGCTTGCGATGGCGGTAACATCGAGGTACGACTGAGCCCGGTAAGTGCGCCATCAATAGATTCAGCGCATATTGGGCGCGGCTAACAAGTCACTAAGAGTAACGAGCTCACTGCAACCTATGTTGAAATCATTGGTCAGGTCTTGGGGGACGCCACTATCAAGTTTCTGGGTGCGATCAGCCTGGACTCCGACAAGGAACTGGGTAGGACTCTGTTTCTTCTGTCTACTACGTGTTCCCCCCCTTACATGGTCAATCTGTAGATATGAAGCTGGTGAACGATGTCGTCGAACTAACGTTCGATCCACGATTCAAAAAGATGTTTCCGCAATGAACTACGTTTCCATCAATACCTCCGGTTCTGTGCGATGGATACTATGCTGTACTATACGTAGCCAAATGTAGAATTGATGCATACCGATGACATCGCGGATGGCCATCCAAAAAATATTCACGCTGTAGGGCCAACGCCTGCCCTCGCCATTTTTTTGTCGTGTCCCCTCTTTCTGTTATGATTTGCAGCACTTGCCTTGTGTTTATCTTTGAGCGCCCGACCTCGAGAACCCATGCCCCTATTTCCGCTTCTACTTCCACTTTCATCTCCACTTCTACCTTCATTTCCACCGCCACTTCCAATTTCGCTTCCACCTCTACCCCCTCCACGACCACAACCACGCTCCAAAGCACGGCCTCGCACACTGCCTTTCCTGCCACGCTGACGACTGGGCGCTCCACTAGGTGGATGGCACTCACTGCCAGAGCTCTCAGCGAGCGGCACCTCAACCATTCTGTTCCTTTGGAATTCGTGTTTCTGTAAGATGCGGTCCTTCTTTGGCTAGAATGAAATGCGTTCTGTAAACCGTCTAGACGCTCTGCACACACAACACGTACGTTTCTTTCTAGCATGATTCTCCACCCTTCGATCTGTTCGTCTGACCACCCTGAATATTTTATGTGAGAAAAACAGAGGACTGTTCCACCCTATCTCAACAATACACTCACCTGTCTGTGATTTCAGTTCTGCGCGAGCCTTACTCCGCCGTGTTTCAGCATCACGAGCGAACAGCTTTGGATCGCGGATGTATGCGAGCTCCAGAATAGTCTCAGGGGTGACAGGATCTTTCGCACTCTCGCCGTTCTCATCGCTGCTATTTTCATCTTCGCCGTCGCCAGTGACTCTGATACTAGTATCCCCAAAGCCGTCTAAGTCGTCCATGTAAGCTACTTCTTCCTCGCCTTCGCCTTCGTCATCCTCGTCCGCGATTATAATTTGAGTTCGACGTAAAATATCCGCTTTCATGCGTTCCCTTTCTGTCTTGTTATGGAGGAAAATGGGCTCATCGTGCCTGCGAAAAATGTGAGCAAGTAAATGTGTAAGTGATCGGATAATAAATCCCACCGTTTCTTGCCGCAGTGCAGTCTCGAAATATCCATGACCTCGTCATCGAAAACGTTCCTTCTCTCGATCCTTTCCAAATCAGAAGAAATGCGTCTGGGTTCTGCAAAAGTTTCCATGGCATCGGTGTCCGTTTCAAGCTCAGCCTCGGCAGGGGCAGTGCCTTCTAAAAGGGCCTCTATGACCCTCTCAGCGTTCCCTCGGAAAGGATAGCTGGGATGCTCCAGCAGCTTGCGAATATAACCCGGTGAATGATCTGGAAATATGTCAAGCACCTGTGTGATTTTAAGGTCTGTATCCGTGTCTCGTACTGCGCTAGGCGCCACAGGGAGTGGAGGGGAACGTTCCCTCGCTTTCCATTTGCCTTTCGATAATGTCCTTGAGTCTTTCTGGGCTAGTGGTGAAATCCCCGGCGATCGAAGAACCAACTTGAGTGCACCTGGGTCACGTGTACCATCCACACTCGAGGATTGGACACGTAATGCACGTAATGCAGCGTCTAGAGATCGCGTGCGTGCATCCTCTCGTGATGCACTACGCAGAGCGGAGAAGAGCATTTGATTAAAATCGTACGCATGTTGATAATCCGTAATTAACGGACGATCGAGAAAGGGCACGCCACGGCCACCCTCGCTACTGGCAGACTGTTGTGTTCCAGACGTAGTAGTTTCCAACAGTACATTCACGATTCCGAACGCACGGTCCATCTCCGCCGAAAGCCGCTGGTGTCCTGACGCAGCCGAAAGGTCCGCCACGAGACACTTCACGATGACATGGAATGCATCAACGAGAGCTACCTTGGTCTCGATCCAAACCCGCTCCCAGTCGTCCAGTGTGCGAGAACCGTCATCAACATTCCGGATCCCACCATAAGAGCGCGCCATCGACGACAAACCCTCGTCGTATGCACGCCCAAGGGTCAGGACGAAATCCCTGTTGTGCGCGAACGGCCGGACAAGTTCGGGTGGACAGGGGCGGAGTAGGCTGAGAAGACAGTCTGCAGTCTTGCGGAGGGCGTATAGCCCGGAGGAACGGGCTGGGCTGAGATGCGCAGTGAATGCCGGGACGACCTCCTTTACAAACGTTGAAGGCAGTGAGGGTGTGCCTATGAGGGCCGCAGCCAAGACGTCCCTGAGGCGTCCAGATCTCTCGGCGAAAGCTACACAAAGATCGAGTACAGTACATATATCTAATCCAGGGGGCGACGATGCAAGTTTTTCTGCGAGAATTAGAACTCGCTGATATATGTTCTCATCGAATCTGAGGGATTCGGAGCTCTCCCAGATCAGACCTTGGAGGACCTGGTGGGCGGCATCGCCAGCATAGGTCGAGATGAATGCGCGGGTCGCAGGGGTGTCGCGTTTCGCTGGAGGCAACGAAATGGCGTCCTCCAGAGCCCTAGCGACGTTGAGATGAAAGTGGGCTAACTGGGACGCCGAGAAGGACTTTCTCGCCTGAGTTGAAGGGTAGGGCGGAAGTGGTGTGATCGTCGCCATGAACTGAGGTCCGTACGCACACGACTCGTGGCAAAACAATCATCGAATCACATTCAAATCATATAGTCCAAGGCCTAGATGGGGCCACTACATACAAGAAGAAATCATAGAAAGCCTTTACCAACGTATACAATCTGAGCTCAAGACAGCGAGTGAGACACTCAGACAATATCAGGGACAAATCTACTAATAGTAAGGCGACGCCCCAGCCTTGTTAGGCTGGTGCGCAGCGGTCATAGCCTTCGAGAAACCGGGGCCATGCTGGGCTTGACCTGATAAACGTTGAGAATACGCGCCCCTCTCTGCATCAGAAAATTTGGGTTTTGTATAGTGCGTACCGGTAGCAGATCTGCCGCTCTTCGCCGTCAAACCACCAGGAGCTCCTCCCATATTGCTCAGTTGTTGCCTCATCTTTGCATTCTCAGCGGGGAGAGCCTTCATCAGCCGAGCCGCTGTGGGTGCAAACCTCCGTCAGTATAATTATAACCTCCACCGGAAGTCACAAGACACTTGCCTTCTAACAAAGTCTCATATGGCGTCGCAGGCTGGCGATTGGTCAACTGGTGAACAATGTTACGCAGGCCCTCGAAGGCAGACTCCTCGGTTTTGCTGTACTGTGCCTGCGCTGCTGGCAGCTTGGTAGTCGAATGTGTACCACCAGAGGAGGCTTTGGCTGCAGTATATGAGGAAATTGACATCCTAGATCACTTGTTTGTTGCGATTGTTGAGCACTGAGGGCCGGAAGGATTGGAGGCTTGGTTGGGTGGTATTGGCCCTACTCTGGCGCGTCCACTTATACCTGCCGTAGAACTGCACGTTTCCAATAAACGAGCGAATATATTCCCTCTTGAAGAGTGGTCTCCTTGTGCGACAGTCGGTAGGAAAACACACTGGTACGGATCTTTCTTGCCCCTTTCACTTGGCAGGATTTTTCAGTCTGGCAGGTCAACGATTTTTACTCATAATCCCCGCGTGGTCTGACACACGCGATCAGAGCTTTCGGTGATTCGGGAACGGGCCCAGGCACAGTGGAACGTTCTTAGACGCCCATTGTTATTCCCGGGAGTGACGTACTCACGTGGAAGACATTTTTGCCATTCGGGTTTGGACCTTGTCAGTCCATTTGCTTCGAACGAGGTAGCTCCACAATGAGGTACATATATAGTACAGACACTGCACAAACGTTCAAAAGTAGGTCCATCCCACCTTCTAGAAGTACACACCTCCCGACCCTGGCAAACGACCCCTACTCAACTCTCCGAGGTGAGACAAGCTCACTCCATTGGAACGTGTCCAAATTCGATATGGAGTTACGAGTATCCCCGCTTGTCGCTACTAATCCTGGGGCTTGCGCTTAGCCGTAAACTCGCACGGCTGTTAGAACGCGAACGGGTGAAATCGTGGGATATTAGCCCGGAACGTGAGGATTGCGAGGATGAAGACGAAGCACGACGTTGCCGCATGCGTTTCGTAGGGTCCACGTCTGGTACATTAGCAATTATGGCGAACAGTGAAAGGACTAGCCCCGAAAGTCAGAACAGTGCCCGTTGCGACTACACAAGTGCACGTACTGTCAACAATGGAAACAATTCCACATAGGCTGCCCGTACTAGATAAAGGATAGGCAGCCGGAGGTAGGTAGTCGTTGTCAGTCACGAAAAGGCGGTGTGCATTGGCTGTACCGGAAATACGTATCGGCTACTGCCAGCACCGACATAACGAGACCAACGCACTAGCCAACAGTTTCTGAAGTGCAAACAATAATTTGTTTGTTGGGAACACGAGATATACTGGGTTTCCGGTCAACAAACCTAAATTAAATGCCGTTATGGGACGTCGCTCACTAGGATATTTATCGATGCCGTCGATAGAACCGTCCGGCGCCTGGAAGCGATATCAAGTACCAACAGCTTCAGTCACTAAAAATACACACCTTGATTTGAGCAATGAACCGGTGGAGCGGCGCCGATAAAATTTGGTTGCTTTCCGACGGAACCACCATCTGGAAAAACGTTTGGTGGATGTCATGGACATGTGGTGCTGACATACCTTTCCGATATCCGTCACACTTACAGCGCTCAGTAACGAACCGTGCTCCTCATCGATTACAGCAATGCTGCTGACGCCTTGCTCGCTCATGAGGCGCATAGCGTCGAGTACCTGGGCGGTACTGGTCGTAGCGACTGACAGAAGAATGGATGTGTAGGGAAGGCAGACCGAGCGCATATAGGGAGTTGTCCAAGTAAGAGCGGAATGTGGGTGTACGTTCAGCGTACGCGAAGAACCACGATAGAAGACCCCTGTCGGACACCATTCCAAGGAAGTCGTTGGAAGGGCGGAGGAGAATGAACAAGTACTATTACAATATGAGAATTATCATATTCAAGGGTATATGCGCCTACCTCGGTGCGCGCCGCGTGCGAACACGGCTAACAGGGACACGACCGAAGCATCGTGGGGTGCTGTCTCCAAAAAGTTCTTCTCGGACAGGTCTGTCACACACAAGTCAGGGAACGGTACTCGCCACTCCGCTATAACACATACTGCTAACAAGGTGAACGGGAACGTGGCCTGAACGAGCGGCGGACATGATTTGGTCAGCGCTTCCATTTGCTTTCAATTCATGTGGGGGAATGGTATGCCGAGTTGCGGCCAACGTCAAGAACGCGTTAACGTCTGAGAACTGTTCTGACAGTGAGCGATCAAACCAACAGCGGATGGACCCTCACGTCGAAGAGACCAGCGAACGGGCAAGTCGTGGTGCCGGGGAGGGCTTTGACAGCAAGACAGGGAATATTTTCTGACAGGAGGAGCTGCATGAACTAGTAAGTATCGACCCAAGGAAGATGGACGCGGAACTTGCATCACAGGCGCCTTCGACGGAGATGTCTGCCTCCACAGCGACGATGCGGGAATCGATAAGATCTGTGCCGGAACACGCATTTAGTACGCATATATACTGCCTCCGACAGTCATAGGGGCTGACTGACCTCTTGCATTGACACTGGACCAGTGTTTGACCCAGTCCTCTGATTCTGGACCCAGGATAGCTGATGCAAACGTCGATGACGCCGATGGCGATTCACGGCTTGCAGAGTGTCGCGGGCTCCTCAAGGAAATGGAGCTCGTTCGTTTAGCCATTTGGGTTGACTTTGATCGAGCTGGACGGGATGGGCGACGACGACGACGACGACGTTGAGGATGGGGATGAGGATGAGGGGAGGAGCATGGCTCTGCGCGGGTTTTGATCAGTGGCAAACCAGGCGACGAGAAGTCCCTCCTTGGCTGTTTACGTATGTATGTGCAAGACCTCGGACCATCATGATGTCAACTGTACCCCCGCATCTCCTACAAACCCTGCTGCCCACAGTGGATGCAGTCCAGATATCCTGTGCTCAGGCTCTGGGTATGGGATGGTCGTTAATTTACCGCCTCTCCGTCTCACCAGACCCTCCATCTAGGTTCCGAGGTTTATGTCGGATGTGCCAACGGTTCTTTGTTGCGATACACTCTCCAAGTTGGACATGACAACCAGGGTGGGTCGTTGCCAATGTGTCTTGTTTGTCCAGATTTCATCCGACCACCAGAATCATACACTCTATCTTCTCGCCAAAACCTTCCCAGTGGGAAACCTATCGACGAACTTGTTCTGATACCTTCTCTGTCCCGCGCACTTATTCTGTCTGGTATGTTCTCGGTCCTTCTTGTGGACGGAGGCCTGTACGTTGCAGCTCAGATCGACAGATCCATATCTACACCATCCCCTCGTTGGACCCCCTACCTGGCGCCAAACCCATCCGCAACGTGGAGACTTTTGCAGTGGACCACCAGCATCTGTTGAGACCACCACCTTCACCCAATGACCCACCCACAAGAGCTCTGCCAGTCGATTTTTGTGTCATCAAGCGCACTGCAATCGCGTTGTTCAGCATCAGCGAAGAACGGTTAATGTACTTCAAGGCGAGCAACCCGCAATCTGCTCATAAGTCACCATTCTTACCCAGAACAGGAAGTCCCATTCCAACCAGGAGCTCAGCTAGCTCGACGAATTGGACATTTCCTCTGCGTCGCCGACACAGAATACTACAACGTCGTTGACATGCACAATGCTCAAATGTTTCCGCTTCTCCCGGTTAACCAAGCCGGGGACGCGGCTCCCGTGAAACCGTTCATCTCAGTGGTCAGCGAGACAGAGTTCCTTATCTTGTCATGGACGGGAGCGTCCACGATCGGAATATTCATCACCGGGGAAGGCGATCCAGTTAGGGGAACACTTACCTTTCCAAGCCATCCGTTGTCCATTTGTGAGTAGTGTGTCGTCCCAGTTTATTCTGACTGTGCACACATCCCTTGACGCAGGTCTGGATTACCCCAACGTTACGGCACTCCTCCCAAATGGGTCCATAGAGATCCATGATGTCGAAACGCAATCGATCGTCCAAGTGATCCCTCCGTCTCAGAACGAGCAACTGCTTGGGGAACGCGTCGGAGTCGTCTCATCGACAGGAGGATATTTGGTGCCGTCACAGGAACAACTGGACAAGCTTCGAAAAACGAAGGTGAGGCTGCCAGTGCATCCTGAGCCAGTAGAGCCCTTGGGTTGAAGTAGTACATTCTGGGTGGCTCCTGTGGGTAATCAAATGCCTATCCTTCTTCCTATCACCGCGCCTGAATAAAACGCGTGTTCAAACAAAGTTAATCCACGTGACTTGAGTACGCGCGGTAGTTTGTTGTTGTTTTGGACGCGACGCGCGACCTTTTCTTGCCGTGCTCCTGAGTCCTTCGACTCCCAGTCCACCACATTTCCCCTCCCAAAAAAAAAATCCCCCCGTAATTCCTAGAATCGCCCATGTCCTTCTCGGAGACACAAAGTGCCACCGACGGCGTCTACGATATTCCTTACTCTCTTTCCACTCCCTCAGCATCGTCGGACTCGTCTGACGAGCCACTGACCCCGCCGCGCTCTCCAAGTCGCCTCGACTTTTGTGAAGAGCCTTATGAGGAAGAAGACTACAAGTGGTACGATGGTGGCAATACAATCCCGCTGTTGTGGGGCGCAGCCGATGATCACGGCCTTTCTCGTCCTTCTCGCAAAAGTCTACATCGGAAAAACACCGAAGGAGACGAAAAATGTGACGATCCGGTAGATTTTCTCACCCGAGTCTTGGCTTCGGGTCCGCACAGCACTCCCTACGAGGAACCGGAGACCCAGCCCCCGAACCCGGTCGACCTTCTATCGGACACGGCTCCTGGTGTTCCGCTGACTGCTATACCACTTGTCGGTCCTCTGAGCGCCGCGGAAAAAATGCAGCGCATCCGCGGAAAGAAACCGCGCGAGCCTTGCCACCACGGCTTATCCCGTAACGCCCTTATCCTCAAAAAATCGCTCTGGGACTCCAGGTTGAGCAAGTGGAAAGAATTATTCAGTCAACCAAGCACGTGGCAGAAACCTACGACTGCAGATTGTACCAGCTCACTTAGCCCACCTACAAGTATTCCGCGATCGGGTTTCGAGCGGGACATGGCGCCACACGCTTCGAGGTGGTATGCCTACCACCCTCAGTCGCCGATATTTCCCCGGGCAGGGGACATCCTTGCGCTCCGGGATCAGCACGCCGTTGAATTGGATCAGTCCTTCTTCGAATATCCCCTCTGGACCATTCACAAGGCGCTCTATCTCTTCGATATGTACGATCGACTTACAAGACCGTTCAATGGAAGCAATGTGGACGAGACGCAGATGCAGCCAACGTCGTCTAAGATCCCGTGTTCGACACGTACTCCAGAACTGGCGCACGCAGATGCAAACCCAACCGAGCAAACCAACACTCAGTCCCACGCCCTGCCGCCGGATACTGTGGTATGGAACGACTTCAGACCATGGGAACGGAGCTGGTACCAACGGTGGGCTGTACTGGAGAATCTCGTCCAGCGCAGCTCCTCTGGTCCATCTAGTCCATCGATCGAGGCAATGGAACCCTCTTCCGTACAGTCGACTTGGGAGGACAGTGACGAAGATGATGACTATGATACACTGGCAGCCAACACCATGTTCAGCAAGCGGTTTGTTGACGAATGGGATTGATCATAGCAGGGGGAAACGCCTTAGGGGAATATGGTGAACTCAGGGCGGTATTTTTTTTCTACGTCGATTTGCAAGACTATTTGTTGTGTCCTAATGTGTTGACAAGTTATTTCTGTAAGTTATACCACAGCACCAACCTACGTGGCATTTCCGTGGAATCATGGCACTAGTATGTACATAGCATATTTTTCCCGCACAGACAAACTCCAACATACCATGTAATTTCATCGATATCATTCTACTCTCTGTTCCAGACCTGTACGACCATGCGTTAATAGTCGTCACCTGAGGGACACTCCACCCCCCAAATATCCGCCGAGTTTCGTTCGCCGAGGTTGAGTGCGTCGATTTTTGGTGCTTTTGGGAAGATCCAACGGTAGCTCCACTGTCCCACCATCCTCCCCGCTAATAAGCCACTAGGTCGTGAAGGGGTTAAAGAGCTTCCGGTTAAAGGATCTACAAAAATGAGAAATGGATAATTGACTCCCAGATCCGTTCATGTCGGGTTTCCATTAGTGCACTTAATATTACGCCCGTTCGGAGCGGTGGAGCTCATGACCAATAGAACCCAAACCATATACGTTGACCCATTTGGACGGCAAACACGGGGGGACAGCCCCAAACGTACCAAAGTCGAATTTGAGGGTCATGGCTCTTACCGACGGTGACCTGAAGTCCGTTACGATAGATACAGGAATATGATACGACCCCGCTCCAGCTCCACCACTATCAAGGCAGCGTGCAGCGCAGCTCATTCCCGCGTTTACGACAACTGAAAAAACTCGTACATAGAAGTCCGATTTCTCAGCTTGTACTACAGGACAGAACAACGACGCCCTGCACCGCGGGCAACTTTGCTTCAAGGTTTCATAGATCTAGTTGAAAGATCATCATCACAGATACCTAGATCCACACTACCAGAACGAAAAAGAAGAGAAGAGCTGGTGTCAGCTGCCATGAGATGAATCGATGGCGTTTAGTTGACCACAACAGTGGCAGCCTCGGCAGCCTTCAATGCAACCTCAAAACATCTCATCAGGACCTCCTTCTCCTCCATCCCTACACTAATCCTCACAAGACCTTCCTCGACTCCATACTCCGCTGCCCACTCCAACTCGTTGTAGTGTGCCAAAATGGTGTATGGACAAGCAAGCGTGAAATTCGTGCCGAGACTAGGGCCCTTGAGACAAGACAATGCATCGAAGAAGGCTCGGGAAGCGCCAAGGGAGGTAAATGTGAGCGAGAAGAGCCCTCCGTACCCGCCCTCAGGGAGCTGACATTTCACGTAATTGGATGGGCAAGAGAATTTTGGGTAGTACACCTCTTTGATCGCGATACCTTCCAAATGTGTAGTATTCCCGGAAAGGGAGCGTGAGCGCAAAAAGTCGCAGATGGCTTCAGTGTTAGTATCGATGACACGGACACGTCGTGTAAAGTCACGTGAATTGCGTTCCATAAATAGGGCGTCTTCGTTGAAGTAAACGTCCTCGTAGTTAGTGGATAAATGCTGCTTCAAAGCAGCGTAATGTCGTCCTTGAGGGTTGAGAACGAGACTTCGTATTAAATTTGAGTGAGATGCAGGTCAAGCAGTGGTAAGCCACGTACCTTCCCCCCATGGTGTTAGCACAACCGCTGAAGATCTTCGACAAACTACTGACGACGACGTCAGCATAAGGTAAAACCTCGATGTTAACAAAGTTTCCAATCGTGTCATCGACAACGATCACAAAATCGTATTTATCTGCCAGACTACGGAGTCGGGGTAGGTCAGGCGAACGGAGGAGAGGATTTGAAGGGAATTCGGTGAACACGGCGAGTATAGGAGGCGTAGATGGGTTCTCGCTCGATATTTGTTCCAGCAAACTCTCTAAGGCATCAACGTCCGATTCTTGACCGTGTCCAAAGAAATGGCAACCAGGGCCCCACTTCTGAAGAATCTTAAGCGTGTCTGTGTAAGGGAATCTGCATACTGGTTGAGATAACGGTCCTTTCTTTTTAGTCGTCAACGCACCCGAAGCAAACGCTCTTGGCCACAGGCCGAACCGCGAGAGCGAATTGATGTGCATTCCATATAGCCGCCATGCCAGTGGGGAAGAGGTAGACATCGTTCTCCGTCACATCTTTGACGCCCCTGCTACTTGGCCCAAGCTCTGCATCCAGCGCACCTGCAGAAGGGCCATGTGGTCCATCATCCATCGTGTCATGCACCAGTACACCCGCAATACGTCTCCGCAATGCCCTCTTTGCATACGCTCCGGCACTGAGGGGCAAGTTCCTTCCATACCGCTCTTCTATATAGGTGTCCTGGTCCTTGCATAACACCTCACGTGGACATGGCGGTAGCGATAGGGATGATCTACTTTCCCCACCAAGTGAAGGTGACCCAGGCATGTGTTTAGAGTAGTGCTTATTCGGCGCCTTATACGGAGACCGCCAGGACGTTTGAAGCCGCGGTGGTGAGGCGGGCAACGTTGGTTGTTGAGAGTCGAGTATGGCAAGGCAACGTTCGGCGAAGCGCGATGATATACCCATGCCCGTATGTTGCCAGAACTGCTTCGCGATGGGGAATACGTCCGCTGGGAAAAGTATAATATGAAGTTCGGCACAATCGTTCGTGGACGACGACGGCTGGGAAGGCGTATTCTCCGGGCAAACCATGTATCGGGCGAGTCGTACATGAGTAAAGATGCCGGAAAGGGCCGTGCGAGCGAGAACGAACTCCCGGCAATGGTCTGCCACTCTTTTTGAGGGACATAACAGACATTTTTCGTTGTTAATGCCGAACTTCTGTTCGCAGATGCTTGCAAGCTGGAGCGATCAGATAGCGATCAGACATGCGCTTCGGAAAAGTAGAGAAACGTGCCTTTTGGATACTTAGATGAATGAAGAAACGTGGATATCCGGACACCATGGACTCTACAACGCGCTTTTCTCCTTCCTCGTAACCGACGTTGTCTCTCCATGTAGGGAGGGACACCGAGATTGCGTGCGGTGTGAAAGGTGGGACAGCATGTCCAAGGGTGTCGTGGCCAGTTGCAACGACTGCAGTCATTTTCTAGTGGTATGCGATTGCTAGGAAAGATGTCAGCCCCGCCTGCGCACCTACCGATCAGACGTACCAATTTGTTACAGTTTGAGTGTGGTGGTGAGTTGGTCTTGCAAGGGTGGGTCTGTTCGCTTGCAAACTTTTTATTTATTACTCGAGTCGAGTCAGCTCGCAACACTCCCGCAGCTCTGCACCAACCATCTCTCTCGGCTCTCTCGGTCGAAATCGCTAGCCGATAGCGATCGATCAACAGGCTTCTAGAACTTAGTTGGTCCTCCAATTTTCGAAGCGGAGGTGGCGGTCCTGGTACACTTGTTTTGGGGAACCACTCTTCCCTTGGACAGATCGAAGTTTGACCGAGAATTTCTCTTATCAGCGCTTATCAAGGTATCGAACGCATACGCGACTCATTGTAGTGCCCGCCCTATCCCTTACCGGTCGACGACACAGGACGCGATCCCACAGAATGTCTAGGACTCTGCCTTGTCCTGCGTGGACCACAACAGTGACAACGAACGTGGCTGACCTCATGACCTGAGACATGAGATCCGATCTTCCTGTGCTACAGCGAAGCTCAAGACATCCAGAAAATGAGACCAGAGTTGGTATAGCCGGTCTCTTGCCCTGGAAGTTCTGCTGTTACATTGACACTTTCCGTTGAAGGCAGATCAACCCGTTGGAAGTTGTCAGACCGAGGGCTTCGCAACGTTGCCAACGTACTACTAGTACAAGACTAGTATCACTACTGATTCCAGTACAACGGGTCATTACCACAAGCAGTCAACAAGGGAATACCTTGCATTCAACTTTGGTTTGTGCCAAGTGCGGATAACGGGCTGGCCAAGTGTCGTGCACGCCGTTGTTCACCCATCAAATTTTAAACTGACGCCCTATGAATTTCGTAAACATGTACACAAGACGCTTTGGACTCGTAGACTCAAACAGTGCGTGGGTTGATTTCCATGCTATACTTCATAAATATTTACATCCACAAGACACCACGGGTCCCCGAGGTAGAGGCGATCCTGCAACGTGCTGTCCATCCGTTCCTTGCTGCCTAGTGAAGTCAGGCCGCCCAGTGTACGCCTCCCGTACAGCATCCCCCTGATTCCAAGACTCCACACGTTGTTCCTTTACAATTTGCCCATCTGCACGATATAACGCATATGAGCTGAGAACGATGTATCTAAGATGCACGGCGGGAACGGTGGATTTTGGGGGAGAAGAGGGGTAATATGTAGTCCTGCCAACAGGGCACTCAGACGTTTGTGAGGCACCAGTAGGCCCATAGATATCAGCTACGCTCAAAAATCAGGCAATACGCCCCCAGGTTCTACTACTTGAACCATAAAATCAATAAGCATAGAGGAGCCACGGGTAAGTACCAGACATTCGACTACTTGACAAGTCACGGACCTAATACTACATCCATTCAAGCTGACTCGGCAACTCTTAGCGCATTGTCTACAGCCCTAAGAAGTGCCTCTCTATCTTCCGTCCCGATTCCCACCCTCACCAAGCCCTCTTCCACCCCATACTCTGCCGCAAATTCCAGCTCCGAATAGTGGCCCAACAACGTATATGGACAGACCAGCGTGAACGTCGTGCCGTAACTTGGACCTTTTGCGACTTCTAATGCATCGTGGAATGCGCGGGACGCCTTCAAACTTGTGAACGTGAGCGAGAACAAGCCCCCATAACCTCCGTTCTCGCGGTCTAGTTCATCAGTAGACAGGCGCCGGCGACAGATTTGGTAGTCCTCCGGAGTTATGTATTTGGGATACCACACTTGCTTGATAACTGCGCCTTCACTTTCGGATGCTCCGCCCTTAATAGAGCGCATGCGGAGGAAGTCACAGATGTACTCCGTGTTAGTGTTTACAATGCGCATGCGTTCGAAGAAATCACGCGAGTTCCGTTCCATTACGATTGCATCGGGGGTGAAGTAGGTGTCCTCAAAGGTCAACGCCAGATGTTCCTTGAGTAGAGCACGGTGCCTCATGCGAGGATTGATTACCAGGCTGCAGGGAAATGAACTGTTAAACCAGATATCAGAAAGGACTATTAGGCGGGAACTACTCACCTGCCGCCAAGTGCGGTTGCATATCCGCCTACATACTTTGACAGGCTGGTCATGATTATATCAGCGTAAGGCAAGACGTCTACGTTGGCGAATGATCCGACGGTCTCATCGATGACAATCAAAAAGTCGTATTTGTCTGCCAAGGCGCGCAGCCGCCGGATATTCACGGTACATAGTCGTGGATTTGACGGACATTCCGTGTAGAGAGCGAGTATGGGAGGTGCAGAGGGATTCTCGGCTACCTTTCTTGCGAGCATAGCATCCAGGTCATCGACGTCACAATCACGACCATGTCCGTAGAATATGGCACCTGGACCACTTTTCTCGAGGATTTTGAGGGTGTCGGTATATAGGAAGCTGGGTCAAGCAGTTATTGTGGCATAGTCTACGATGGTCTGTACATGAAGTTGTGCTTACCCAAATACGACGCTTTTCCCCAAAGGACGCGATGCGAGTAAGAGCTGGTGTGCATTCCACAATGCTGACATTCCGCATGGATAAAGGAACACATCATCCTCAGAAACGTTTGTTCCTGCGCCGGTAGGCGACTCATCACGGACAAAATAGCTAGCTATTCGTTGACGGAGTGCAGCTTTCGCATCCGCTCCGGTCGTTAATGGAAGTTCTGACGCGTCCAAAGATTTCGGGATCAAATCTGTCTTCCCGAATACACGAAAAAACTTCGAGATTTTCACCTTTGGAAAATCAGGAATTCCAAGGACAGATAGACAGTGTTCTGCGTATCGTGACGAAATGCCGAGGCCGCAGTGTTCCCAGAATCGCCTTGCGACTTTATACGTGTCAGCATGAAAGAACAGAGCGAAGACTTCGGCATATTGTGGAGGTACCGATTGTGATACTACGGGGAGACCCGATGTCTCTTGTAAAGTTGAGGGGGGATCTCCCATTGGGTGGATGACATAATGGACGATTCGCAAGTCAGATGGCTTGCCGGCCAACAAGGCTTGATTGTGAGTAAATTCCTTCCCATGCTCAGCAATGCTTTGAGTTGGGTACAGAAGGCAAAGTTCTCCGGAGAGACCGAACTTTTCTTGGCAGATCTCTATGAGCTGCACATATTCAAAATCTTATGTCAGATATTAACTGCGAGCGCATGGCAGCATCAATACCTCCTGAATGCTTCGATGGATAAAGAACCGAGGGTAACCCGTCGACATCGCGTCGATAATGGCTTCCTGATTAGTGAGGTACCCCACATTGTCGGACCAGGTTGGCAGCGACACTGTAATGGCATGCAGAACAGCCGGGAGAGGACACCCCAGCGTGTCATTTCCAATAGGAAGAGGAGCGGCCATGGCAGCGACGGTGATAGCTCAGTAGTCCAACTATGGCGGTGGGGTTGTTATAAATGTCCGATGGCTATCAGGATTAGCCAGTAGTCACGATGGGGCTACAGATGTACCGGGTCATGGCGGGACGATGGAAAAATCGGGTCGTAACGGGGTGAAGGAGGTGTCCGATGATGACGGGGTGATGGAGGAGGTAACCTGGGTAATGATAGATTGCGAGAGGGCGACCCGTGTTCCATTAGAGCCGCAGCGGACTACAGTATGACAATGACTTTGGTAAAGTATCGTCATCTCGATGCACTTACAAATTACCCGACTGCATGCAGTCCGGGAAAATTCGCGGCGGCCATGACTGGTGTTCTCAGCAGAGTCTATCGCGCCATCTCTTCGACGTGGGTTGGATAGGGGCCGTACGACGGGCACGTGGTGCGCATGATGCAATGCATGAATCGCGGGTTGGATTTCGTAATGTTTTGTGACCAGGACAGAAGAAGCATATGCAAGGAAGACAACGCACGACACGCAAGCACGGTGTGCGATATGCCACACCCCGTGTGATGTGATTGACGTAGGGTTGCGGTCTTCAGTTTGATCGTTGACTAAGTGGAGGGCACGCGTGAGAGAAAATGAAGCTCGGGCGACTCGGGCGACTCGAGCTGCTCGGGCTGCACACAACCTTTCGTCATTACTCATTTCGGTGCTACCAAATCCACTGTATGTAGACCATGTAATTATGCACAAAATAAATAGGTATTCTGCGAAGAAACCCGCCCAAATTTGCTAGGCTGGTGGTGTTCGCGCTCGGAGAGCGGTCGCGTGACCGCGTCCCGTGCGTTCGGTGCTCGGCGGCGCGCTTGCAAAAAGATCTGCACGGACCCATCGGGCCGCTCTCCGGCTTGGGAAAATGTGCTTATGTGGTTGCAAATTTCCCGGTGCAAAGTCTTTGTGCACTTATCAATTGATTTTGCACTTTACGACGTGCGAATTTGCCACTTTTCGCTAGCCAGGAGCGTAGATAAGCATATGTATGACGTGAAAAAAGTCCCTTGGAGTCCTCCCGAGCATCCCGCCCGAACCATCACTTCGTGATGCCCTGCGAGGCCCGCTCGAATGCTCGACCACTTCCCTGCTGACGGTGGCACTTCCTTTTCGGGAAATTCCCACGGCATCACCACCTGCAAAATTCAAGCGGACTTGGCAGCCCTTAGCGCGGCATTTACAACCCTAAGAAGCACTTCTCTATCTTCCGTCCCGATACTTACTCTCACCAAGCCCTCCTCTACCCCATACTCTGCCGCGAATTCCAGTTCCCAAAAGTGGCCCAACAATGTGTATGGACAGGTCAGCGTGAACGTCGTGCCGAGACTCGGACCTTTTGCGACCTCTAGTGCATCGTAGAATGCGCGGGAGGCCTTCAAACTTGTGAACGTGAGCGAGAACAAGCCCCCATAACCTCCGTTCTCGTGATCTAGTTCTCCAGCAGGCAGGCATCGACGACAGACTTGGTAGTTCTCCGGAGTCATGTATTTAGGATACCACACTTGCTTGATAACTGCGTCTTCACTTTCGGATGCTCCGCCCTCAATAGAGTGTGTGCGGAGGAAGTCGCAAATGTACTCGGTGTTAGCGTTTATAATGCGCATGCGCTCGAAAAAGTCGCGTGAGTTCCGTTCCATCACAATCGCATCGGGAGCGAAGTAGGTATCCTCAAACGTCGATGTCAGGTGCTCCTTAAGCAGAGCATGGTGCCTCATGCGGGGATTGATGACCAGGCTGCAGGGAAATGAATTATTAAGTTATCGGGAAGGGTTAACTGCTCACCTCCCGCCGAGCGCGGTTGCATATCCGCCCACGTATTTTGATAGGCTAGTGGCGATTAAATCGGCGTAAGGCAAGACGTCTACGTTGGCGAATGTTCCGATGGTCTCGTCGATAATAATTAAAAAATCATATTTGTCAGCCAAGGCGCGCAGTCGCGGGATATTCACGGTACATAGTCGTGGATTTGACGGACATTCCGTGTAGAGAGCAAGTATGGGAGGCGCAGAAGGATCCTCGGCTACATTTCTTGCGAGCGTAGCGTCCAGGTCATCAATGTCACAATCACGACCGTGTCCGTAGAATATAGCGCCTGGACCACTTTTCTCGAGAATTTTGAGGGTGTCGGTATACGGGAAGCTGGGTCAAGCAGTTATTGCGACACAGTTCACGACGCTCTGTACATGAACTTGCGCTTACCCAAATACAACGCTTTTCCCCAAAGGACGCGATGCGAGTAAGAGCTGGTGTGCATTCCACAATGCTGACATTCCGCTCGGATAAAGGAAAACATCATCTTTAGAAACGTTTGTCCTCGCATCGATGGGTGACTCAGTATGGACAAAATAGCTAGCTATTCGTTGACGGAGTGCAGCTTTCGCGTCCGCTCCGGTCGTTAATAGAAGTTTCGACGTGTCCAAAGGTTTCGGGGTCAAATCCGTCTCAAAAGTCCTGGAGGCGGACTTCCCACATGCAAGCAAAAATTCCGAACTCAGCACCCTTGGAAATCCAGGGATCCCGAGGATGGATAGGCAGTGCTCAGCATACCGTGACGATACGCCGAGGCCGCAATTTTGCCAGAACTGCCTTGCGACTTTATAAGTGTCGGCATGAAAGAATAAAGAGAAGACTTCGGCAGATTGCGGAGGAACCGATTGTGATACTATGGGGAGACCCGACGCCTCCTTTAAAGTTGAAGGGGGGTCTCCCATTGGATGTATGGCATAATGGACGATTCGAACTTCAGATGGCTTGCCGGCCAACAAAGCTTGGTCGTGAATAAATTCCTTTCCGTGCTCAGCAGTTGTTCGAGTTGGGCACAGAAGGCAAAGTTCCTCGGAAGAACCGAATTTTTCTTGACAAATATCTGCGAGCTGCGCAGATCCCAAATCTCTGGTCAGATAGAGTCGCGACCAAATAGCAACATCAATACCTTCTGAATACTTCGATGGATGAAAAAACGAGGGTAACCTGTCGACATCGCATCGACGATGGCCTCTTGACCAGTGAGATACCCCACATTATCAGACCAGGTTGGTAGCGACACTGTAATGGCATGGAGGACAGCCGGGAGAGGCCATCCCAGCGTATCGCTACCGATAGGGATGGGAGTGCTCATGATAGCGAGGTTGATACACTGGTTCCGGTCAACGAAACCGGCCATCAATACTTGACTGCCTCGAGGAAGACTCGGTGATTCCCCAAATAGGCTCCACTCAAGACCCGAGTAATAATTCTCCAGACGTAAGTTGCCTGCGGGAAGAAAGAAATTTACGTATTATGTAGCGCACATGTGACGATGTTCAATCTTATAAGCACTTGTCATGGCCAGCACTTATGAGGTGCCCTTTGAGAAGTTGCAAGGTGAGCAACGACAGGCAAAAACTTGAGCCCTTAGCGGACCTTCCTCAGTTCGTTACTGTCCTAATAAGGCACTCCTTCCACGTGTTAGCAGATGACTGGCGACCGGTAACCAACACCAATGGGAGCTCACCACATATTACCCGTACCAAGCCAAACACCGCGAACTTCCACAAGTACTGATCTGATGTAGTACCAGGGTTGACTGAGACCAATCAAACCGTCATTTTCTGGCATGACGCGATCACGTGACGAACGCGGACTCAATGAGCTGCAAGATAGGGGGATCGTGGCATCACACCGCACACATTGCCAGTCACCCCAACTAGTATATGAAGTAGTACTCCATTACCTGGTGTTATATCCTTATGACCATCACCACCCATACCTCCTCGGGCCCCCCGTGCGACTCGACGCTTGGCAGATTCTCCTCTGGCTGACTAGACATGGCACACGACACTCTCGTCTCTTGCTCGCTACGCCAAGCGATTCTAGTTCATATCACACTCAAAATGTTTGTCGGTATCCCCTCACGCTACTGACTTCGATGGTCGAGCGCCGAGCGTTAAACATTCGCCTGTCTGCATGAGGGTGGCTGACCTTGGAGCCGCAAAGACCTGCGACGGACGATGGCTACTGTTCACAGTAGCACCTTCAACAATCCCGCTCGGGCATTAAATAGGATGTTCTCCTCGTGTTCATGTCGACCAATCATTGGCCTAGATCGGCGGTAGGCACGACTAGTCGATCTTAAAAAAAACGACGACGGCCCCCGACTGGCCTCAAGTACGACTAGGAATTCCATCGAGACTGACCGAGATCCTTAGCGATCCCCTTCGGTCACCCCCCATGATTAAGGACGGCAACAGGATGAATGACTAACAGATGCTACGAGCTCGGAATCTTTTTGTTCTCTTCCATTTCTGATCCTTATCATTTTTTTTAGCCGAGCATAAAAGCGCATGACTGAAACCAAATTATGCAGGTAGCGAGCGGACGCAGGAAGATATACAAATTGTTGAACTCTCACCTCAATGGTCGGCGAAGCACTCACAACCGCACGTAGCATGCTGTTAAGTGCTGTTTTACACTCCTCGATGCCAAACTCCCTTACCAAATTTGGCAGGGTGGCGGTCGGGGTAGTGCTCCAGCCCCCTGATGAGAGTTCCTGCAGGCTCAAAACCGCTCCCCCTCCCCTCCAGCCCTACTCACCGCGTTTAAATTTCCCAAGGACACGCAACGTTGCAGCCGACCATCGAAGTAAACGAGCCGTAAGTCCACTCCGTGTGGTGCTACCACCACTTCACTTCATATGAGTGTGCGATAGTCGAGCATCTATGGCGGGCGGGCGAGAAAGGAAACATAAGACACGTCACATCTTCCTCATGGTTATCACTATCTCTGGCATGAGATTCCCGCCGTCGTGTTCGAAAAAAAAGCACCTAATCAAAGAAAGGTAGAGTCACTTCTCACCTCGGAATGCACGTGAAGGGAGTGCTAACCTGCGTGAATGAAGCTGGATGAGCGATAAGATACATAACGTAGCATTCACAAGTATTTCTCCACATTCTTCAAGAGAGGGACGATGGCCTGCGAAACGTTCATCTCCCTCCCTCGCAAAAGTCAGCCAATCGAAGATGCGCAGGATGATGAACGGATTGAAGAACAACATTACATAATTGACTGTCGGGTGCAGCGAGCTTGACACTCGATTCTTCTTGCAGATATCAACCAGCTGTGGGTGTTCGTTACGGGAGGACACACCTTCGATGTAATGGTGTAAGGTTGAACCTGAGGTAGATGGGGCGCCCATTCCAGTGATGGCATCGTGGCCCGAACCCGGAGAATACCTGCTGTTGTGAATCACGTATTTTCTTGGCTGGAGTGCATGCGGACGTGGAAAAAGAGGTACGACCAGAACAACTCGAGATGCTTGTTTTCGCCTTTAAACGTATTCATATCCGAGGCCCAAGCTTCAAGGATCGCTGGGACTAGCGCCTGCCACTGTGCCAAGGAACATATGTCGCCAACTTAGCTAGAGACACGGTCCCATGTACGTTTTGTCCTTGCAGCTGTTGGCTGCCCCGTGGCAGTGACCAGTCCGGAAAATAACACCGAGAAGCTTGGTCAAACTCGAAACGAAGTTCCAAGCGGTGTTATAGTAAGCCCACTACGACCTGAGTGGATTCCTGCTTCCGACTTACAGCGGACAGCGAAAATCCCGTTATCATGAAGGAGAAATGGGCTATAGCCAGTGAATATCAAACTACCAACAACTTGCCTGTGGTACTAATATGCTTGATGGAAGGAATCCGATCACTGGTGGTCGGTATGCACACGGAATTCTCACCCTCCGCCGCGACGGCCTGTCATGCAAAGGCAGCTGATTACGTCCTCTTTTGCCGGGAGCTGTCGTGGACCGCAGCGCTGAGGTCAAACAGCCGATCAGCCGACTACTAGTGTGCTTCGACCTGGACTTCGGGGACGCTATCTAAAACCTTGAAAGTATACTTGGCGTAAATCGTCCATAATGACGCGATAGGCTTCTCGCCGCCCACGGCATCCTAAGATAACGATAACATGTTTGGGACGGAACAATTGATAATGAAGAACTCGCGGGGCCCAAGTATGACGCAGTTCCGATGCCTCAGTTGGGTTCGAGTTGCACCTCGGTATATGCCTCCTACGGTCCCAGAGAGTCGATGTCATTGCGTTCGATACGTTCGCACCTTTCCGTGATTGCTAGTATAGTTTTGCAACCAGTGATCATTGGACAAGGTTCAAATCGAACGCGCTTCGTAAGAGTGGCGTATTTGAAAATTGCGACGGTAGGCAAAAGTCCTTGACCGAATTAGAGAGAACTTGACAGCACGACTTGAATCCTCTGGTTCAATGTATGACACATTTATGGTCAAGTGGACTCTCGCATTCTTGGATCCAGTGTACCTAGCAAAACTGACGACACGGTAGGTTGGTTGAAAAGTCGACGGGAGACAGTGGTTCCTTCGCTCCAAGGCTGATTAGTGACACTACTAGTACCTTGCAGTAAACAACGCACCTCTGACGGAAGACTGAATGGCAGTTCGTACCTGAATATGCTTTCCGCTTCGTCAGCAATGACACGTCCGAACAACCTGACCTGAATTTCGACCTGGTGATCCACACGGCTCCCCGAACTCGGAGATACCCTAGAGCATCCAGTAACTCGCTGCACGGCATTGTGCGAGACTGATCATCAATCAAGTCCTTCATGCATGGTAGTGAGACATATCATAACCTCCGACAGCTCTATTGAGGATACGAACGTGAATGGGCTAAGGGTTTTCCAGATTCAGCAGCTGGGCATCTTATCAATATTCTCTCCCACCATTGTTCGGGCTATTGACACCCCTTTTTCTCAAAGATAACGTGTCAGTCGTCAAGAGTAGTTTCTCTGCAAGGTTCGCGACGATCCCGTGGCAATAGAAGAAGGTACGCCCATCGGGAAACCTCATCATCCTCAATATTGCTGCGGCCGTGAGTGGAATATCAGTACCTGACAAATGCGATTCGCTGCATGTCTACAGGGTAAGAGCATATCAGGCAACCGCGAACGCGATAAGATGTTAATCCGAAGCACCGTGTACGTGAAACATAGGCTGAGAGGCTAATATGATCGGTGAAAAGTAAAACGGTGCTACATGCCATACTTTGAGAAGCGAAGACCTTTGAACGCTGCATTGTACAGAACATCATAAGGTGGTAAAACATAGGACGAGTACAGACGCTGACTCATCTATGAAATCTAAAATCGTCAAAAGTACAAGGGCAGCATGACGTACGCGAGGTAAAAAGACAAAACCGGAAGGTGAGGGAAACTTTTCATGAATCAGAACCAACGGTGCCATCTCCGTTGGCCTCCTTGGCCTCATCCTTCTTAGTACTGAGGACGTTGACGAACTCGCTGATTCTTTGAGACAGCTTCTCCAGTAGTGGGCTCACGCGTTCCTTGACTTCGTGACCCACGCGGTTCACCTTCTCCGAGACTGGTAGATCGGGCATGGTGACAATGTCACGAAGATCCTTGACAGACTTGGATATGTCAGGGTACGTCGACTGAATCGTTTGCGGGAGAGCAGCGGTAGTTTGCTGAAGCTTTTGTAGCTCGAACAGCAAACTGTCCGAGAGGGTATGGATATGGGTTTGCGCCTGGCTCAATGACGTCGATGCAAGATCCTGGATCGAGTTTGCAGTTGTCATCGCCTTCTGTCTATCGTGTGCATCAGTTGCGTGGTCTCTAATGTTGGCAGTAAGAGCAACGTACACCAAGATGCTCTGCTGCTGTAGCTGTTTGAGATGCTCAGAGGAGTAGACATACAAGTTATCTTTCAAATGTTTGGATAGGTTTAGAGCGCGCTGGTACTGGTACTGGCATACTGCAGGCGGAGACGTTGGCGACGATGCCACTGAATCCTTGCCGACTTTGTTAACAGCAATTTCGAAATAATCGACGAGAGGTGCGAAGCGCTATAGGGGCTTATCAGACATCGATATACAGGGGTTAATACGTGTGCAGCTTACCTTATCGATTCCTTCCGCGACGCCTAGTGCAGGAGACTTGACGTTCTCGTCGAACCGCTTGTTGGCGGTCGATATGACGCTCTGACGTCTTTCTCGTACATAGGACACCACCTCTTCTGGTTTGGCTTTGAATGGGTAAGGGTACTTCGATTCTACGATATCTAGCCCCTTGTTAGCATAGCCGTCGGCACGGACTATCAAGGGTGCCAAGCGTAGTTGTAGGTGTTGAGAGTAATTGAACGCTGTGTTGGAGATGGCTTGGGCTGCGTGATAAGGAGAACGAGTGAAGACATTGGACAACAGTGCCGAATGTAACTGGTCAAGAGAAGACGCCACGAGGGGGATGGAAGCGACACGGGAAAGGGCGGTGAATTCGGGCAGCTTGGGCTGAGTCTGAGTTTCTGTTGCCATCAGCAAAGAAGGCGGTTAAAAGTTGAAAGTTGTGGTTTGCGGAACGACGGAATGCGCGGTGCCAATGCAGGACAGGCTCATATGTATACCTGGCCCCCTTGCATGTGATTCCGTCATATCTCCTGTCACGCACGAGTGAGTGTCACGTCACATCTGTTCTGTCACAGATCGAGATTCCGGTGGAGCTAATAATATAGGCCGAGAGTGATTGCAGAGATTGGCATATCACAAGGAAAATGGGCCCATATTCGAGTCAGCCCAAATTGTGCGATCGTTGCTGATGAATTGAATACTGGCCAGGAGGGGGTGAACGGATAGGTCCGGTTCATCGGTTGACCCCGACCCTGGTGAAAGAGGAGGTCGACAACATCCGTGCTTCTGAACTGAAGGGGACGTGGCGTCATGCAGGGAAAGCTTGCTGGAGAGAGGTGTTGCGCCATCCTCACCCGTGATCATGTTACTATCATCCAATGACAGGAATTGTGTCCACTATCAGCTGGTAAAGGCTGATATTGCTTGGATGTCGCTCCAACTCCAGGGAGGCGCTGATTTCCATCTTCGGGACTGGGTTACACGTGTTTCAACTTCCACCTCCTCCATTTGAAACCTCAAACGTGCGTAACTCGAACTAGTGGATATGATCTTTCTCGGGGTGAAACAACTTGTCGTCGGAATTTCATCCGAGGGTGCAAAACTGCGTCTTGAGTCTAACTGACGTCATACTGAATACAGCTGCCCACGAATGGAGCCCCCACTTTGGCTTCGACCAAGGTATCGGAGTGGCACCAGGAAGATTCACATGTATCCTCCACCGTCTGCAGGAACGATTGGTGAGTATTGACAAGGAAAAACGGAGCACAGCCAGAGATTATGACACTGGCCGACCCATCTCGAACGTGGCCTGCATGCGGGATATCGCCCGAGATGCGGTGATTAACGCCCTAGTACCAGGCGCTAATGAGTTCATAAAAACGTTGCGATATCGCCTTCGTGCAATAATTGACGAGAAAACCTACCAAATTCCCTGCTTATGGTCACGACCCCGATGTCAATTTGGGGTTTTAGAGGGGGCTCCGGGAACAGTACAAACTTCGCATTCTAGATGCGCCGGACGGGAGGAGGGTCAGTACTTGGTTGGTTGATCTGACCAATCCAAAGACTCGTAGTTGGCCGTAATGAATTCTGAGCGCATAGGCCCTTCAAAAAGGAGATGCAACGGCTTTCTGTGAACAAGGTTCATTTGAGTCACAAGAGCGACAGCATACATAGCAGACCCGCTTGCGCTCGCGCACGATTCATCTAACTTGACGTCGTGGAATGATAAACTCTCCGCAATGCAGAATAAGAATGATTGCATCATATGCTCTTCGGTGGATCGGTTTGTCATGAACGATAACAGAAAAGTTCACTCTACCCGGGGTAGAATTAATCGTCGGTCAATATATCTAATGTGTTCGCAGTTCCACACATACAAGCACATACCGCTATCTCCCGCGCACTTAACGGAACACTGGTGTTATAGCTTCAATGGCTCAAGAATGCATTAGTTTGTTATGAGTGTGAAATGAAACATTACCAAAGTGATCCAAGGCAGAAAGCTAAACCTGATACAACCAACATAACCAAGTTCATCAACCTCCTCCACTACTCCCCTCTATATCCACCACGTCTATGTCCCCGCGACCTAGTTGCATCGCAACCTTCTCGACGAGTCCGACCTTCTCATCGAAGCTTTCTCCGGAACCACCTTCTTCACCATCTTCGATGGCCTCTTCGATGATCGCACCTTCGTCACGCAAAGTAATGTAAGATCGCTCGAAAACCTTGAGGTTCTGACCGGCGTATATCGCTTTTACGATCTGGCCCTCGTGCTTCTCGTGCAGCGAACGCCGGAGAGATCGAACAAGGAAGGAAGATACGGAATGGAGTGGCCAAGATTCTGGAACCAACGAGATAACCTGTGCATCAAGAGGCATTTCGTCAGACCATTGTTCGTTAACATTAGAAAGCGAGATAAATTATTTTGTTAGTGCTCAATGGCCTACCTTACCGATCAGCTCGGAAAGAATATGGCCAGTGGTATCCATTAGGGGCCACAATCATTCAAGGCTATGAACAGGACAATCGCCCTACGACGGAATAGGAAGACATTGACTTACATCCGGGATTTCCAGGTTTTGTGCCTGTGAACTTAACAGTCGCGAGACTTGCTGTATATCCCTGTGTGCCAATTTGATTCACAAAGCTGTCAAAGGATGAAAACGGCATGAAACTCACTCATCCTCAGTGTAGACCTGTACCAGGGTCTTGAGCATTTCCGAGGGTGGCTGCCTCCCCGGATTCGCACTTTTCGTTCGATTCACGGCGGCGCTCCTGTCTTCCACAGTCTTCGAGAACCACTTAGCCCAATCTGCTAGTTCGCACCCCTCAGCTGCGCTTGCACCGATACGCGGGCTGATGACACCGTACACGCCGCCATTGGATGCATAGGCTTCCGCCGTTACGCTATCCCGAAGTGAATGGAGTGTCCGAAGGACTATGGATGGTGGAGACAGCTATGCAGAAGGGAAAAAATGAGACCGTAGACTATGAAAAAAATTCCTGATATTAGCCTAGGTCCATACCTTGGAATGCAGAACGGCCACTTCGAGGCCGAGTACCTTTTCCCAGCCACCCTCCGCTATGCGTTCTTGTACACGTTTTACGAGTGCTTCGCCTTCCGCACCGTTACCAAACGGTGTTGCCTGTAAGGAAAGGAGCGCTTTTACACGTGTGCGTTTCGATAGGGAGTCTGGAGTGGTCGATACGAAATAGGACAGGAAGGGAGGTCGCGGTGGGGGTATATTTGCTGCCCGTGCTAGCGAGTCAGACACTAGGGAAGCAGCCTGAGTGGACGGGAACTTGGACAGTGATGCGGCAGTTGTTGGGGTTGCGGAGGTATATGAAGCGCCTTTTTGTTCCAAAAAGAAACTTAGTGAATGTCCAGGATGTGCTGTAACATGAGAGTGACATACATTTTGCCCTCCATAATTTTGCAATCGCATCGTCTCTCAAGCACTCAAAAAGGTCTTCAACACAGCTTTCTACCAGCTGACCCTGGAGAAGTGAATTCTTCGCAAATCCACTATCATATGAGACACCCAACATAGTTGATAATGATACTTACCTCTCGTCCCTTCCCAACGATTAGCCACTCCAGATACTTTTTCGCAGCTGCTGACCCCGTCTTTCGGAGCTCAGCCAGTACAGCAAGTTCGTCCGTTTTCTCCTGCTCCCTTTCCCAATCTTTGTCCTTTGTGCGACCACTGACAGTTGTCGGACGTTGCACACGTGTAGGCGGCCCGGACATGAGGAGCTAAATAGAAAGCGCATGAGCTAGGAATTGGGGGTGCCCTCTTTTGCTGAACCTACGCTTAACCCCCTGTCGACGTCCCGAGCGGCAAGCCACACGCCCCACTTGCGCATCAGTGATCGCCTCTCCGCTTCACCAATGGTGGGAGCAATGATCACGTCCGCAGTCGAGCGTTCGGGCTGCTGAAGGGAAGACAAGATCGCAATTATCTGACCAAGCGGATCTGAGACCGACGCGTCGTGATACGTCCCTTCAACGAGGCTGAGAGAACACATTTAATCAGAATTTGTGGGGGTGAACAAAACCCTACCTGGCCAATACGCTTATCAGTCTGGCCACGTCACCGACGGCCCGCCATAGTTCTATGAGAGGACTCCAAAGCTTGAGCGTTTCAAGGACCCGGGCGAGTATATGGGGACGGATAGTCATGGTCGGCTGTTGCAACGAATGAGCGGATGGGCGGGCAGGCGGTAAAGGGGGAACGAAAATTTCTGAGGGTGGTAGATGAAGTTGCGAAGAAGTGGGGCGGGAGGGCGGCCTCGAAGGTGGCCTAGGTGATATTGAACGTAAAGCAGGTCGGAACGATGCCAGTAGTGAAGGAACATTTCCCGAATGTGCGTAGTGCAGTGCAAGAGCAGTGGCAGTGATCTACTCATATACGCCAGTCAGACATGCCAATACAACACCGGGATAACATGATCTTGTCAAGTGAGTAACGACAATGCATCCACATACCTCTACGACATCTCTTGTCCAGGATTCCGCCTGTTCAACCAACATTGCGCTCAATGCTGCCTCAATCATTTCTCTTGCTTGGCTCCCCAGCACGTCCCGCATCGCAACAGTTGCGGGGTGTGTGCGGGTGCCACTGACCGAACTCGATGGAACCGAGCTGGTCGACGCGTACGGTGTGTTATCTGCATCATCGGTTTCTGAAAGCATCTGTGGGCGCAGATAAGGGGAATAATTCCTGACTAAGTTAGTCGCGACTGTATGTCAGCGCCCATTTCCATAGATTAGTTTTCGTGTGGTAGGACAGAAAAAGTAGAGGGTAAATACGTAAACGCGCCGCTGGCGCGTCGAGAGGAATTAGAGGCGAGGCCGTAGGGGTTACATATCACAAAATGAAACGTTTACTCACTTACGTCGTCAACACTCGTTTCACTGGGCATGTATTTTTGCACGCCAGCATATACCTCTACTTCCACAAATCCACACTTCGTGTTTCCAGCATTATTCTGGTTGAGCTCTGATGAGGGCGCCTCATCGCATAGCGCAGGACGCAACTCCTCGAAGTATGAGATCAGTACCCGGGGATCAGTGGCCCCTTTCACGAAATGCTGTGTGGCATCCTGGAACCTTGTTTGGCCAAAGAGTTTGAATGCGGTGCATTGGTGAAGATATTGGAAAACCTCAGACTGAGCACCCTATTTCACGTATTGCAGTCAAACTGACAGAAACTAGTCCGGGGAAAAATGCGACTCGGAATACCTGAGTTTCAGCCTTGCCTAGCAGCACCTGAGCGTCTGAGATCTTCCCGTTCTCCAGTAAAGATTCGACTTGTGCGGTAAGTGTCGATGGGAGGAGAGCATGAATTGAAGATTGGCCGAAAAGAAGGACCGAAGACCGCAAGTATAGTGGGTTGCGCATTGGAGCCGTGGCCATCCCAAGGATACGAAACCTTGTCGCGCAAGCCCGCCCCTCCGTCACCGAAGGTTGCACAGATATTAAGCTGCGCGACGGACGTGGAGGCAATATATTTCCAGGAAGACAAATGAAAAGTAAACAGGTATGTCCATATATAGACGTAACTCGCAAAATATATTTAAATAAAATAAAACTAATTACTGGCGTACGCTGCCTGCTGTTGTGTCTGGCCGCATGGCATCGACAGCTATGGACAGCAACGAAGAGGTCACCTGGGAATTACTCAGAGAACGCAGCCTGCGACCTGGAGGTTTTGGCGTAGACAGGGTTAGGATATGGTGCGTGTTGTGTGTCTGCACTCGGCTAAAGCCAAGGGATATGGAAGTTGCGAGTACTGAGAAACGACGTGTAGGCCCGCTCTGCTTGGCGTACAGCCTCTCTCTGACCCTCCCCCGTATTCCGAGGTAGAAAGGACTCCGAAGCCTTCGAGTGCATCATCGGGCCATTCCGGCTATGGTTATGAGAACGCAGACCCCCACCCGGACGAACGCCAGATCAAATTAGATACCGACCGTAGCTTCGTTCTTTACCCCATAGGTCCAGGAAACCGTCCTCTTGCGCCTTTGGTTGCTTACCGAAGTATTTAGAACCTGGTTCGCCGTCTCGCGAAGCTCTCCAACACAATCTCAATACCCTCTTGGTCTCCTTGTTTCGGAAACGCCGTTCGCTGCATTACTTCCAAGGGTTTCATGATATAGTTTCCGTTATTTTCCTTACTCTGCCCAGGCCACTCCACATGCCTTGTGTGGAGAAGATGGCGTTGCACAGAGTGAGGGATGCAATGGGCATTGGACTAGAGCCCGTGGTCGGATTGTTGAGGTGAGCGGTGAGCCTTGATATGTATGCTTATAGCTGATTTCGACTAGGATTTTACGGAATCTGCTTCGACTTGTGGACCCAGCGTATGCCGAGCTCTTGGAAAAGTACGTCATTTTGTGTCTTACCGTTGTGGTTTTCTAAATCGCGCCGCTGTCATATACTGACGCAGTACATCTCCTCTACCATACCACGCGCTTTCAAATCTACTCACTCTATTTTCTCATGATGTTCCGACTCTTCCTCTGATACAACACGTGTGGGACTTCTTACTCGTCCGTGAACCTGTGGCTGTGGTGTGGTTAGCTGCCGCTGTGAGTCTCAATACACTACTTTGTAATGCCAACATATACTCCCTTGTTCCTTGTTCAATCAATCTAGTGATTTCTAGAGTGCTAATAGGACATGGCATTGTTTTTCCCTAGGTCATCCTCTATCGAAAGCCATCCATCCAATTACTTGTCGATCAGGATGAGGAAGGGATGATACATTCGCTACTCTGTGCACTGCCAGGACTGGCTGACGGCGAGCCAAGACTTCCGCTGGACGGACCTGTTCATGAAAGAACGGAGATCTTGGATGATGATGTCAAAGGACTTTTCGATGACCAAGGATCTAGTGATGACCCGTCTGCGGTACCTGTGCTGAGTGACAAGATGCATCAGGAGCTTAACGAGCAAACGGACGCGGCGGAGTTATGTACCAGAGGAGGTCCCTCACACCCAGTCGTTTCGAATGTGTACATGTTCGACGACGCCCGGGGCCTCCCAAAAGCAGAGGATGATGTCCCTGGGTCTGAACACGTACTGGGAGACGCCCTGAACGGTGCCCATATACCCTCGGACGTGGATGCGGCTTTCGGCTCGGGTAAAATTGACATTGCAACTACCGGTTCCTCCCCCCTGGATCTTGAACTCGGGGTCGTTATCAACGAGACGGATAGTGCTTGCTGCCGACCTAGAACACCCCATGGGAAGAGCGGGGGGGATATTATTGCTCTCGCATCTTCTTCGGGTGTTGTCTCGCCGGTGTTACGTTCTCCATGTGGTTTCACTCCCAGCCCTGCAGCGGATACACCATCGGACACTGTTGCGGTAGGTGCTTCGGGAACTAGACCAGGGTCGACGGTCCCATATCCTCATCGGCCGACTCGCTCTTCAACACCTTCCCCCCTCGTCGTATCGTCCACATTCCCGTCACATGACCCAGAACAATTAACTACGCTACCTTCTGAAAGGACGCAACCCTTCACTTCCTCTCACCAAGCGAAGCCGTCTCGTCAGAGAAAACCTGCCCCTCTTCCTCTGCATCAGCTCCTTCACGAAGCTGACATACTTCTCACCGCCTATCCCCCATCTCTCCCTAACCTCGCCGTATACGAGATAATGGGAAGAGATAGTGTAGTGCGAACGTGGCACGCACCAACGATTACGATGCCGCGGGACAGGCCGGAGGACAAGTGGGAGTCCGATGACTACTTGGAGACTCTTCTTAACTCCCAGGACATAGTCGTTCCTTCACCGCCCCCTTCACCCATTCTTCGACCGCGCACCCCTAACAAGAAAAAAGATTCCGCGATTCGGAGGTACAAGGCCAGATATGGCTTGACTCTGCGCAGGGTTGGGCTTCCACTAGGCTCCCTCACCCCATATGAACGGCATCTCCTGTTGGCGGGGGCTCTGCTTGTTGTCGGGATCGCAATTGCTGTCAAATCTAACAGGGTGCCCAAAGTCGATGGGCTGAAAGCCCTTTGGCAGCGCCAGTGGATGCTTGTTTCGCCGATATGGACGATCTGGAACAGAGCGCCATGTCAAGCTGGGGATAGCCGCTAGGATTTCATTTCGCAAGCACCATTACTACCGATTCAAGGAATTCTACTTATTGCATACACATTTCGTACTCGCCGGCCTTCATACCCGCTCAGGCTCGTAAGTGGCTTCTGCGACCCTAAACGATGGATGCTTTATCGTGAGTAGTCGCTGCAACGCTCGAAGAATACAGTCATTCTAGTGGGATCACGGAATCATGATCGGTGTGAAAACATGATCAGGTCATCCCCACCTCCCACGCGGTCACGCGGGTTTGAACCAAGCATTTCGGCACTCGAGCGAAGAAATTAAGATTCGTGAGTATGCACTTTCTTTTCCTTGAGTCTCGAATTCCAGCATGGCAGTTCTTTGGTTATGTAACTCGAGTCTTCCGTGGAGAATAGTCGGACCTTCTCTCAGTTTATGATTAGACCTTCCTAATCGAGGTGTCCAGGAAGGTGCTTGTGTCAAGCGCAACCTTCGCTTCCCCCTTTCACGTATTTGCGCATCTTGTTTAAAATGGATATCGTCTATCCTCGTGTGTATCTCCTTGACTTCCCTCTCTTTCCCTATCCTCACGGACCATTGTCTACGTTTACGTCTAGAATGGCCGGCTTGGAACCGGAATGCGAGATTCCTGTTGCTTTAGCAGAGGTCGAACGTCATGAGAAAATTGCCTGCGACTATGCATTGCAAAAGAAGCATACGATATCAGATGCAACTGTCGAAAAGGTTGATCCCCTTCACGAGGGTTTGGAATTTCCAACCGAGGAAGAGCTCGTCACCCTTCGCAGAATGCCAGATGCCATACCGTGGACTGCTTATAGTTGGTTTCTACTCTTGCGCACGTACCGGCGTCCCCTGACCTAGTTTGGCAGTGATCGCCGTCGTGGGACTGGCTGAACGATTTTCTGTGAGTATTTGTGTTTTGTGACATTTGAAGTCGAGCCCGCTGAGGTATTTTGCGTCATGCGTAGTACTATGGTGTGTGTTCTTTGACTTTTCATATCAGCTCTTCAACTTCCTTTCCCGTGACAGGTGCAAGTGCGGTCTTCGTAAGTCTTGCTTCGTTCTTGCCGAATGTTTGGCAGTGCCTCACCGAGTGTGGCAGGTAAATTTCATTCAACAACCACTCCCACCCCATTCAACCACCGGCGCAGACGGGTTGCATGGCCAATCCGGTGCTCTTGGAAGGGGTCAACAAATGTCCGCAGGCCTCACGACATTTTATCAGTTCTGGTGTGTAATGCCCAGTGGGTGCTCACCTCACGACCAGATATCTCACGTCTACACAGGTCGTTCGTAACGCCTATTGCAGGTGCCTACGTTGCGGACACGTATTGGGGTCGTTACAAAACCGTTTGTGTGTGCGTCGCAATTTCCATGTTCGGTCAAGTTATCATGATTATCTCGGCCGTACCTGGTATCATTGGAGGCAATGCCTCTCTCGGTCTTTTTATTCTTTCTTTGATCGTCACTGGCATGGGGGCCGGCGGGTTCAAGTCCAATATCTCCCCTCTGGTAGCGGAACAGTACCGCCGGACAAAGATGTTTATCTCGGTAACGAAGACAGGGGAACGCGTGATTATGGACCCCAGCTTGACAACGTCTAGAATTTACATGGTCAGATGTGATGCCCTTCGGTCCCTATGATTTAGAGCTCATGTTACACCAGTATTTTTACTTCTTCATTAACATCGGCGCGCTCGTGGGTCAGGTAGGTGTGGTATACGTGGAAAAGGTTCGAGTTAAATGGTGTTCCTACCTTTGTTTGATTGTTCAGTCTTTCCGTCCAGTTCATCGGGTACTGGCTGGCCTATACTCTTCCGACCGTTGTTTTCCTTCTTTCCCCCTTGGTCTTGTGGTATGGACATGGCAAGTATCACACTTCACCGCCGACGGGTTCAGTGCTCGCCACTGCGATCCGTGTCTGGCGTTTTGCTATGCGCGGAAGATGGTGCTGGAATCCTATCAAGACCATTCGGAACCTCACCGCCGACGACTTCTGGGAGAGTGCCAAGCCAAGCAAGGTGGTCGGTGAAAAACCGGCGTGGATGAAGTTTGATGATAACTGGGTAGAAGAGGTTCGGCGCGGATTTAAAGCTTGTTCTGCGTTCTTGTGGTTCCCGGTTTATTGTGAGTTGCTACTTGTGATGCATGGTGGGCGATGATGCGGAACGGAACTTGCAGGGTTGTCGTACAATCAATTGAACAACAATTTAACGTCGCAAGCTGCCACCATGAGCACACACGGTCTACCCAACGACGTTCTTCCTGATCTGGATCCTTTGGCTCTCATCATCTTCATCCCGCTGTGCGACTTGGTTGTGAGTACCTTACCTCCTTCCCTCATTATTTATAGTTTACGACGGCCCTGCTAGCTCTACCCAGCTCTCGTCCGATGGAGGATCAACTTCAGACCCCTGCAAAGAATCGCTCTTGGGTTCTATACCGGTGCTGCAGCGATGGCATGGGCGGCCGTCGTCCAGCACTACATTTACAAGGTAATTTTCCATGTTCCTATGTGAAACCATCTGACGGATACCTGATCATCAGACAAATCCATGTGGATACTATGCCGGTACCTGTGTCGACAACAACGGGAATCCATTGGTGTCCACCTTGAACGTGTGGATTCAGAGCGGATCGTGAGTACCTGAGTCTTCACTTCGTTTCTCTTCTCTGACAACAACTCATCCGTGCGTGGCTTCAGATATGTTTTGATTGCATTTAGTGAGATCTTTGCCACGATCACGAGTATGGAGTATGCATTCACTAAGGCACCGAGGAACATGCGGTCACTTGTCATGTCTATGCTCCTCTTTACGAATGCTATCGCATCTGCCGTAGGCGAAGCCTTTGTTTGTGAGTACCTTGTCGCGCGTTGCTACGTGGGTGTATGCTGACCACTGGCGGTAGCCCTCTCGACTGACCCGCTGCTCGTTTGGAACTACGGTTCCATCGCTGTTATATGTGGCATTTCTGGCATTATTTTCTGGATCCTCATGAGGAAGTTGAATTCTGAGGAAGACGAATTGAACAATATGGCCGAAGGACGGTTTGATTGATGATCTGGACGTCGAGTGTTTACTTTTTGGGGGTTTTGGGCGATGCATTGTGTATTATTCATGATGGTGTTTGCAAATTGAACATTGGTCGACCGTCGATGCGGTCAGTCCTGGCGTGACAAAAAATTGTATGGAGGCGACAGATCCAAACGATGGCGACTACCAACCACCACAAAATTCTGCCACAACCACAGGGATGGGCATTGGTTCCAAAACACGTGTCATCGTTGTAATTGTGGAGGGATCAGATATGTATTGGAGCCGCTGGCGGATGACTCAATGACCGCTCCCAAGCACCGTACAATGTACGATGACTAGGCTACTCCACGATAACATGAGCATCCGCATTGCTGCTCCCCCACATACCCACAACAAGCTAAGCAATCGTCTCATGTCCTATCCTTGAGCTTGAGCTTAGGTGAATGCTTACATAGACTCAGAGGACTACGCGGAAGTCAACACCTTCGGGTGTTAGATTCCAGATCAAGCGCGAGCTCAGTGTTGTCTATATTTGCTCGGGGAAAAGATGTTGAATGTCTTTTCCCCAAGCAGTATTCACCACAGCAAATGCTTTGGAGTACGACAAAACCACACATGGGCTCGACCTAGATATCACAAGCAAAAGATGGAATGCGTCTTTCAGCGCATCTGTCAACTTCACTTGATCACGGGTCTGAGTTGTAGCAGCGGAGAGATCTTTACCTTAAATTCTGTGTATTAGACATCATTATCACCCTCAATATTTTCTAGAGACCTAGTGCTGCCTACGTGGGCAACGGGGCTGAGTCAATCTGCACTTACGATGAATACTATCATCGAACACGACCTCTACTTACTCTCTGTACGTTCTCTTCTCACTTTTGTAAATCGATTTCGACGACTGGCCGACGCCAAACGCGATACTTCTGGTAACAGGCGTGCAAGCCCTCCCCCCCTTTTTTCTCCTTGTAATGCAATGCCCGTATGTGTAGCACCTCACACCGATTCTATCAAGTAACCAGTACTGCTACACGGTGGTCGAGCGCTGAAACTTGGAGCGCTGAGGGTTGGACACCGTGTGAAACTCCAATAAAGCGCTCTAGTAACTTTGAATTTTTGGCTTACAAATGTACTCCCGTCTTCTCAGACCCCGTGTTCCGACACTTACCAGGTGTGTACTTTATATTTAAAGTCTACGCCCATACAACTAACCCATCTTAGACAATCTTCAGGTAACCCGTACCTATCGATCAGGTCTGGACTGCAGTTAGGTGTCATTTTGCACCCGAACAAGTTGTCGGATCGGCGATCCCAGGAAAATGGACAAAAATGCCTTGCTTCTTCTGCCTATGGGGTTCGCAGTTGGGGCCGCATCAACACCGATGGGTGGGTACCGTGATAGATTGTATCTTCAAATAGATCACGGCCAGTTTATATTTATAGAATTTTGAAACCTGAGGTCGTGTCCTACCCTAACCGATCGCGGGATTTGCCCGGCTGTAAACTTGCACTTGACTTGCACTAATGAAACATGCCACGTCACCGACACAACGAGTCTATGGTAGGAACGAATGGACTGGGGGACTGACTGGATGTTTACAATATGCGAGGTGGTTGGAAGCTTTCTTTGCCACCATCATGTCCCAAAGCAAACGGGCACATAGTGTATACGGAAAGCGGCAATCAGAGATTACTACCCTCTGTAGTTGGCAACTGCCAACTCCCATGGCTCATGGCTTCCTGCACAAATGGTGCCAATCGCACATCAACGTCTGCAGGAATGAAGCCCCTCTTCGGCTTCATTCCTCGGAAGGTGACAGGCGATCAAGTCCGCGAAGCTCTGGTATGAGAGATGAACAGGCTAGCCTTTTCAACCGGTGCGCTGACGACACTATCTTTGTAGGTCAATTCGTACACATCTCTCAGCACAAGATACTTAAGGCAAGGAAAAGACTACCCGTATACTCGCAGATGGACCAGTTCCTCAGATGGTGAGTGCTGAGTCTTAGCTCCCATGACAGCACCAAAAGTCTGGTCTCCGATAATTCCCTTCCCGGTGCTAACCACAAGAATCACTCTTCTCGTAAAGTTCAGCACAAACCAGATTGCTGTCATCGTCGGCGAGACTGGATCTGGCAAGACAACACAGTGAGTGGCACTCCAAGAACCATTTTTTGTCTTGTCATTTTGAACAGCGATCTATCGAATGGACTCTTTTTACCGATAGAATACCGTAATTTCTCACTTATTCAGAATTGCCTCCTGCAAAGGGCAGAATCATCGCCTGCACACATCTACGACGTGTCGCCGTGACGTCTGTCTCCAAACGAGTTGCGGAAGAAATGGATGGTGAGTTAGGTAATGCCCGGGGTGTTTTAGACGTGCTTAATGGCGCTTGGCAGAGGGGTCGGTTACTCAATACGTTTTGAGGACATGACAGAACCGGGAAAGACGTTTCTCGAGCACATGACCAATGGTATACTCATCCGGGAGGCCATGAATGACTCCGACCTGCAACGGTATTCCACGATCATCCTGCTATGTCGTCATATAATCGCGGCTTATCGATACATACATCGTTCCTTTTGTCACCATAAGACCAGAAGCGCGGGCGGATCGTGACACAGAGTCGCCGGCGATTATAAGTCCCCGGATTTAACTCCCAAAGGTGAGGCTGTGGTGTCAATTGGATGAGTACATACGCATTATACCGCAACTAAAATGTTCCCGTGAATGGACGCAGGCGCTATACATAAAATCAGCCAACTCCGTGGATATGTACATTATAAGTAACTCCCGATCTGGGCGGGGGCTAATCGGCTGTCGGATGAGCGGTCTGCAAGGTTAGTACATCATATTTCCATTCAACAAAATACGTGTTTCGTGTCGAACAGCACGTTTGTAAATGGTGACCATCAACTTCTTCATGGAGAGAATTTCCGGAGTCCATCTGCATTGCCAAGAACCATATGGCACAGTCTAACGGTTATCGAGTTATTCCAGGGACTACAGAAGGGGGATCTAGTGTTTCAATGACGCAGCTAGTACAATATGACTGCTAAGCCTACGCACTCACGCCGAGTCTTGGCATCGCAAGAAGGTGACGTTAAACGACTTATCTGCCTTGTAATAATACTGTCTGACAGCCCACGTGGTTTTGCTGTGTGAGCGTTTAGGGCACAAGGTGATACTCACGTAGCCGATTATAACGGTCTTGGGATCCGCAATAATCTTCGGCCGATCGCACTGGCGTCCTCGTTTCGGATAGGGTTCTACAGAAAACGGGCCCCGTCCTAATATGGTCTGATGGAAAGATGGTCCTATTGAAAGGTGTTTGAATTATCAAGTTACTGTTGACGCCGGGACGCCAACTTTTTTCTTTCCCACGCTGTGCAACAAGAGAACACCGCAATCCTCAGGAGTTACTGATGGCAGGAAACTCAACACAATCTTGTCTTTCTGTCTAGCACCTGACACCTGTACGGGACAGAATTTCTGACTGATGGGATACTCACCTTGTCCTGTGCATCGGACCACCCACTACACGGGCGATCTGACTGCTCATCAATTCTTTAGCCTAGAGTGTCTAGAGGTATTCCACCCCCAATTTCCTGGCCGCCAGCAACAAGGGCTTCATCCTGGTCTGAATATCAAACAAAGTGATTATAGTGCCTGGGTACGATACTATAAAGCCAGGGTTGAAGTGTTGTACGGAACCTTTTGTTTTGTCAGGCACCTGCACTCTGATGATGTTACACAGGGGGAACGTGGATTCCATCACTGCTGAAGCATCGTGGAAACCGTAAATCGATGCCGGTCGTGCCCACCACGTGCAAATTTGCAATTCAAAAGCTATAGAGCTAGCTCTGCAAATTGTCAAGTATTATTACCGAACACTTATGATCGTTCCTTGGATCTATCGTCATTGCACTGGCCGTATCTCCACGTGAACGACTCTTCATGACCTACCCAAATACAAAGCGGACAAAAGCTAAGGTACAAGGGTCGGTAGCATCGTCCGGCTCCCTGAACACAGCAAGTACGGGACCCGATGTTAGTTTTGCGTTCTATGGGATGAGTATATGCCCCCTGCCGTGAGGCTTGTCTTGTTCAGTATTCTTGTTACTGCCTGAGTCGCACACAGCCCTATACTAGTTAACAAATTCTTACTAGTTAGCCTAATTCGGTAATCATACCATAGATTTGTGATTTCTCACGGTACTTGTAGGAGTCCGTACGAAGTTCGAACGTGGAGCAAACTGATTATTAGTCCCACTACCGGCAACTCTAGCCTTATACGCCACAAATGCAATGTCGGTGTCAGGAGAGTAAGTATGTTGGTCAGCAGCCTAACATGCAGAACGCTAAATCACGGCCCAACATCTTCACGTGCGAAGCACAAACTTATCTCTCTGCGGCTTCAATATTACTTCGCATCATACAATCTCGAGCGCACTGTAGCTCGCTCTTTTTGCCAGTGGGTCGAACTAGGAAACCCCTTTGCCTGAAAACTCTCCCTTCGAACTTCACTCGAGTGGGATTCTTCAAGAACGGATTTTTTCCGTGAAATGAGGCTGTTTCAACCTTCTTTCAGATCCGTAATGCCACGACACACGTTGATTTCCCCGTGGTGAAATGTCACCGTCTGGCGTCAGTCTCAGGCGCTCCAGCCAAGTAGCCAACCCTGAATGAAGTGACTGCCAAGTTCTCCCAAGGGCACAGTTTCTCCGTTCGCACTCACCGTATAAGATAAGATGGCAGGACGTATTGGTCGAATCAGCATCCACACCTCACATCAAGTCTCTGGTCTTTTGTATTCAAGTCTAAGATGTCTTTCGCTTCCCCTCCCGGCGCTGGTCCCCCTGAAGACTGGGACCAGGGAAACCATGGAAGGCAGCCCAAGGCCAACTTGCAACGAGAGTACCGCAAAAGAGAAGGAGAGGTCTTCAACGAACTCCGCGATATTATTAGGGAGCTGAACAACCAGGAGCCTGCAACGCGACACGACATTTTGTCCGAAGGTGAGCTCCATACGTGTTGCTGAAGAATGGCGCTGACTTATGTCTGCAGCGAGCCGATTGATGAGGCAACTCGCGACTGAAAACATGAATTTAAAACAACAGTTGTCCGGGATACCGCCCGCACGAGGAAACGGGGGAAATAATGTGGGACTCCTTGGGCCTCTATCCGCTCATGCCGGTATGTAATCTATTGAGAGTCGGAGGGGGTTATTTTCTGAAGTCTAGGTAGAATCTGCCTATGGACGGCAAGGGGGGCCTTGGGTAGCCAGTCACGGATTCCTCCATAATAACAATACCCAGGCTCCTGGCACGTCTTCTCAGATTCATGCACCGAATCTGATGATACCCCCCGGCACTATGCCCGAGATCGACCAGTTGATGCGTGTTGTCGATGAAGACATCCGTGCCAACAACATCCACCTCTACCCTCCGTACTACAGGAAATAAACAGAGGCCAGGAGTGTCGGACCGCAATAATCCGAGGATGCATGCCACTATCATTATTGGAGTCATGCGAAGTAGCGGAAGACCCCAGGAGAACGTCCGGCCATATTTATGTCAAACATTATGTCTTAACCTATTGTTTTTTTTTGCCTTCCATGCTTTTTTTCTTTTACTATCGCTTATGGCGTCGGATGTTATCGTACCAACGACGCTTTATTTAATCTTCTTGCTTTTCGTTCCCTGCTCCCCCTTTCGGCGGTTACTTGATATAGCCTCCTTGAGCACTATTTAATATTCTTTAGTCACCCCCGAATGTGAATTGTGGCGCTAGATAAGATCTTGGTTTCTGAACAGTAAATAGCGAATCACTTGTAGCGGTAGATTGACAACAGCTCTGTTTCTAGATAGTATTTATGTTTCCACAGATCTATTTGCGTGTATGCTACCAGGGGAGTTTCTTCGGTACCTTACTCCTACGGCCTACCACTGGCCATTCAATCTGATGGGCGAATTTAGCCGCGACTCCAACATCACTTGCGAATCTGAAGTCGTCGTGTCAGCACAAGCGCGATCTGCGTTGCATACTAAGGTGGGTACTTACGCCCATACCGAACCGGGGTTCTTTTGGAACTGTCGTCCAACGGAGACGACATCCGCCTGACCTTTCTCTAGCACTTCCTGGGCGATATGTCCATTTATAATTGATCCCACAGCGCCGACCACAATCCGGTCACCAACTGCCTTCTTGACAGCCTCCGCGAAGGGCGCCTGATAAGCAACAGTCTTATGCACCACTACCGCCTTTGGACTATTTCCACCAGTAGAGATGTCAAGGAAATCAACGCCGTGGTCAGCAAGGATACCAGCAAACTTGACGGTATCTTCCGATCTCCAAGAAGGTTCATTAGGTAGGGATTCTTCCAACCACTCAGTCGCCGATATTCTAAAATGACATGAGTGACAGCGAGACAGATATGTGTGCTCGTCTTACCTGAAAAATAGAGGCATATCGTCTGGAATGACGTTTCTAACAGCGTCAACGACTTCCAGAGGGAATCGTATGCGATTCTCGAAGCTGCCTCCATATTCATCCGTGCGTTTGTTGGTGTATGGGCTCATGAAAGATGTCAGTAGATACCCATGGGCCCCATGTACCTCTATCACGTCAACTCCTACTTTGAGCGCACGTCTCGTCGCTTCCGCAAAAGCAACGACGACCTTCTTTATTTCTTCTTTGGTCATCTCTTTTGGAGATGGATAATTTTCGTCATAAGGGATAGCAGAAGGGCCCCAGACTTTGTCGGGCCATCCCCCCACTTCTTCCGTTGCCACCAAATCATCATGTATCCAAGGAGCAACGGTGGACGCTTTGCGACCAGCGTGCGCGAGCTGAATGCCAATCTTCTGGTTTTGTGAATGTGCGAACTCAACGATAGGACGAAGGGACTCGGCCTGGCTATCCTTCCACAATCCAGCGTCCTCTGGAGTAATCCGACCTTCCGGTACTACAGCGGTAGCTTCAACCATGGCAAGACCCGGTCCACGAGATATGATTCCGCCGACTGTGCATTATGTAAAAAATCAAAATGTCTGAACTTCTTATTTGTCACTGAGACTTACGATGTGCCATATGCCATGATGTGAAATGGCCATCATCAGATGAGTACTGGCAAAGGGGCGAGAGCTGTACGGAAGATCAGTTTTATTGCCTGAATGAGAACCTTCGATCGTGTAAAACAGCGCAACTCACGAAAATGCGATTGTGGAAAGTCGTTCCGCGAATCTTTATAGGCTGGAACAACTTTGGGATTGGTTTCCCATCAGGCTGGGGGTCGTACGCAGTACCCGCAGCAGGTACTTGGGCAGGTGTAAAATAAGAAATAGCTGGAGCGGGCTTGTTTGCGATAGTCATAGATGAGCAGGGGATTGAGCGAACCGTGCGATATAATGATCGCAATGTCATCTAAGTAGTCTTTATAAGAGTCATTTCCACAGCATACTGAATCAGATGATTGCTCATCACATCAGACACGCGGTGAGCGAGGGAAACGTGAAATATGATGGTGTGAAGGATGCACACATCATTGATGCAACTGCCATGATCTTTTGTGTGAGCTTACCAGTAACAGCCCGTAACAGTCAGCAAGCTTGGTGATGCGTAGGAGATAGATTACATAACAATTGCTTGAATGCTTCTAACTGAGCAACCACAGTACTTAGCTAGTCGGCGTGTTCTATCCGCTTCCACTTCCTTCCCCCAAGTCTATTCGAGGGGTGAGGTTTTCCATGCTATTACTGTTCGGTAGTCCTTAGTTAGAGTAAAACCCCAAAACATCGTGCTCCAGAGAGGGCAGGCTGATGAAATTTGTTGAGTCATTACACATAATTTAGTTCATTAGAGTTTTACTCTAAGTACTTTCAAACGGTAGTATGATGGCCTCGCAACAACCGCCGGGAAGGAGCGCGCTAAAAGGCCTACATGACACGTCACTAGTATTTTCCCGTGTTCTGCTAATTGGTCACTACCCTTGAGTATATATCCATCGAACGGACAAAGAACAAGCAGCATGCGGAAAGGGATGTCTTCTGTGTCTATCTACAAGGTCAGAAGCGATAACAGTCAAAATTAGTACCCGTTTTCACCACACATAACGAACGCGGATCGGTTTGACATTTCGATGGAGAGGATCATGTATCTTCTCCAACCCTCGCCAAAGTACTTCTTACCAGCGTTTGGAACGGAATGCGTGAAAAACTCCACGGAAGGACACATTCCGATGGTCCCTACACAAAGGTCGACACCACAAGGTTTGGAAACGATGCTCACGCTGTCAGGGAACCACTGGATGTGCGCGATGCCCAACTCAACGACGTGCGGCAGTGCAATGACATTACCACTGCATTCGAGAAAACACTGTCGCCCACACGCTCGAAAAGGCACCCCACCAAAAGTGCTATTGGTCAGGGATTTGGGTTGACTATGATCCGTTTTGTTTGGTGACGTACTAGATGTCCATCAAATGCGTGCGATAAGCACCCACAAGTTTCTATGTCTGGACGGGGAACCTTGACGTTCGCCAGCGGTGTGCTGAGAACGGGTTGGGCGCGGAATCTGACCCGTTCGGAATCACTGACACGGAGTGAGCTAAAACGCCAAGGGAACAGATGACTAAAAGAAAAAGAACATGGCAACAAATGCAAAAATTTACCACGTTTCCCGCTCGCCTTAATCAGGAGTTTTGAGGGGGCGCGGAGTTATCCAATGACAAGGTTCTGGCAGTGATACCACTCAGGAACTGTCATCCTAATAACCTATGTTCAGCGGGGACGTGAATTACAGTTCAACGTCGCTACTAGCACGCAGATGCTGTGTTTTTTGGCAGGTCACATACCTAAGGGGTGGTGGTGTGTGAGAGTCCCTTAACGTGCGCGAGAAAGAAGGTCGATAACGCAGGCCTCGTAATAGATCATTTCTCGATATAAACAATCACATACCGATGACCGCTACACACGGAAAATACGCAAGTACATGACCACCGCTGTCCAAAGATTTCCCCGAAAAACCGAATTTGGCAGATGGTGTCATACACTTGGAGTTAGAACTCTGGATGTACACGAACACGTGTCTGGGCGTGCAGGCGAAACAACTCGTGCCGAATGCGATGTCTACACAGAAGGAAACACACCCGTGAAAGGTGGGGCGGCAGAAAAATACACCTGCGAAAAAATGGGGCCGAAGCAACGAGCTGCCGTAAGTATTGGGAAGCATTGAAAGGAAGTGATGTCCCCTGAAGCTTCCACAACCGTCATCAGTTAAAACACAAGGAATAACTCAGCGTGTATGCGGAACATAATAAATTTGTTGAAGAGGCACGTTGCGATTACCCATTGCTCGACAGGATATATGATGCCATCTTGATAGATGCTTTAGAACCAAGGAGGGAAGGAACAACAAGCAATTGTGGTACACCGGGAATCCGCGTTCTGCTAAGCTGCTTGAGGGAGTTGGCTACTATCAACGTATACCAACCCTGGCCACCAGCTGCGAATCGGGCTATTCGCGGAGGAGAACGGAAACGCACCTCATCTGAGAGGTGATGATCCTGTCGAAGTATCCCATCGTGGATGGTTCCTTGGACGATATTATTCGATTAGAGAATCCTGATATACATATATCTGGGTTCCCATCTCCATTGGGGAGGAACCGGGAAGATGCGTAACATGATTGATAGCGGAGCGTATGAATAAGTACAGGCACAGCACGCCTCGCTGCTTTACTCCCACTGTATGGTCCGTGCGCAATAAGATGGTGAACGAAAAGCAAGGTTCCCGAAGCTGTTTCTGGCGGTAGTTTTCTGAAAACGGGTGCGGCAGCGTTTGAGCGGAGCTGGAGGATGTTTGAGGCGGAGACTTGATGAAGTCTACTAAACATGGGGCATGTATTGTCAATACTTTTGTAGATGACAGCCTTCCAACCACGTTCCAATGCGAGTCCAACGCTGGAGACATCATGTTGTGCACCGTCGTCGACGCCGACGGGTCGATAGATATAGGCGCCCGCACGGTGAACAGCCGCATCCCAAAAACGTCGCAATACAATTTCTGAGTTTGCACGTGTACCCCGTACTCTCTTTTACCCTTGCCACTTGCCCGTCTCAGTCTCATCACTTGTTCCGTGCTCACTTGAAACGACACAAGGCCCAGTTTCTTGCCGATAGCAATAAATTAAAGCCAGTAATTGAAGAGACAGCCGAAACTTGTCACTTCTGAGCGGCGACGGATCGGAAAGCTAGCATTTGAAGCGGAGTGAGTTCATTGCCTCTCTTCTAGCCCGTCCTGCCTAGTACCATTCCTTTTCCTGTCCTCATAAAGGGACGTCTACATCGTTAGATGGAGTGCCCAACCATGCCCTTACAGTTGGCTGACTTGTTTACTTCGTGTCTCCAGCACAGTTGCCCGCGCTTGTTGCTTACGCAAACTCACCCGTAACTGGGGGCAGGCCGGTCTTTAGATTTGTAGCCTGGTAATGGTAAACGACCAGGTTAAAACTACGGGACCAGTTGCCCAAGAACACCCCTACCCTCCAACCATGGCGCCGTACCCTCAGGGCTTCGGTGCTACTTATCCCGGCTATCCCATATACTTTGCTCAACCCCCGGATGCCAGTCATGGAGACGGCTCAAATGGCACCACCCCAGCACCACCATTTATGATCCCCATTGCTGCCGCACCTGGCATGTTGTATCCTTATCCCCCTCCTCCAGGGCAACGTACGTTAATAATTTTTTTAAAGGTTGCTTGGGTTTCCCAATGCTTACGTCAGAATGCAGCATATCCGCAGATTCAGCAACCTGTGCCTGCTGCTGCAACAAGTGGGGCACGTCCTAAGCGCAAACAAGTCAAGATGGCGGTAAGCCGGCAATGACATAGATGGGCAGCTGACGTGACCAATTCACTCCTCGAATACTACTTTTAGTGTACCAATTGCGCCTCTGCATGTAAGCGCTGCGACGAGATTCGTCCCTGTGGGCGTTGCATGAAGTATGGCATCCAAGATAGTTGCGTAGACGGCGTGCGGAAAGAGCGGCAAAAGGGTATAAAGCGCGGCCCTTACAAACGGAAGAACAAAGCTGCCACTGCTGAAACACCGTTCGGAGGTACAGTTTTTTTTTTTTCATTTATTTCTGTAGAACTTCATTCGGATCTTTCCCAGGATTCCCAGCGGCTGGCGGCGGCGATTCAGAATGGCAAGCGAATGGCGCAAGTAGTTCGAACGCCCCCTCGAGCGCAGCTCCAGCACCCGTGCACACCATCTCTCCTTACCCTCCAGAGGCATTTTATCATTGCTTCTTACCTCCAGGTTTCGCGCCGCCAGGTCATGAAGGCGGCCCAGCACCAGACGGCACGTCCAACGGAACAAGCCAGCCATCAGCGATGGTACCTTATTTCCCATTTCCACCTCCAGGATATTTTCCCTTCCCTCCGGGAGTTTATCCTTCTCCCCCGAACGGAACACAGGTGCCTACGATGGACCCGGCAGATGCATCGAGAAACGCCAGTCAGCTTGCAGAAAGTGAGCGTCGTATGGAAGCTACAGGAAAGAAGAGATCTAAGGGTGGCAAGAATGGAGAGTCTAAATCGAAGAGAGCGAAGGCGGCGCCTCCTGGCAATAATAGTGAGACTTCAACGTCTGGCGGAACGGTCGGAGGGAGTGACCAGGCCTCTGAGCCCGGCACGAACGGTCCTGTCGAAGGTGATGATGCCTGAGTAACCATTGATCCACGCCGGGTCATATGGTAACTTGCTCGTCAGCTTTACTTGAGACGTTTCTCATTTCCTGCTTCCGCGCCGCCAGCGGCCCTGTGGATATGTAACATGATCTTGATACGGGTTTGTCTTCGCTTGCTGCAACGCATGTATTGCCTGAATGTTTATCTACTGTGATTATTTGTTCGAAGAGTAGTTTGGACTGTCCAGAAACGCGGAATCCGTGATGCGCAACTTTGTATATATTTTACTGACCGGTGATCGGGGACCGGGGAAGCCTTTTCCCCAACAGCTAGTTGCTCGAGACTGGCAGTTTTTAATCTCCGCCAATTGTGAACGTTCTTAGCTCAAGAGGCAGAGTGTATCTCCAAGCAAGTAACTTTTGGGGACGTGATTCCCGGTTATGATGTTTCCTATCCTTCAAGACTCGGGGTGATGAGCTCCAGGATCAGTTATGTATCGTAGGGGTTTTGAGCAATGCCGTGGATTTTTAAGAGGATATCCGGATATCCGTTGGAGCCCTCCGCAACTCCCATCGTTCTTGTTTCATAAACTGTCTTCCCCATACAGAACCATGCACGTAAGAGAAGTCTTTCATGGTACTAACTATAGACCTGTCGACGAGCTTATATCTACCCTCGTGGCAGTATTCATTTAATACGCTGACCAGCCGAGTCCTTCCCAATCAGGAAAGGAGTTGTTTATCACTTTAAGACTTTCGCCAAACAAATCGGCTAAATTTTGGGATTAGCAACTTTTCAAGGCCGCTTTACCAGTCTGACTGCGACGACGACGACAACTAAATCGTTTTTGTAACGACACAGAGAGAAGACAATGTCTGCTACCCGTGCTCTTCGTCAACTCTCAGCCGTCTCATCACGCGTGGTCGCAAAGCCAGCGCTCCGTAGCATGCCATTGCGCATGTCTATGACTGCTTGGACATCTCCGCGTCTCACTTGCGCGGCTACGAGGGCGTTTTCTCTATCTTCTGCACGTTTCTCTGAGGGTTCGAGTGCGTGTGTTGTGTTGATTCTGCTCGTAAAGCGCCTACTCACCAATGACATAACATGCAGCCGACGTCCTTCTCTCGCAAAAACTTGCTGAGGAGCTGAAGTACGAGAAAGAAGCTGCTGACGAGGCAGAGCCAGATTTTTTGGAGACGTTCAAGAAGCAGGGTATCTGGAAGGTATTTATCTGCTCTCTAGTAGCTGTCGCCGTCGTTAACAAGTTGGTATGCCTGGTAGATCGAGGACATAGCAGGTAACGATGAAGTCATCTTGACACGAAAGTTTGGCAGTGAAAAGTACGTCCGTCAGTCTCGGGGATCGTTTCTCTTATTGTCCAACTGGATGTTTTTTTTTAACTGCGCAGAGTTCGCGTCATGTTCTCTATTGCGGACATCCAAAACGCCGAGGAACCTGAGTTTGCTCAGGAAGAGGAGGGCGATTCAGATGAACCAGAGAATATCCGCTCTTACCCCATCCGTGTCTCGTTCTCTATCACGAAGGTGGGGGGGTTCCGTTCGATAAAGATTCCGTCGAGGGACCTAACGCGTCCTCATCTAGGAAAACGCCCAAGGATCTATAAACGTCGACACGATGTGTCAAGACGGCGCATTCATCGTGGACAACATCTCCTACTACCCGGATGCACAACTCGGAACCGAGCTGACTGCGGAGGCGGACTGGAAACGACGTGGACTCTACATTGGACCACAGTTTGAGACTCTTGACGTTTCCGTTCAGGAGGAATTTGAGAAGTTCATGCAAGAGCGTGGCATCAATGAGAACCTCGCATTGTTCATTCCCGATTACTCGGAGTTCAAGGAGCAGAAGGTGTGTAGTAGCATCGCATTGGCCGTTGCTTTGTTCTTATGTCAACGTCGCGGTTGTTTTTTTAGGAGTATGTGAGGTGGCTGGGAAACATCAAAAAGTTTGTCGACGCCTAGACGTCGGCTGCTTTGATGCCGACCAAAAGTTCTAGTCTGCATTCTTATGTATTCAGTACCGTATCCACCTCCTATTCATTGTTAGCATCGACCTTGCAACTCCCCTCAATCGTTCCCAGCGTAACATTCAGTTATCGTACTCTATCTCCATTGTGTGTTATTTTGAGCGGGTGACCATGACAATTATCGTAAGAGTTCTTAGGAGCCGCGGAACCAAATTGGCAGACGAGATGTACTATTGTCCGCCAGTTTTGGCTTTCCCTTACGATGAAGAGTCCATGTGGTATTCCAAAAGTCTTGTTCCGGCGATGTTGGAGAGTTTGAGAACGCCCTGGAAGATTCCACTCCTCGCCGACGGGATGACCGACGCTGTGTTCGACGCTGTTCCAGAGACCTCCGCGAATAGCGACACAGCCCGCCATAATGATGGCATGTGCGACGTTTGACGTTTCGTGACCCTTCCATGACCAAGAAGTGATCACAATTGGCCCTCCAGGAGGAGGGCTGGTAGCCACGAGGCACACCCTTATGGCTGCGCACCCTCCGCCGTGTTTTGAGATATATAAACTACAAGCTGCGTGGCGACTACCCCCTCATCTGCTCTGCGCTCCGAGCTCGTGCCATCTATCTAAACGAACTTCACTTATGGCCATGTCATCATCCCCCATCGTTATCAGATATCCCTCACAGCAAGGTGGTGAACTATACGTCCCAGTTCATAAACGACGCTTCTCAAACACTCAGATCGTTACCGGGGTCAGCCCCTCCAGTTCAGATACCAACTCATCGCGATCCTCGTCACCCTCACCGTCAGAGGCGAGTTCACTTGCGAGCGACTTCTCATCCAGCCTACACATCGGTAGACCCCTCGTTGTCAGCAGCAGCCCCTCACTTGGTCATGCCCCTAGTGAGTTGCCTTCCCCTCTCCCAACATAGAAGAAATGCTATATACTGACAAATTGTTCCGTTGCGCAGTCCCTATATACAGCCCCGCAGACCTAATTCTCCTATCATCCTCCCCTCTTTCAAAGCTCTCGAAAGAGCACAAAGATGCTCTCCACCTGGCTGTGCCGGAGGTGGTGCTAAGCAGTAAACGACGCAAGGCACAGGAGTGGCGAGCCCGCCAGATGGCTCTGTCACACCAGAGCCCTCGCCCGAGCACCCATCCCTCGAACAAAGTCTCCTCACGTTCATCGCATCACCCTGAGGCAGACCAGTCAACCTGGAGGAGGTCTATCTAAACCTAAATTATTATTGCATAATAGACGACATCACGGCTCGGGATATACCACACATATGGGGATGGACTGTTGTAGCATTGTACCGTGCATCTAGTAATCATATACAAGATTAGACCACTCGAACACAGGCCGTGCTTCGTCGGACAGTCACGCGCATGATAATCGGTAAGGGTCCGTGAGGTAAACAAAACGAAAACAATAGAGCCGGAACCAAGACAAAAGATCGGATAATACTAGCTAAAGACCAACTGCCTCCTTCGCCCATTCCGAAACCCGGAGCTGCGTCACTCCGACTGCTAAAACGAACACAGCAATCAACACCACAAAATAACACCGCCGACCATCATCGCACAGGGCTAGGCTCTGGAAGCCTTTTATCAACACGCGTCAGCAGCTGGAGGCCTAGCTGCCTTTGCCTACCTTGTCAGTCCCGTTGGCAAGTTGGCGGGGACGCGGAGGCAACTTGACACCAAGGAGTGACTTGAGATAGGACTCCTTCTTTGCCTGTAGAATCAAAGATAGTATCTCCGGGGTGTTCGCATCGAGAGGACAAAAAAAGCGGGCTTACCGTATATGGTGGAAATCGGCTCCCGAAGATACTATCCACCCTGTAATGTGTGATGAGCGACTGTCCTTTAGAGGGCAAGCGGTATTCTAACCATGAAGGGGAATCAAGGGAGGACCGGAGGTGGGTGAACAAATCGAAGGTGTATTTCCGGGTGTGGTAACCCGCTATGGAGTTTTCATCGCGTCAGACGGAATCACGAACAAAGGAACAATTTGACCTACACCCGCTTGGACCAATACCGCCAAACGGAAGCCCGTCAACTGTGGCACTAGCGATCAGGCGCAACAAGACGTCGTTGGAAGTCTATCGGCGTACCAGCGCAATGGACCAAAGTGTCATTCGCTACCGCCGAACCGCTAAGAGTGTTGTCGAAGACTATGACAATGAGCACGCGCTGAGTGAGCTGAAAGAAACCTGACCTCATACCTTTGGCTTTGAACGCAGCGTCTTGGGAGAAGACATATAAGGCAAGGGGGTTATCGCTTGACATGGGCGTTACCCAATTGATAGACTGGCAAGCGGGAATACAACATACTGGTCATTGATGAATGCGATAGCTTCGTCGATATTCTTCACTGGCACAATGGGCAGAATAGGGCCAAACAATTCCCTGAGTGGAAAAGAAAATATCCAATATCAGCGGTACAATCACAAATACATGCATCGAACATACTCGCTCATCAAAGAATCATCTCCCTTGACATTCTTGACAATGGTGGGAGAAATATACTTGTCGCTCTCGTTGGTCTCGCCTCCGAACGCGATCTCACCTGCGGTCCTGTCGAGCAGGCCTTTCAGGCGTCGGAAGTGGGTATGGTTGACGATGCGACCAAATACCCCTGCAGCCGAAGGGCCGGATGGATAGAACTCATCGTGTCTGAAACGTGTCGAAGAAGTCAGATGGTCACCCGACTCTCGAGGGGCAGGGTGCGCACGCGGCTTTGAGGGCTTGAACGACCTCGTCCTGCGCATCTTGTGGAACAAGGATGTAGTCTGGAGCGACACAAGTTTGGCCCACGTTAACGCATTTACCCCACATGATGCGTTTAGCGGCAGTCTTCAGATCACATTTAGGGTCGATCACAACGGGAGACTTGCCACCGAGCTAGACGACCATGTGTGAGAGAGAAACGAGCTCGACGATGGAACTACACACCTCGGTGCTGACAGGCGTAAGTGTTTTTGCAGCAGCAGCGCAAACGAGCTTGGCCACGCGACCACTGCCAGTGTAGAGAACTTGGGCATGCGGTCAGCGTACAGGTGACCATGCATGCGTTATGAAATGCTTACTGTGAGCCCATGGCAACTCCAGCAACTAAACAGCAGGCTCAACAACACGTATGCCACGTAAGAAGGTCGCCACGCACCCTCGTGGTTTCCGGCACAGCGCCCAGCACGACACGAACCACATCAGGATCCAGATATTTTGGGACTAGCTCAGCGATGAGTCCACTAACAGCAGGAGACAGCTCAGACGGTTTGAGAACGAAACAATTGCCCGCTGCAATCGCGCCAATCTGACACAAGGTTTCAGAACAACTATGAAAGACCTCCCGATTGCTCGCCGCACATACCATAGGACCAAGAGCGAGCCATACAGGGTAGTTGAATGGACTAATGGAGAGAACGACACCTTTCGGTTCCTTACGAATGACGGGACGCATAGCGAAAAAGTTGAAACTGAACGGCGCCTTCTCCGTTTGAGCCCATTTCTCGACACGGTCGTAGGCAATCTTGCAGTCGCTGACGGTAGAGTCGAGTTCCAAGCTAGTTGGGCGCAAACGTCAGAAGAAAAAGATAATACAAAACCGTGCATAGAGGACGGAGTGCTTTACGCACAAGGCAGTCTCGAGTGTAGGCCGACCGAGGTCAGCAGCGAACGCTTCTTTAAACCGGTCGTAATTATCTTGAATAAGATAGGCTAGCTGCAGGATCTGAACCTTGCGGGCTGCAATCGACTTCAACTTCCCCGTTCTGAAACTTTGACGGAGCGTAGCATGAATCTGTAAAGAGCCACTCGTTGAGCACCAACATTGTTGGTAGAAATATTTCCTGTGCGCACGGCATCAATCTCGTCAAACGTCGTGTACTTGAGTGAGGTCGTGTCAGCCATAGTGACGGTTGCAGAGGCTGGCAGGCAGCGTTGCACTCCAATTGATCTAGACAGAACCTGTGTATTACATTACGGAAGCTGGCGTAACCGGAGCCACGCGGAAAGCACTATCCGAACAGAACGGGTCACAATAACTACAACTAACCCTAAGTAGATACATGACAGTGCTTCAGCCCCACCTCTGCAGGGTCATTGCAATGGACAGTTGAAGAATCATATTGCCTGCTGATAGGGCACTTACCACAACCTACGACACAATCAGGCCACACAGATGATTTATTGTTGTACAGGATTTTTGATGACGGCTCATCAAAAATCAGGTGCAACAATAAATCAGTTAGGTGGAATCCCTTCACGAAGAGGGGAGAGCGAAGAAAAGACAGCCCACGACAGCCCGAGAGTAGTCTGAATCAAGTTTCGCAGGTGTACCGCGAGCTACGAAGTGCACTCAAGGGTGGAATCACTCGACCTAAACAAACTGACGGAATCTGTCGTCGCTCGCCATACAGCGCACGAAAGATTTCGTGAAACCAATGCAGGGGTCGTGATGCCCAGCCAGTGTCCGTGGTTGGACGACAAAGCATGTAGGAACGTTGTAGGAGGTGCTGTGATAGCAGGTAGGGGTCGTGATGACCGTTGGATGACGAAGCGTGTGGAAACGCCCGTAAGGTGGTGGCGTTAGTACATTGGTGCGTCATCTCAGAGGCCGAGCTTGAGACGACACGACAACCGCAGGCGAGCGACTAAGAATCCACGTCCGTCGGGAGAAAAAACTACCCAATCCCCGCGACGCCTTTCAAAGTGAGCAAACTACCGTCGCTCTCCCACATAATGTGGTCATCAAGCATAGACGACTCGGCCACTGCCTTTCTGGTACGTCGCGCTGCCCGTTAGGACAGGACCCGGCTAGAGTCGATCGAGGGGGATTGGAATACTCAGACCTTGACCCGCTCACGAGAGAAGACGCGTGCAAAGACGCGTCTTTTGTGCGGAATGAGCCTCGTAGCTTTCGAGCTGTCGCAGGATGAAAGAAAAGGTAGGCCACAGCGGACCGCTTAAATACGAGATTTGGCTTTGGCTTTGTTTGACCACCTACGCTAGCGAGCCGAAGGCCACGTGGCGCCAAAGGAAAACTTCCAAGAAAGTAGTAACGAGCCTTCGGCTCGCGGCTGCTTCGCAGCCTCCCACTACCACCGGCAGGGGTGGGAAGAGTTTTAAAGGGAAGAGCTGCATCCAGCCCACATTTCAAGCCAGGTGGTACAATTTGATATTACATATTACATATATACACAGTTACAGATCATATGTTCAGATGTCTGAATACTTCAGGCCAGACTACATTGCTTGTCTTGGTATCATCCTGACCTTCTCTAAACAGAACCTTTATCCTCCTGGGATGAGTACAATGTGAAAGAGCCACATAAAGCTGCCCATGAGAGAAAACTGCAGAGCACAAGTCAATCCCCACATTCTTTACTGATTGCCCTTGTGACTTGTGGATGGTCATTGCATAGGCCAGGTGCACAGGGAACTGCATTTGACAAAATGGCACAGGGGAATCCTCAAGCCCAGTGTCAAGAGCAACCCTGGGGATCAACACCACATCTCCTTCTCCATCCTTCCTTCAACACTCTACACTCCAAGATCCTGTGTGTGGATCTCACCAGCCTCAACCTAGTTCCATTATAGAGTCCATGGATGGGATCCAAGTTGCACAACAGCATCAGAGGTGCTCCATTCTTCAGCTCCAGTTTGTGCAGGGGAAATCCAGAGGGGGACAGGGAGTGCAACACCTCTGGTTGGATGTACTCATACTCCTGGTCAGTCACAGAGTCTGCACTGGTATAGGTGTACTTCTCCTGTGGTTGCACAGTATCCAAGATGGTAGCATTTATCTCATGCACCTGGGCATTCCTAGAGGTCAGGATGGTATGATCCAGGAAATAGCCATCAGGAAGTTGCTGGTGTGGTTGCAGTGCAAGCAGATCTGAGTATATGGTTTGCATCAGAGAGGGCATGTCATCACCACAATGCATGTGCTGAGGAAGCTCCAGTTCTCCATCAGTGGTCCCTATCTCCAGAAGATGTTGTGCCCACTCATCACATTTAGGATCCTGGCCAAGATGCATATTCTGGTTGAGATAGTGCACCCTCATCTGTGCCCAGAGGTTGGAATGAGTGAGTGTGGCAGGTACAATCTGCTCTCTGGAGCCATGCTGGATGACAGGGAGAGTCTGCCTGAAATCCCCACCCAACAATGTAGTGATCCCTCCAAATGGCTGGTCCCTATCCATCAAATCCCTCAGAGTGCGATCCACACACTCCACCACATGACAATGCTGAGAAGCAGCTTCATCCCAGATGATCAGGGAGGCCCTCTGGATCAGTTCATGGCACAGGTCACCCTTCTTGATATTGCAGACACTCTGTTCATGGCAGGGGATGGGGATCTTGAACCTCGAGTGCTGTATGACCACCAGGCAAGAGAAGTGAAGCAATGCCTGTGGATGCAACACAGAGGACAATCTTGTTCCTTGCATGAACAGCAGAAGCAATGAGGTTGGACAGATAGGTCTTGCCACAGCTGCCACCACTCTGAAGGAAGAACATGGTCCCTTGTCCACCCATGACACTCTCCAGCACTGCTTGATAGAGATTCCTCTGCTCCACATTGAGGGTAGCCTCTCCCCTCTGCACAAACTCCTGCAACCAAGGGACATTGAGTGCCAGCTGTTCATTGATGAGCTGGTTTCCTCCATGACCTCCCCACTCCATCTGTGGCCTTGGCATCTCAGGGTAGTCCTGTAGGCTCTTTCCATGCCTGTGAAGGGCCTGACCAATCAAGTAAAGACCATAGTCATAGACCTGCTCCTGGGTGGGCTGGGGGATGGCAAGGTGATGGATGAGCTGGTGATGCAGGTCATCACAGAGATGATGCCTGGAGGCCTCCCACAGGTGATTGGGATGAACAGGAGCACCATGAACCAGAATGATGACAAAGAGATGATGCAGGTGGGATCCCATCTGGAAGTGAGCAGCATCCTGCAGACACAATATCCACTCCCTATCATCCTGCAACAGACCAAGTGCATGACAGGCCTCCTTGAAGGTCTCATGAACCTGACCCTCCACAATATGAAGGTCCTCAAAGGATGTTGCACCTGTAATGGGTGTCAACTGAGAAACAGAGTGTCATGGAAAAGAACTTACCCTTGACCTGAGTGAGCAAAAGGCACAAGTAGAACTTTTCTCCAGCTGAAGGATACACAGAGTACATTCATCCAATGGCCTTGTACCTCTGGTGCACTTTCCACACAGCCCTCCTGGCATCCCACACAAATCTCTTTGGGAAGTCCTGGTACAGGTAGTCATGTGCCCCAGCAGCAATCAGGTCCTGGTCCTTGTTGGCTTCAAACCAACCCATCAGCTGGGTGTCCTTGGGATTCTCCACCACATTCTGGATGTTGTCCTCAGCATGAAATATGACAGTCTGTTCCCCTGGTAGGAGTTGTGGGGCAAGAGGCTGCATTGGATGGGGTGGCTGGGGTGTGTACAGAGGAGGGGGTGGAGAATGATGCATTTGATGCAGAAGTTGCACATCATGATGTGCTATGAGGTGATGTGGAATGCCAGGATACTGCTTTACTGGCACAGGAGGATGGGTCTGACATATATAGTCAATCTCACATGTGTATTGGACATGGAATGTGACTTACAATCAAAGCAGGAGGAATTTTGGGAGGCATCTGGTGGGGAGGGTGATGTGGTTGGCAATGGGATGGAGGAGAGCCAAGGACTCATTGGTCATGTTCAGCCTGGCAAGCAGTGCTCTGGGCATGCTGTGGTGAAGTGGGGGGGGAGGACCTCATGGTTTGAAGCAAAGCAAATTGGATGTAGGGCTTGAGGAGCAATAAAGGGGACCAAGGATGAACCACCAAAGTCACTCTGTGCCTGTGCCAGACCTTACTGACTGGAACTTGATGTATGACAGAGCTAAAGGCAAAAAGCCCAAGACACATTGAATGGTAACTGCAAGCAGGAGTGACCCCACTTTGTTATGCTTCTGTCAGGGGTCTTTCCTTTTTTGTCTCCTTGTGGTCATGTGCATCATGTGCCTTGTTGCATCACTAATAATCATTGCCATCCTAGGGGCTTGTATGCTAGAGGGGTCCCTCGGATCTCCTGCTGTCACAGTATTTCCAATACCTGTTGAGACCATAGTTCCCCTTTGATCCAGTATTCCACCACCCTCTCTGATGGACAACATGTTTCTTCCTTGCTCTGGTTGACTTGTTCTGACTCGTTTTTATTGTCTACATGTTGTACTATAGCTCTGGTGTCTGACTCCTCACTGCGCATTGATTGTGCAGCTGGTACAGCCTTTGTTTCCTTGCCTATCCCCATTGTATGACACTGTATGACTTGTTCCCCCTTTATTTATTTGACTGATTGTTCTGTTGACTACTGCAGATATGCGTTGTGCCATGACTGGTACAGTACTTGGTACTTAGGAGTATGTAAACCTATGTACTTCATCCTGTATCTGCAGTTTTTTGATAGCTTGCAACTCAGCTAACTTCCTTCTCTTTTGTCCTTGTTCTCTCTCTGTGTGACTACCCTAGCAGATCACCAGAAGACAGAACCTTTGTTGGACCTCAGAGATAACTGAGCTATAGGGGTTATGATACATTTGGCCTGTAGACTCCCCCTCATGTGCTTCGTGCCTATTCCATTTGAAGAAGTCACCATGCTCAGGCGTAACAAAATCAAAAAACTCAGTGCAGCTTTTGGGACTTGTCGACCTCTTTGCAAAAAATCTACTCATCCCTGGTTACTGAACTTCAACAAACCAGTTACTCTCACACAAGGCTCGTTGCTCTCCCTATGAGTAAAGACTAACCTGCCTTTGTCCCACTCCTTGAGTAACAAGATTGAGAAGCACCCCTCTACCCTTAACCAGATCCACTGCTCTACAGGCAGCCACTAGGCTTTAATAGATTGCCTCCCTAGAGCCTGCACTTGTGTGTCTCCCTATGTGTAAAGCCACTTGTGCAACCAACAAACCACCCCACACTGACAGGTTTCTTTCGAGAAATAAATCCTCCCTCAGCCTTTGTTGTCACTACCCATTAAAGTGTCTAACCTGCAGAAATCGAAGCCTCCAGTCCCTCCTTGACCCAATCCCCTTGGACTCAGTAGGCACCCACCTTTACCACTGATTCCTCTAGGACAACTTGGTCCTTCGGTCACTGCAACAAACCCCCAGTTATCATATCTATCCCAGTTTAGGGATTTGGAAGTCATGCTTAGTTCAGAAGATGAAGACAATCAGAAGTCTGACACTTCTTTCAGATCAGTCCTCAAGGAAGAACAAGAAGCATGCAAATTGCTAGAAATGTCCATGACAATCAGTCACGGAGATTCAGCTCCTGAGATGCCTCCAAGGACCTTCTCAGAAGAGGAGCTGAGACAGAGGTTGGAAGAACAAAGAGTCGCTATGGTGGAGGAGCTCCACCAGGCCATGCATGCAACTACAAGTGACCCCTTCCCAACTGGTATGCCTATGGACTCAGCCCTATGCAATTGGTATCAACGAAACTTTGGAAAGGTAATTCCCCCAGAGGTCCCCATTGGTGGGTCCAGTAAGGGTAAGGCCCCAGCTGATGATGATGACATGTATGGATGCCACCCACCCAATGGAGGTTGGGAGTTTAATGTCGGGCATCCCAGAGAATATGATGGAAGCCATAATGGGCTCCAGACCTGGATTACACAGGTCGAAGGTTACTTGAACCTAAACAAGCACATTTACAACTTGGAGTCTCTCAAGATTTCATTCACACTCACTTATATGACTAAAGGTGCAGCCATATCCTTCGCCAAGAACTATCAAAATGAAAACAAGATACTTGACAATACTATCTACTACACTGATACCTTTCAAAGGTTCATTGAAAGGCTGAAGGCAACCTTCGAATTGGGTGACCAAACCACTCTCACTATCTTGCATCTCTTGGAAATTCAACAAGGAAAGTGTGAACTCGAGGCTTATATCATGGAGTTCACGGGGCTTGTTAATAAGGCTCAACTCAAGGAAGAATCACATGAAGCAGGGATCTTCTTTGGAAAAGGATTGCAGAAGGAATATCATGATTGGGTCCTCAATTCTGGATGCACCCCCTCCACAGTCATAGAGTGGATACAGTGTGTGGGAGAAGCTTGGACTGCTATTGCTACAAAGCATATCCTAGAAGGGAAATAATCTTGGTATGAAAGAAAGTTCATTCATTACTGTGGAGGTTCCTGAGATCCTGATGCAATGGATGTCGACAAATGTAAACAGAATGTTAGATGTTCTGGTTTGGAAATGAAGTGCTTCAATTGTGGAGCTGAAGGTCACATCAAGTGTGACTGCAAAGTAAAAGTCAAAACTCAACTATCCAATGTCTGCATAGTCCTCTTGGAGGATGGCATGAAGACTGCCTACATCAGAGATCATGAGGCAAATGTGGAGGAGCGAAAGTTGTTGGGTTTTTACAGGGGACTGATGAAATTCCTGCATCAGTCAGTCCCGTTGCTATCTTGTCCACTAAATGTACTTCTATAGATGATGAGTCAAATATGCGAATTCATTCCCTGCTTGGACTTGTTGTGTTGCCAGACTACAACACAGGAATATGGGCCTGTATTGACTCAGTTGCAGAAGTCTCCCTCATCTTGGAATGAATGGTACAGAAACTTGGAATCCTGACCTATCAGGTGAAAAGCAAGTTCAAGACCACCTTGTTTACCAGAAAAGATGTGGAGTGGGTAACCTGAAAAGTTACCCTGAAGATGGAGATCAAGGAGTGCACTATACAGGTCAAGTGTTATGTAGGCTCTCTTGTCAGAAAAGAACATGTCCTTCTCAGGATGCCATTCCTCAAGGAGTTCAAACCAAGAATGAACTGGGAAACCAGCAAAATTACATGCTGGGATGATGGGTATGTGTATCCCAAAGGATCTGACTGTTTCATAAAACAGGTAGTGTCTTTGGACACAGACAGTAAGAAGGAATCTTCTGGTCTATCCCCAGAAGTGGTAAAACAGGATTTGAGTGAAACCCCCAAGGTAATAATTAACAAAACCACCTTATCCACAGAACTTGAGGCTGCCTTGGCAAGTGGAAAAGAGGAAGTCAAGCTTCCCGAAATGTATCAAGAGTTTGCCACGGTGTTCGTAGAAGATGATATCCCACTTCCAGCACATTGGCCAGGATTAGATCACAAGATTAGACTCCATGAAGACTTCAAGCCCAAGAAGGCAGTGGTATACCCAATGTCTCCTGATGAACTTAAAGTTTTAGATGAGTTCTTGGATGAAAACCTTAAATGCAAGAAGATTTGACCATTGACTTCACCTCAGGCAGCTCTGGTGTTTTTTGTCACAAAAAAAGATGGGAAGAAGTGGCTAATTCAAGACTACTGCTATCTGAATTCCTTTACAATACCCAATGCACATCCATTGCCAAATGCCCAAGCCCTGTTCAATGAGTTGGTTGAATCAAAATACTATGCCAAGTTCAACATTTGATGGGGTTTTACCAACCTATGGGTGAAAGAAGGAGATGAGTGGAAAGGAGCATTCATCAAACCAAGAGGGCTTTTTGAGCCAACAGTAATGTTCTTTGGACAATGTAACTCACCCCCTTCTTTCCAGCAGTATATGGATAAAACCTTTGAAACCCAAAGAGGAAAACAGGTAGGATATATGGATGATGTAGCAGTTCATGCCAAGACAAAGGAAGAACTATGCACTTGTGTTTGTGAGTTCCTGAAGATCTGCGAAAAGGAAGGCTTGCGCCTCAAGATCAGCAGGTGTGTCTTTGAAGCCAAAGAAGTCAAATTCCTTGGAATGGTTATAGGAAAGGGGCATATGGAGACTTTGTTGACAAAGACCAACACCATCAGTACTTGGGAAGCCCCTGACAATCTTATGGGATTTCACCAATTCCTTAGATTCTGCAACTTCTACTGCAAATTCATCCCTTCCTTCTCAAGTGTCACCAGACCCCTTCATGACCTTACTAAAAAAGGGGTTTCCTACCAGTGGACTCCAGAATGTGATGCTGCATTTGAGAAACTAAAATCTTTGTTATGCTCCTCTCCAGTCCTCACTATCCCTGACTTCTCAAAGCCCTTCATGTTGTTCACAAACACTTCAAAGTCAGAACTGGTGTGGTCCTCACCCAGAAGGGAGCTGACAATGAGTGGCACCCCTGTTCCTACCTCTCCCAGTCCCTGGTTGGTGCCAAGCAACATTACCAGGTCTATGACCTCGAAATGCTTGCCATCATCTGGGCCCTCAAGGCCTTCCACCTGTACCTCCTCTCTCCCATTGAACCCACTGTGGTCTTTACAGACCACAAGAACTTGGAATATTACCACAAGCCTCAGCAGCTCATGCCTCAGCAGGCCCAGTGGGCTGCCACTATCCAATCATACCCCATCCAGTTCTCCTGGCAGGCTGGTTGCCTACAGGTCCTGGCCAACACTCTTTCTTGGAAAGGCACCCTGGAGGAGCCCACCCTGGTGGCCATGG